GTCATCCAGTCCCTTGTGCTCGCCTATAGCGATTGCACTTTTTCAGCGGTTTCGTGTGTTTGTGGCAGTGCATGAAGATTTGGGGAAGGTGTATGCGGCATCCCTTCTGTCAGCGTACTAGAGGTGCTGTTGTGCAGGTTTTGGAAACAGAAAGCAAGGTAGCTTCTTCTTCTGCCACATACAGATTACACACTTTTAAAGGGATACTACAACAAAATTTCGGCGCTCATTTTTTGGTCTATATGTGTTCAAAGGAACAGCATCACATCGAACATACCAATATCTTGCTAAGAAAGTCACGAAAAGGAATTTTAAAACGAATTAAACGATTAGCAAAAAGCACCTGGTGGATGTCGCTAACGCCTTGCTTGTAATGCCAGTCTAGGAACCTTGACAGCTAGTGACAGAGGTTGTCTCGCCTCCGGCCACGGGCCACGACGAGAGAAGAGGGGCAGGAGGAACTCCCCTCTTCCCGAGAATGCCTTTTGTGTGTCGCAGAAGTCGCTATTGTCCCCCTACAAGATTATAGGAGATTAACTCGTCACTCAAAATTCGTACAAAAGCAGCCGTTTCGGGGGCTGGAACGACTAGGCCATCCTCTCGACGTCAAACTCGCCGTAGCTTTGCTCGTCCTGAGACGACCTACGTCACGATTGCGTTAAATGTTACGTGGTCTCCGCTGGGCCTTCTTAGAGCGCTTGCCAGAGTGGGCCATTTATAACGAAAAATACAGCCACCAGGCTCAAAATACAAACGTGCGATTGTCATTTACGGATATTGTGGATCATGTTCAACCTATTTTTGAACACGACGGGAATCTTTCAAATTTCGTTTTTAGTATCCCATTCTGCAATACTTAAGCAGTGATCTGATGGGTCGGAATCATTTTGGAGCCCCTTTTGAAGCAGCAAAATTAACTTTTGAAGCATAAGCACACATTTAGTTTTCCTTCATACCAGAGTGAACAATATGTTAAAATTCATATGTTGGGCCGTCCAACTGAAAGACGGTGTCTCCTTTGTTTTCCCACTTCTGTGCAACCTTTTGTTAGCATCAGTTGCATACCACTTTCGATTCCCTTGAACGCAGAACAAGCTGCTTAGTTGTGTGAAGAAGCACTCAGCATGGCAAGAAGATGCTGATTAACGAAGGACAATGAACTGCAGTGCAAGAGAAAGATTTACAGGATCCCTAATTGGTGTTGTGATCAAATTCTCAAGGTTCTTTTAAAACTGCAATTCTTAAATTAGGTAGAAAACAAAGTTTCTGTATTTGATTACGAACATCAATAACATTATATATGTAGAACTTCACAAAAACAAAACTCGGCATGTGAATGATAAATATGCCTTCTTAAAAACAATCCCTACAGACTTGCTAAGGTTGTTCCCAAACTTCCATCCACTGCTCCAGCTAATTCAGTTTCAATTTACTGTATTCATTGTGCCATCGAACAGATATGAAGCAGTATAAAGGTAATAACAAAACAAGAGCGTTGACATAAAAAATAACCAATGCGCCGAGAAACTGAGGGAGAAGCGGAGACAAGAGTGTGTGGGGACGTTAAAACACCGAACTCTGGTTGGAACGATTAGTGGCTAGACCTAAAGCTAGCTGACTTTGTCTCCACTGCACTCATCGAACGCGTTAGAACCCGGAACGCCGGCGTTTGGCTTTTTCATTCAAATGCATTCAACGAGCACAGTGGAGACAAAAGCAGCTGGCTTTAGGTCTGCCTACTAATAATTCTAACCAGAACTCGGCGTTCCGACACCCATGCGCGTTCTCAACTGCTCCTCTTACCGAGTTTGTCGGCGCAAGAGCAGTCCATACAAATATCTTAGCAATATTCAAGTATCCTTGCTAAATCTCAAATTTGAAAAACATTTAGTGACAACATTGCAGCCCATTATTTATATATATAATAATAGCTACAGTTTTATTCAGAAATCGTGTCATGTTCTGCTCTGGAAGAATGCTTTCCCCTTAGCACGTGGGTGCGCTGTGGCAAAGCAAGATAGGCAAAATCGCAATGTTCCTTTGCAGTTGTCACTTCACTGCAGAACACCAGTACACAGTGAGAAGCGCACTCAACAGAGCTAGCTAACCTGTCAGGACAGGATGAGAGTCGTGATGCATGCGAGTTGGATCATGGTAATCGAAAATAGCTGCCCATCTGCCCAGTGCCTCAATGAAAAACAGAGAGCTTGCCTACAATGTGGCCTCTACGGTATCTGGTTATCTCGGCATTCATTGCCGCGATTGTGGCTGTATTCCAGAGTTCCAGCGACGTGAAATCGTGAAATGCCATTATGATCAAATGACACGTGAAATTGTCGAGGCATTAGAGATATCTAGATTAGGTGCTGAATGTGTCAGCTGCCCGTCTGTTGCCCAATCTGGCATGGGAATAGACTTCCTTGTATGTGACTAGTGTAGAATGTGAGTGTGCGATACGGTTTTTGTGGTGGTGATGTAAATCATTCAGACATGGCCGTCTTATCTTTTCGTGTTTTCTTGTTCTTGACCAAACAGGTATTTATGGTGCAGTTACGACCAATAAGATATAGTCGAGAGTCGGCGCTGTGCCTCTGTCCTACTTCTCGTCCCTCGTCTGTTGCACTGTCTTAACTTTTTTATCATGTTGCACCAACAACCCAAAGCTTCAACCATAGCTTCTCAAAACCTTGGGCTTATGAAAACAATATCTGTCAGCTCTACGAACAGCACCAGATAAAACGTAATCCAAGAGGATTGATAAACTACAATCTGAAATCACCCCAAGATGCTTCATATACAGACACTTCGCCCCAGGTAAATGATACCAATGGCATCTCGATTGTCAATCTCCGCCCTGCCGGGAAGACAGGTTTATGTTAAGAAATGTCTTCAACTGCAGGGCCTTGCTACGATTTCTGGAAATTCCAGAAATGTACAAGGTTCTACAAATAAAAATTTATTTCAGTCTCCAAATAATAAAAGTTCTAGTTTGTACTGTACCCGGCTACTTGTCTTACAGCCCTCGTATAGTACATGTTGAACATGTTGACAGATTAGATCTAAACAGGCACTTCCTAAATTGCGAACTATGAACAGTTTATTACCCTCTGACATGTCAGCTGTTCTCCTCACACCCTACATGTTTCCGGAACACGCCGACCTTCTGGCTGTCAATTTGCGAAACCATCGAGTGCCACGGCACAGGCTCTTCTTTGCGCTCGGCAACAAATCTTTACCAACCACGTATTCTGTCACATCGCCCACAAATTGAAGGGCACGATGACAACCATCCCAAACCCGGAAGTGAGGCAACGTCAACACCGCTCGACGCTAGCTCCGAGCTCACTCTCCCCCGCACTTGGACGCGCCGACAAGATTGAGTCCGTAATAACCTCGTGGCAGAGGCCCCCCACTAAACAGCAGAAAATGGTTACGGGAGTCCATTTCAAACTTCAGAAACGCAATAGAGGCGTTCCTTAGCACATCTTGAGTCGTAACTTCGACGAGTGCAACGGCCTAAGCCTAATCTCAAAGTCAATCGCTGTGCTACGGTATTAAGCATTCTGCTGTCAGAAAGCGGTGTACAAAACGCGAGAGCAGCGGGTTAGTAATCCGCTCCAAACGCGTTTTGAATCGAACAGAACAATCGGCGGATGTGCAGTTGCTGCACCCACGGCGAGTGCACCTCGCCGAACTTTGAAGCGCGAAATCGCACAAACCGGAGCCGTTCAAACACCGCCTCCGTTATTCTCGGGCTGTCAGTAGTCCATCTTCGCGGCGTCTTACCTGGGAGTCGATTTCCCTTCGGTGTGGAGCGTTTTAGAGGGATTTTCTAGGATGAGACACAAACTGAGAGTCGAAATCACGACGCGATTATTTGAACGTGCTACCCGTGTGGCGCTTTCACGCTTCCACGAGCTTTCGACGTGACCCGCGAGAGGCGTTGTTGATTGTTGAGAGCGGCGGTTGCCTTCCCGGATAACAGAGGGCACGAAGATAGGACTAAACATCACTATCATCAAACCGAAACAAGAAAATGACTGCAGTAAAGACGAAGGCATAGGCGCGTGAGCCTAGCTCAGCAGTACCCTTCAAAGTAACGCATTTTTGCCCATGCCTTTGTTTGCACTGCAGATATTTATGAGATAGAGTATACATCGAATGGCTGAACCGGTTCAACCGCTGCTCTCCGTGATGAAGAGATCAGGAGGCTCGACGGCACATTAATTCTTTATTCAAATATTACCCCGGATTGCCCGAAGGCGTTACAGCAGGGTTTACGGAAGATTTTGTAAAAACAAGTCTTTATTGGCAAAGCAAACTTGCTTGTTCGTCCTGACGCGGCATTTTCCGACTTCAAAGGCATGATCATGCCGATGAGAAACATAATATGTTTCTTGATATGTTGCGCTATTGATTCCTGTTTGGTTATTAATTTGAAAAAAAAAGAACCTTAATCGCAATATTGTTCGTCGAGAGGACAGCGATCTCCAATTTAGTTAATTTCTTGTTAATGATGTTTGATGCAACAGTGGATCCGAAAGACAAACAAGCACCCCAAAGAATTGCACTCACTCAGTGCTAACTGAGTGTTTTGAAAGTAAACATCTTCGACAGAAATCTGTCTGGTTTGGGGACCCCTGAAGAAGGAGTCAAGTCGACCCCGAAACGTTGGGAACTGTTGTTTCTAAACTTTTGGTTTGAGTTTTCTTTTTTTCTAACTGAGTGTTTGTGTGCGGGGTGTGTGCTTGGTTTGGGTTTTTTTCACGCACCATAAGCGTGAACCGTGAACCCCCCTACCGCTCGCCCCCCCCCCCCCCCCCCCCCCCCTTTTCTGCCTATAAAACTTATCTGACTGTTTGGGTAAACGATTGTGCGTGCGCGCGCTAGATCTCTGTGCGTGTTCCTTTGTTTCGCATCATTATGCGATTACCACCTGGACATCCGTTCCCTGACCTTCACTTTCCCTGGCTATGGAACCGCCTTTTTTTACTTCTGTTCATTGTTTAAAGGTCTTGGCAGGCATGTCTGGCGTCAGCGTGTGACAGCCGGTAAATGGCCCGTTTGACCAGTTTTCGCTCAAGGCAAGCGGTTCCGTTTAGTGCCGCTCATCGGCACCAGATGGCAGCACGCTACACGCACGCGTCAACAAGCGTGCTGGTTCGACTGGACGGGCTGATGATCTGCTGATGGCCGAGTTGGGGTGGAGGCAGGAGAAACGTTTGATGTCATCATCTCCAGACGAAGATCGCCGGTGACTGCTCAAATAGTGTGTACCGTACTCGTGAACGTTGCGACCACGGTGATTGGAACTATCGCCTGGAAATACTCTGGCGGAGCGCGACGGGATGGCAACACCGCCAGCGCGACCCGCACTTCTCGTCGTCCTCGACCAAGCTTTTGTTTGAGTCGGGCGTCCAAAAACAAATGCTCGCGGCCTTCAGCTCTTCAAGCGTGTCGAGCAAAGCGAAGTCAAGATCGGACAGAAACAAGTGAGTGTTGCGTCACCACTTAATTCAACAATGGGCTCGAACAATAGCGGTGATTTCGCGAAAGCAATTCGCTCCGAAACAGATCTCTGAGTCACTGTCATGATTACGACTGGTGAAGGCGGATTTCTTCTGACTGGACCACGGTCCCGCGGCTGTGTAGGGCAGTGTGCATCACTAGAGGCGGTCACTACTGATCGCCGATGCTGTTAGAAGTTTAAGTAGCCTGATGAACGTCCGAGGTAGGAATATGTTGCTTGAGCGGGTGTGGTCAGTGTCGGCTTCGCGCTTCGTTTGAGTTGTAGCGGGAATAACATGCATCGTGTTGGCTAGCGATGCGTGACCTCTTGGTTTTGTTCCTTCCGTGCGCTTTTGCGGCTAAAGCAAAAAAACTATAAAAATTGCGTAGCGTGCTTCCTCGCATGACTGGGTTACGCAAACTGCGCAAACTTTAAAGTTGAAACTCGTCTTTTTTTCTTCTTTTTCTTCTCTCGTTTGGTGTGTAATTTGATTTTGGCCACGTTACAAGGAGGAACTTTTTGCCGACAGTCTTGACAGGTCCCAAACAATGACGTTAAAAAACAGCATAAAAACGTTTAAACTTCAAAGAAGAAGTAAGAAAATAAATAAAAAGGAAGGCCGGTAGTGTACGGGTCGACCCAACTCCGGTATGACAACAAATGGAGGTGACACAGCGCGCTTCAAGAACCGGTTACCGTTGGCGTGATCCTTATTAATAACCTGAGCGCTCTGACACCGCATTTACGCAATCACTCTACATTTCTATATGCTGAGGCAGTACACAATCTAATCGACGTTACAGGGTGTCTCAGAAATTAAGTCCCGCCTTGGACGAGCATCACCACTAGAACGCGTTTAGTGGTTTCGCTCGTGCTCGCACCTCGCTTCAGGAGAAAGCCGCAACAAAATTTAAAACCCGAGTTTGGCATTTGCTCCAAGTGTCAGAAGCGAAAAACCAGTTTTTTTTGCTGCTATGCTAATTCAGGAACCCTTGCGGCAGTCGCGGGAAGACCCTACCAAGAGTTGGTGCTGCTAAGCGAAGTAATGGTTGACTACCTGGGAGGGGCGTGGCTTTTATTTAATTCCGGAAGGTGTTCGGGGAGACCGTGGAGCGGAAACGGGGAAGGGAGGGTAGGTTGCATTATATGTTTTAGGTATTTTCGGGCTGAGAGTGCATATATTTTTATGACTGAACAGTATGCACAAATAGACTTATACTGTAACTATTCAAGAAATGCCCAATTGTGCTATACTTATTCATTAGAAACTGAAAATCCTCTAGAAACTAAAAATTCCAGAGTCAACCTGAGTAGAAAACGTGAGTGGCTTTTAAGTTCAAAGCAAATAGTGGTTTTAGTAGAATAGTTTCTGATCTAATAGTCTCTACGAAAACCCAGCTGAACTTGTGAAGGATTTTTCTAGGCTCCCAGTTGTTTATTTCTGAGCTAAGTGAATTTTAATCTATATTTTTGGACTGTCGCCTTAGGAAGTCCAATGCCTACATTGGGAGGGCAAGTAAATGCTGGATTTGACATAAAGTTAAACCTATGTGGAGACCAAGTCGTCTGCTTCTTGCGCAGGGGTTACAGTGATGTCAGAAGAACGCTGAGCTCTGATTGGCTTTGATTGAAAGGATAGACTTCAATGCTATAAATGCCTTTAGGTCTACCCACTATTTTTTTTTTTTTTCAGTCAGCCAATAAGAGCTCAGCATTCTGACATCATTGCCACCCCTTTGCAAGGAGCAGACGAATTTGTGCGCCATATATAGATGCCAGTAGAATAACAGAAATTTCTCAGAAAAGAAGTTATGTTTTTTCCTAAGCATTTTATGTTTTTTTAAAGGGGTACTCCGGCAATTTTTTGAGCAACCCCACCTAACTATAGTTTCTAAATCGCCATCTTTTACTCTTTCCGGTATGCTATTTAATATCGCAAAGTTCAAAATAGTTATTGTGAAATTGGCAAATGAAAATGACGCCAAAACCAAGATTCGAATATACCCGCACTTTTCATTGCCATGACGTACGGGATGGCAGGTTTGGGGTTCGAGCGGGCTGTCTAAAAATTAACTATGCCGAGCATTTGTTTCGTGCTGCTGCAAGAAAGCTTGAGCGACCTTCCAAAGCATTCATTTGACGCCATGAAACTGTAATCAGTTGGAAACCAATTCTACAGCCCAAAGAGTGAACCCCTGCCCTCCCATGACGTCACTTTTTCAATGTTGCCAGTAGAGCTTTTCACTTTGAAAAACACGATGAGGTCCAAAATTGTAAATTCTATAACTTCACGAAAAAAAGTTATTTTGGCCAAATATTTGGTTTAGTATTTCGGCAATGTTTGTTAATGAGTTTAGCAAAACAACGTTAATATTTGTTTTATTATTGCAAACAACTGAAAATGGTTCCCAGGGATAAATAGCAAGTATAAGATTTGCATACTTGCAGAGAAAAAAAAAAAAAAAAACATTTTAATGAAATTTGATTTGAAGCTCCCACCCGAATCTATGACATAATTAGTGAAATTGTGCACACCTTCTCTTTTTGGAAGACTTTAAGCAGAAAGTGCCTTAACTTTCTCTCTTTTTTCTTCTTATCGTTCGTGGGCACGCAACACCCAGCCAACCACGAGAGTGTCTTGCAAGACCTTTCTTCGCATGCAGATGACGCGTCACTTTTAAGGGCCGCTTTTTTTTAGTAGTGTTAGTCAGTCGAAAATTATTTTTAAAAAGGTAAGGAAGAAAACAGCGTGTAGCAGCCCTTGGTGAGCGACGTGAGGGGCGATGTTGTAAAGATGCTGCGTAGTTATCCGGTGCCGAAAAAAAACAACTCATCCGAGCCGTCCTCGACTTCACTGTCATGCGCATCCCTAACACCCTCAGCACATTCGCCGGGTGCTGTCATGTTGAGAGTATGAAGAAAAAGCTAGAAGACGACTGATGATTCGTCATGAACACTTCCGGTCTCTGACTTTAATTTATAGAAGTCAGCATTCTAGTGCCTTTACAGTCGTCGTAAGAAAACATATTTTATGAATGATAGTAATAGTTATTATGGAGACGCAACTTGCGACACCTCTTAGCTTTTTTTTAAAAATGCCTGCACCAATTACGTCACCAAAAAAAAAAAAAAAAAGAAGCAAGGAGGAGCTCAAGCATTGACAATACTCTTTTGCATGTGGACTTTTTTTTGCAATGATTTTTTGTGTGTGTGTTTTACCACAGATTTTTGAAGTGTTTGAGATGGTTAAAAACATATTCATCTTGGGGTTGTCAGTGGCCCTTTAATGTTTCTTATGAGCAACTTTGGACAATTTCAGCACGACTTCATGTCAAGGACTCAAAGCAGTTACGACCTTAAAGAATGCACCGGTTCATTTCAAATTTTGCCCAGTAGAGGAATGTGTAGCCAGATTTGAAATATCTCTGCACCTCTTCTCGCAGTTTTGAGGCTACTAATGCACACCATCATACCTCACATCCACTCTTGGCTTTGGGTTTAAAGGGATACTTACAGGTTATTTATGCTTGCCAAGGTTTTTATTTGTACATAACATATGAGAGCGCAACCACCCAAACAAAATTTGTGTCTTGAAATTCGTTTTCTTTGAGCCCGAAAACCGCCGATCGAGAACTGACCAGTTTGAGTCGCGTTCACTCTCTTCTCAGTGGTCACGTGCCGTTTTCCACGGTTTAGACAAAACCACCAAAGATAATCGAAGTTGTGGGTCATCGAAGGCACACACTCACTATTAAATATAGAAACAAAATATGATTCATATTTTTTGTGTCTTCTAAAAAGTTGCAAATACATTGATTGAAGAAAAAAACAGTTGCACAGCCACACGTAACTTCCTGCAACACTCTTTTTTTTTCTATATTTTGTCTTCCTCCCCAGTCCAGTTTCAGTTTCGAGTAGCGTTTTTTTTTTTTTTTTTTTTTTACTTTATTAAAAAATACATGTGATGCTGTAGTGAAATATTGATTTGGTAGTTTTCTGACACCATAATGGCTCGCCTAACAAAAAATTATAAGAAGATATCTTGGGGGGTGTCAGTGTCCCTTTAAAGGACAAATGATCAGTTTCGACATTGAAATCGATCCTTCCTGGCTAGGTGCAGGTATCCTTGCCCTTGCAACAGAGGGTACTAAATTTATTGAGGCACATATGGCATGAAAGAAAATAAATAATTCTTGAGTTGTTGCTTCTTGGCAAAGCTGAGCATTAAAGGGTTAAATACAGGCACTTTTTTGTGCACCATTCCAATTTGAAAGTGTGCTTTTCTCCTAAGCACACTACTTTGATGTTCATTCTTTACGAAACATTGATTGCCGTGATGTTGATTGTGACGGGTTAGCTCGTTAGCCCATTGAGCGCGCCTTAAACCGAGCACCGGTGCGCCGCAGGGAAGTAGCACCCGCTAAGCTCGCTTTCGCAGGTGTTGCTTTTCCGCAGTACACCAGTTCTCAGTAAGGAGCATGCTTAACAGGGCTAAGGGTCTGTCCAAACGGGGTACTTGAAAGCGCGTGAAGCGACACAACACCGGCATATGAAGTGAAAGCTAATGGCCTCCCGTCCGTCTTCTGTTCGGACATCAACCATGCTAACATAACGGTTTTCTTCCTCACCTCCTCTGCTTTTCTGTGACGTCGGTGCTGTTCCGTCTTTGGCCGCTGTCGCCACGGGAGGAAGGTCGAAGAGGTCAGGCCGTTCAGGCTCGGCTCACGTAAAGGGGCTTCGCCTCCTCGCCCTCGTATCCTTCCCGACCTGAATGGCATCAGAGGCCTTGATGACAGGCAACAGAGTGTGTTAGTGGCTGTCCGGACCCACGGGATGAGCAAACTCTAGGCCTTCGTCAATAACAAAAAAAAACAAAAAACTTTTCTCTTGGGGGGGAAAAAAAAAAAAAAAAAACGGACAGAAGGAGATTTTAGCACGTCATATGGTGAAGTTGTGTTGCTTCACGCGTTTTGAAGCGTCCTGTTTGGACAGGTCTTAGCCAGCCGTCATCAGCTCTTTGAGAAGTATGAATATCGCAGTTCATCAGAAAGCGAATATCAAATGGCATGTTATTCAAAATTACTTTTTGAATATTCTCACCGAGTGGCCGTGTTCTCATGGTCCTAATAAACTTACTATAAATCGAACAAAAGTGACTATTAATGAGCACCTACTGGAGCTTGCTGATGCCTCCCTGTTGCATTAAGCCACCATTTGTACCAAAGCATGGATCCACTGCTCAGACCGTTCAGGTATTGAGTCACTCAGGTATTGATGCTGGGTTGCTAAAATATTGCGTCTTACAGAAATTCATTTCGCTACTTCTGAGGCTCTGTGACTCTTTTGTGGCAGTTGTTTGTTCCAACCCCATTAGCCCGGCTAAAGGGTTATCCAGCAGTAAGAGATAATCCTCCCCCTATTGGTTCATCTGCCCTCAAGAGGGCGGCTGGTGAGCAACAGAGAATTGTGAACATTGTCACTGCTTTTTACTTGTTCCTCAAAAACCACCTTATGTAGACAAAAATGTATAGCTATTTTGTGCTTTACGAAGACAAAGATATTTTGGTCAGCACTATTCAGACAAACTTAAAAAATAGCTGTATGGTCAGGTCAAAAAAATCTTCCTTGAATACCAGCTGATGGTAGAGGAAAATCTGACACAAAATATAAATAATTTTGTCATAGTAGTTTCTCGGTGTTATCATGCAACATAATTTAGTTTTTATTGTAGCTTGGAGTCCCTTTCTGTATTCTGGAAGTCAAATGTGTCAAAATCGACATTCAACTGTTTGGTTTCACAAACTGCGACACATTCATATAAAAGGGTGTCCGAGAGAAGGAAGATGTTGCTTATTGTGAAGGTACCACTGTTGCTGAGAGTTCAAGAAGCACAGGCTGTGGCAAGTTTCTAGCATCTTATCACCTCTACGTAGCCAATCAGATTGCTGCATCAGCCAACAAGAACGCCGAAGGACCAATCACGAGTGAAGAACCTTGATCATAATAGGCCCCACCCTGGTTTCCGAAATCTCGGGGATCTCATCGGGTGTAATGACAAGCAAGCATGTAAAGTGGCGACGGGATGCAGATCCTTCTCTCTCTTGGTAGGTCATCTCATTTTGAGGTCATTAATGAGGTGCCCTTTGCTGAAATTGATCTTTTGCGGAGGGTGCTTCCCTTTGTCCGCCTCACTGCTTCCAAGGCCTTATTGTCCCACTGTAGGGTATCTTCAGCTCCATGTCCGGTGGGATTATATTCATCTCTTGAGGATTAACCTGCTCGGGGAATTGTCCTTTGGGGACGGATAACTCCACTGGAGGTGTTGGCCTTTCTCGAGGGACAACCCGGCATTTGAGGAGAAACAACAAATTCGAGCCTCACCACTGCTTTCTTTTTTTGTGTGTTTTATGTAAAAGTGCTTACATGGTCCTTCAAACAACTCCACCTGAGAACTTAATTCATAAACTGACTTGACAGTTGGGGTTCTTTTTTTTTTTTTTTAGGTCACTGTGTGCCATTATGGGTTCAGCTCAGGTGAAACCTACCTGCTGGCTCTTACTACTTGTGTTCCTACAAGGTAAGTAGAGTCTTGTGTTTTTTTCTTTTATATACTGCTTTGGTACAAGTACTTTGTTGTTAATGTTGCCAAGAGTGAGTCGGTATTTTTCGTGTTGCACCCTCCGTTTAAAATTAGCAAAATGCTATTATATACTTGATTACTGGCAGAGGTGCTTTGCGTGACTAAGAATTATTTTTTTATTGTAAGATAATTTTGTTTGCTGTCTCTGACTGAAGGTAGGTGGCTCCTTTTACATTTGTCCATATTTTCATGCAACGGCCTATATTTAATGTTTCCAGATAGGTTTAAAGATGAAACTTGAGAGACAGTTACTTTAAAATATTTGGAAAGCAAGTGAATTCAGCATGGCTTTTATTAAACCTTTCTGATGTGCAGCATTGAGTTGCATGTAAGAGCAAAGAATCCAACATATTAGTAGCAAATGCATGACTTGCACCGGTGTTGTTTCTGCGACGAGATAAAATCATTTGGGATTCATTATTTGAGGAACCAAATCTGCAAGGGGGTGCGTGTTGAGTGCCTTCACCGTGGACAAAGAACAAGGCGAGACAGAAGTTATTTTCCTTTAGTCATTTCTCGGAACACTGAGAAACATTAGCATTATTGCTAGCCAAATACACTGTGTGACACTATTAACTTTGAGTCAGCTGTTTTATTTACGTTTTTTCAACGTTGCATTTGCGGTGAGCAAACAATGGCAGTCCACTACAGCAATCGTATTCAATAAATGTCATGCTTTCATATTTTCAATCATTTTGCCTTTATGACATCTGCAAGTTTTTTTGCTACGGTAAATTTCGTAGGACCCAGTTATCGGAACAAGTAGTGTGTAAAAATGCTGTGATTTAATTGTAAAGTGAAGGGCAAGGCCTACAAAGCTCTTTCATGCAGCTCTCGTCCTGCCAATGACTGACCCGTTGTCACAACATTCCTGTTGTCATTTCTGGTGCTGCTTAGCATTCGACTCTCAACACTCAATTAGTTGTTGAGTTGTGCTTTCAATGTACTTCTAAAAAGCTAGTGGACTGTTCAATCATACTTGCTGTGCAGGGAAGGTTAATGAGTTTTTGCACAGGGGTGGAAAGAAAGAAAGCATTATGTTTCAGTTGGAGAGGCTATTGCACAAATCTTAATGTAAAATATGCATATGTGCTCCAAGATTCCTTTTCGCTGCTCCAAACGAAACGCCCCTGACCAGTCGCATCACTGACATTGTCAAACACGGCATCTTACGCTTGCGTGCAGCAATTTCTGAAAGGGTGTGTTGATACTTCTGCATACTTGCTTACTATGTGCCTTCACCCAGATCACTAATGGTTAGGTTACCAATCGTCCCGGACTTTGCGGGACTGTCCCAACTTTTTATTAAGCGTCCTGAGTCCCGCATCGTCCTTGTCGGGACAGCTACAGGTCCCGGATTTGGTTCAGACCATCCAGTTAAACATTTTATATGTGGTCCAATTCATGCCCAACAATGAGCATCATGCTGCAAAGCACGGATCGCACGAAGCAATGCTGTGCTAGCAGCGTTGGCTGTGAGAGGCCTTAGCCACTTTAGCATGCAAGCAACAGCAAGCCGGAAATCGGGGTGACATTGGTGCCGGGCAGTACCTGTTATCACCATCATCGTTTGTACAAACATCTCTGTCTCCCTTCTTCTTCCTCAAGCTGCCCCCTCTCCTGACTTCCCTCATTGAAGAGTTGGTAACCCTACTAATGGTGTTTTTTTACTGTGGTAGTTCTCGTAAAGGAGAAACGATAAATTTGCAATTACTTTCATTTTGTCTCAAAATTTGTGAATATATATAGTTTTGTTGCACGATGTGAAGAGTAAGGGATTTGAAGATGTTAAATTGCTAGGCAAACCTTGAAACGGGTCAAGTTAATTCTGCTGTGATTTAATTTCCAGAGCAAATAGTTAGGATACATTAGAAGCACTGCAAAGTTAAAGGGGCGGTGCAACAATTTGCGGACTTTGGCTAATTAATTGCGGGAATCCCGGCCACATATGAAACGAAGGACCGAAAACTATTCTTTCCTGCTTGCCCTAGTTTTCATTAAAAAAAATAAAAGAAATTGGTATCTGTGGCACCCCTCAACTCAACATTGAAGCGGCACCAGCTTCACCTGTGACGTCGTTTGGAGTGGCGTTGGTTTCCGGTTGGGTTCTTCTGGCTTCCGTTTCCCCAGCGCTAGCCGGCTCGCCAGGCTCGCCGCTCTCCCGCTCTCCCGCCGATTCCCGACCAACATGGCGGCATGGGCGGACGGCCTGAGCGACGTCGAGCGCAAGATGCTTGCGACGCGGCAGGCAGTCGAAGTCGAAGTCGAGGTCGAGACACCAGGAACAATAACGATACCACGATACTACGGACCACGACCAACGCACTCCGTCGAGCGAGGGAAAGACAAAACGTCCGGGTTGCTCATGTAGCCGCCGTAGGCGCCTCGGACGTCGACGGATGACGGCGACGGCAGGTTTGGTTGACTTGCGGTAGATGGCGTTACAAAAAATTCATACCCTTTTAGCGGCAATATTAAGCTTTTGAAGCGTTTCTGCATGCCTAAACAACAAGATTTTTTTAAACTTAACCTTAAATCAAGCTTACAATCGCCTAACACTATCACTTACAAAAACCACTCCGAATGACGTCACACCACAGGTTCCATTTGCGGCCACCATGTGGCCGCAGGTTGGGAAAAAAAGTGTTTTTTATTTTACGATTGTGCAGTGAAATAGAGGTATTTCGCAGTATGGTGGCACTTTTTCTCTTACTTATGCCTAAGTAAACAATATAAAAAATACAAGCTGCACATTCGTTCAGTTGTAAAATCATTGCACCGCCCCTTTAAGAAGATAATTAAAATTTTGGATTGAGCTAGTTGGTTTATCTATTCTGTTTGCAGAATTTCTTTTATGTGTTTAAATTTAATTTTATGCAATCTTGTCGTAAACATTATATGCGAATACTAAAAGGAAAAGCCCTGTCAAACCCCAATACCTTGCAACTGACCTCATCAAAAATGTGAATACGAAAAAGAAAAAGCGCTATCAAACCCTAATACCTTGCAGCTGACTTTAAATTTACGAATTCTGAGCCATCAGAGGTGAAGCAACTTGAGTCTTGCATTACTCAAGTGAAATGACTTACCATTCAAGATGTGCTTTACCCATAATAAACTTCATGTTTTCCGGACTGCAGCCCAATTCTGGTAAATAGTCCGCAAGGTGAATCTACGCTGAAAATTAAGCTTTTGCTTAGATAGTCTGCACTTGGTCCATATTCTGCACATAAAACAATTCTTCTACACAGCACACCTTAAGAAGTGTCTCCTTTAAGGCCCATTCACGCACTTGCGACTTCTTAGAACGGAGTAAAAACTCTGAACATTTCTGAGGACGAGAGAACACACGGGCAGACTGGCGCCATTTATGCGGTGACCCTGGAACTGCATTTCACTAGAGCAAAGGTTTTGCGGGATTTCCAAGGTCAAATGTGCGTAATACCTATGAGAAAGGCTCGTTTGTAACGTTGACAAAAGTGTTTCGAGCCAAGAAAGAAAAGATAATGCACGAGAGAAATAGGAAATATGCGGGACCGCCAAGTTTCCACTGCTACCCAACAGATGATGTCACAAATTAAGCGAACTATGTACGGCGGGCAAAGTAACTAAAACAACATTCATTTACACTTCACCCGTGACACCCGCGATTGCGGCCTTCTCGAGTGAAACCTCTTCAGCTTTTAGCTGAGAGCGCGTGACTGTGTTCGAAAAGGTAGAAGACGAGAAAAAGAAACCTCGGCGACGTGAAAAAAGAAGAGAAAAAGAAGAGAATTGAGGCCAGACAATGATGCTGAACGGGCGGAACACTAGACTGATCGCGAACGGAACGGGCGGAACGCCACAGTGATCAGCGAACGGAACGCCAGCTGAACGCCAAACAGTGAACGGAACGCCTGCTGAACGTCAGACAGTGAACGGAACGAGCTGAATGCCAGTGAAAGGCAAGCAATCGGATCGAACAGGACGGATTGAACCAGACGAACGCCATGAACTGACTGAGAATCTTCAACTGTAAATATTTATATGTTTATTTTATCAGTGTAAATACAGTTTTCGTTTTCTTCTAAGTTATCGGCCATTATTATAACGACGACACCCACTCACTCTTTAATTCTGAAACAGATGATGCCAGTGTATCCTCTCTTCAAAAGAGATATTAAGAGGCTCCAAGGCACTCGGTCTTAAGAAGTCGCAAGTGTGTGAACGGGCCTTTATTAGCGCACAAAGAAGCTTGTATCAAACAGGAATCATCATTAACATAATCTGTCATCCACAAAATTTATCACATCTCGTCATAAGTAATGATTTAGAAAAACCAGATCCTTGTATGCTCTGCAGTTGTAGAGAGTCAGCACTGCATACAATTTCAACCTTTAGACATGCATAGTCTTATAGTCCAGAAAATATGGTAGTTGCAATGATCCATTTGACTGCAAAGTTCATCTCTTACAGCAATAGCAGGGTTCTCTCCGCAGTGGGCGGCTGTGGTTTTTCTGCCCACCAGTTTGGCTGACTGCCCATCTTTACCATATTCAGCCCACCTCTTCATGCTTTGCCTGGGCTGGACAAGACGATGCTGATTTTGACAATGCACAACACCCCAGATTGCCGTGTTTGGCAGACCTGTGTGGCACTATGCAACAGAACTGTAGAATCTGTGTTAACAAAACCACTGCTGCGTGGCAGAGAAAGTGCCGAGAATACAAAAAGTGGCTGCAATTGCCCCCTCCTCCTCCTCCCAACACCCCAGAAATTGTCGGGCATCCACACCACAAAATAATTCTGGGGAGAATCTTGAGTGATTGCTGTTGTGGGCTCTTCCACCCCACTTGAAATCATATAATAGTAGGGCGTCCATCGTAGATATCGCCAAATTTTTGAAAAAGAAAATCCCCGAAACCTGCCACGGTTTTCTCAGGATTTGATCCCAGTTCCACCGATTATTAACTGGGCGCTTTACCACAAAGCCAAAACAGTTGGTCTAATGTGCCGCCCAATAAACCGCACGTGTTATGGACATCTGCACATATGAGTCTTGTGCAACGCCCGCTAGTCGGCCCCAGTTCGGTGATGTCGCATCACAACACCCGAATCTCACACCGCGTCCGTTAGAGGTCTTCCGTGTGTATAAAATAAACGAGTCTCACACTCCATCCGATAAAGGCTTGGTGCACACGTGCAGTGGTGTCACAAGGTCCTCATGGATTAATCCTAAAGTCATTACAACGTCGTCATAAGGCAATCACGGATTTACTCTGAGATATACATAAGTCTACATCATGAGATGAACCCTCAAACTTTTTATTCACAAGGGACGCCTATATTTCCTGATAGATTTAGCCAAAAAACCCCTCTCAATCTTGTCATTGATGTAATAAAGCAGTGCAGAAGCCTGCAGACCTTGTAAGCAATGATGTACATTCTAGGGAATGTCTGACACATAGTCAGACATCAGTGAATGGCTTAGACCTTACAAAATATTGCTTAAACGGGATGAACACTTAACTTGCGGGCAGGGTCATCTGACAAAGTTTGAGAGCTTGAGAAACCCCCCGGCTACTCCGGGAAACTCCTGGGGCTTTAATCTCTGTGGCAGGACCAAGAAACCGGGTCATTGCCGCCTGCTGCGATTGGCCAGCTCCGCACGGTTGACCAATCGCAGCAGGCAACAATGTCTCGGTCCCTCTTTGTCCCACCGTGTAGGTTAGGGCCCCTGAGTTGCTAAGAGCCCAGTTTGATATACTACACTTTGGGGTCCGATAGCTATGGCTGTGACTGTGCCGTCAATTCATGCAGGACTGACCAAGTTTTTTCTAAGTTTGAACACATTTATTTTTAAAGATGGCTGCTGCCTCAAGGGCCCGAGACTTGTGGAAGTGGAGAAGACGATGGAAACTCAGGTGGACATAAATTGGACCCCCGTGGCTTCTTCGAAAGTCACTCAGTACACAGTGAGTCTGGCAAGCTTCCTCTCTCTATTTATGGGGGTTCTTCAGTGCCACAGGAAAATGTTCCCGGTCACCCGTCTCACAATTTTGCTGCATTGATGCACAGTTTGCATTAATTTGAATGCTCCTTTCACGAGAGTATTCATGTCTCGCATACTACAGATTTCCTTTGGTAGGGGGGGGCGCTGCAACACAAAAGTAATTTGTATTTGTATTTATTAGCCATTTGGTGGGGTGGCAGGGATATAGGGTGAACAAAAACACCCGACAAAGGTCCCATTCCCCATACTTGTTTCAGCAGGGCACACAATATACAGAACACTGGATGTAGAAAAACGAAAGGGTTGATACTTCGCATGCGCATAAAACCTAACGAAACTTGTTTGTCACCAGCCCAACCCAAAAACCAAAGGTCCAATTTAGAAAAGGGAGTTGTTATTATTACAAAAACTAAAGAAAGCTGCAATTGATTTCCTCCTTTGAAAGTTGAAAAAGAGAAATCATCTAGAAAGCAACGTGGTTTGTCACCTAGTAAACACCGCCAAACAGAAAGAAAAACAAGAAACAAAATCACCTTACTAATTAGTGCCAAAGATGAAGCTAGTAACTAACAAAGGGTGGGGGGGCAAAGGCTTTGCCATATTGCAGATTTTATATAGAGGCTTCTATTGTTTACTAGACAACAGTGCATGAATGAAATCGCCAGAGAGTGACTGATTATGACTGGGGTATTATGACTGGCGTTTAACGTTTTCTGAAGTTTTTCTTCTTTTCTCTACAAGCCATTGTTTTTTGTTTTTTTTAATAGGGCAGTGGTTTTTTATTTTTTTTTTTTTTTTTTTTTTTTTTTTTTTTTTTTGGGGGGAAGGCATTTTGAGAGCGCGTGACAGGAGAGTGCATGTCATGTGAGTGCCGAACGACAGATGCAGTCACTACGGTGCCTTTCCCCGTGGCAGAAGGTTCAAGTATTGAATCCGCTTCTGTAGTAACTGGGTCGTTATACATTGAATTAACTGTTATGCGAAAGCCAGCACAGCACAGTATGTGAGTGCAGCTTCATATTTTGCCAATATTCGTAGGAACTAGCAGATTGATTTCTAGTGCGTTTCAAATTTGATGTTTTCCCAACGTTTGCCAGAATTGAACATGATAATGATGTAACACCAGCATGCACAGTAGTCTCCTGTAGCCCTACTCAGTAAAGAACTAAAATTTTTATTCCTGAAATAAAGGCTAATCACCAAACCCATTTGTTTTTTTTTTTTCACCCATATTGATATGTGAATTGATTTTTTGTTTCTGAAGGACAAAAATGACGAGTAAAATTGTCTCGAGGGCGAAAGTATTGACCAATTTAAAAAGGAGCACTCTATGAGCGGCAGCGATGACAACTGCGCGGTAGTGACTTCCCACAGGTCTCTGCACTCCGCCAATTAATTGACATCAAGCTTTTAAAATGCAACTCCCTTTGGTGTCAAAATTTCTACTCCGTCAAAACATGTGTTTGAAGATCCGAATATCGATGATTCCCAAGGTGCTCACATGCGCTTTTGTGATGCGCGCTCTGATGACATGCGCTTTCATGTTGCGGCGCTCTCCTGTCGTGCCCTCTGGTGTCATGGCACTCTGCTTTAGTGCGCGTGTGCTCTGCTGTCGTGACGCTCTCCTATCGCACGCTCTCCCGTCAATGCTTTAGTGTCGTGCACTCTCATATTATACAGCCATTTCTTTCACAGATTTGGTGTTTTTCTGGACCTATTTTCCTTGTCGGCAGGGAACTGGCTTTTATGGGTAATGTTGAAGGAAGCAGGACACGTCACTGGGTTTCCCCAAACTTCAGCTCCAATGCAGGGTTTTGCAGTTTATAAAACAGGCTCAGGGGTTACTTTGTAGAATGTTATCAACAAATACCAAAGACACGGGACCCGGTTTGTGACCGAATACCGTTGGGAACCCAGGTTCGTGCGGTGCCGCTGAAGAACTATGCACCCCACCTGGGCGGTCCCCTCGAGTGGAAGTACACAGATGCCAGCCGTGCCGAGCTGTTCGGGCTGAGCGCTGGCACCCTCTACAACGTCAGCGTGTGGGCCGAGACCTCGGACGGGCCCTCGGAGACAACTTCCATCTTTGCCTGGACTCAGGTTGGAGGTATGCGCTTCCTGCCGCGGCCACGGCCACAGCTTCTGATTGGCACCTGTGTTACTTAAATTGGTTCTTTATGAGGCATTAATCGGACCTAAGCTAGAAAATGTAGCCTCAATTTGGGATCTCGGTTGTGACATTCTCGTCACTCTATTAGAGACCATCCAGAATAGATTGGCTCGTTCCATTTTATCATCACACTGCAAATGTTGCATCGATGAAAATTAACTTATCTTCACCACCTCTTTTCTTTTCCGCTGTAAAATTTATCGCAAACGTTTACTTCATAATCTTTATTTTCATAATCCCACCTTACGCTATCAAATAATAACGGTCCCTTTTTATATCTTATCTCATGTTGATCATCAGCATAAAGTTGGAGTCCCTAGCTCGTGGACAACAGCCTTTCACTCTTTCTTGCACAGCACAAGAATGGGACCATTTCCTTGTTATGATTGCTACTATCCCTTAGCCTGTTTCCAAATGGTATCGCTAACTATTTTTGCAATGATCCATGACCTGTTTGATTGCTGTTTTTGTTATATTATTAATATTGTTAATACATTACAGTTTTACTATCCGTTTTTCTTTCTGCTCTTTTTCTCTACAATGCCCTCAGGATATGTTCAATAAATATAAAAATAAACTGTGGCCATGGCCACGGCCGTGTTGCATCTGTTCGGCGACTGCATCGGGTAGATGGTAGTGGTGTCTGTTTTGCACTCGCAGCATGTCTTCAGTACCAATATGGTGCCTGAAACCTGTCTCTGACCTGCATGTTTACGACGTCCTAAAAAGCGGTCCGTCGATTTCTGCCTGATGATGTCGTAGAAATGTCATACTGTCGCCAGCCGTGATCCATCTGGTGTCGAAGCAGCTTTGGTGGATTTTGCAGCCAGCAGTTGGGAAGCCTCCATGACGGCAGCACCCACACAGCGGGACACATATTGAGTGAAGATGAATTCCAAAGTGTGCTTCTGTCACGGCACATCAACTCAAAGTAGAAGCATAATTCGGAATTTCTCGGATAAGTCTTAAAGTGTAATTTTGGCGCTAAAATTAATTTTTTTTTTTTTGTGAAAGCTTATTTGTAATTTTAATACCTGAACACAAATTTTTTTTTTTTAGTTTAGTGTCTTTTTAAACGGATTTCCACGGTCACCTCCACCCCTTCCTTTTACCCCGCAGTGATAGTTTGGTCAAGTTTAGCACTTTCCTTGTCCTTTGTGCTTGTAGCAGTCTACTAGCATTGTATAGGATACCCAGAATACACCTGGGGAAAAGGCAAAGAGGTTACAATTGGTGGATATATATCCAGCGTTTATTTATAAGAGAAATCGGTGGAAGTTTTCTGGTGTTTAGTTATTAAATTCTTCCTTCAAATATCGGCATATATTTTGGGGATTTGTTTTGGACGGACATTAAAAATTTTGAATATTGATGGAAAAATATTGTACGATGAACTAGCATTTCAAGTCTAAGAGGGGAGGTTTTCGATAAAAACAGTTATAGCTGGAACCAAAATTTTTAGATATCGGTGTTTTTCGGATTTCATATTTTTCGCGCCAATAGATCTTTTTGCGGTTTTCACCAATTTCCTATGTTAGTCACCGACAGTCGTTTATTGGCATTTTTTTTTGGTTAATAGCAGAAAGTCTACGGCCTAGTCATGATGTCAACAACATTGGAACAATAAATTCAGTGAGCTTGTGCAGCCACAGCAGCACACACCAAGGACCTCCAACGGCACTTCCTTGACCGCTGCAGCCTTCGGCCATAATGTTAATGTTGTGTGTGCAATACCTTGCACGGTCCAACAGTTACATAGGCCACCGTTACATTCTTTTGTGTGAGATTACCCGGAGCAGCGACATTGCACTCTGCAAAAGCGTGTGGCAGGAGCAACTCCTCTGTTTCCCTGGTCGTTTGGCAGGTGGGTACATAATGAAAAATACACAGCGCAAAAGGACATAAAGGGAAGAGACACACGGATAGAACCAAAACCAGCTAGCCCAACTTTCTACTTTATTAAAGGGGGGTACAAAGCGCGACCGCACCTTTTGCAGAGCCTGACCGCCCTCCGCCGGTCGAGGTGCTGTCCAGGGACGGGCCCAGGATGGTCGTGCGCGTGGCTCGAGGAACTAGCACCAAGGGCCCGATCACGTGAGTGTCTTGGACGGAGGAACCAAACGGGACTTTGTTCCCCGTTTGGTTCCTCTGCGAGCCTTTGGTAGTCCCCGCTTGGACGAAACTTTGGCCAGCTTGAGGGTGCTTGGCTCACATCTCATTTCACTTACTTTTGGTGTCCGACGTCCTGTAATGCCGGCTCGAACCATGGTGCTTGGAACACTTCTTAACCGGTGTGTCTACTGTCCTATCCGGCCTATCCGTAGAAATGGCGACGAATTGCGTCACGAGTTCCCGTGGTTCATGCCAACGGATGTCGTGATCCTCGTGGTTGGTCATACAAGTACCGGCAAAAAGCAGGAGAGAATGCGAACATTGCCATCGTCTTGGCGTCCAAACTCCCGGCTGCCGAAGTGCTTGCGAACTGTCAACCTGGTTTCGAGCTACGAACATTGATTTTGACAAAGAAAGCTGAGTTGGGGTGGCCGAGACGCACGCTTCGACGCAGGAATCTCCCAAATCCACCCGAAGCCGGACCTGTTTGGCCTTCCTGCCGAGGCGACGGCAATAGCGAGGTCGGCGACTTGTGTGTGTGTGTAGGCATTGTAGTGAAAGTTGAGGGGTAGGAGAGGGTCTATCGTCGGCGACTTCGTGAGCCGCGGGAGAGACAGGCAGCAGGCACACCATTGGCAGGTGGCGTGTGACGTCAAGTCTGACGAGCACCGACTTCAAAGAAAAGTGGAGGGGGCGATGAGGAATTTCGTGAATTTGGCTTGGCCGGTGTCCAAACACACATACGACTGACTACTGGACGCTTCAGTTTTGACGATTTTTGCAGGAGTTGTGTGGCCTGACGATTTTTGTAGTAGCCTGTTTGGACAGGCCTTTACATGACATCGTGATGTCATCTTACATGAGGGTGTCATGTGACATCATGGTTTCACATGACGTCAACAATGTCACTTAGTGTCGTGATGTCACGCAAAATATTGTATAGAATTTTTTACAAATCCTATAAATTACTTTTAGAAATCTTACAGAAGTCGAGTTTGTAGGAAATCTATAGAAATTAATTCTATCCAAATTCTAAAGAAATCATTGCATGATGTCAACTAAGCTATAAATCTATCTAGATGGAGGATGTTATAACTACATCTATTTAGATAGATTTATAGTTATAGATAAGTGTCCACTCTCCAAGCAGACGTCGATGACGGTTCCTCCACGTAACATGCAAGGTACATCGGATACATTAGGGTCCGACAAGACGTCGCAGTCATTGCTGCGACTGCACCATGTATTCCCCCGGGGCTCCTCTTTTTTCACGCCTTCCATCTCTCGTGTGCGAACGGACGTCTTTTGGCATGCCCTGCCCGAAACGGGGTGTAGCATTGCGAGTGCCGGCTGCAATGCCCCTCTCTCCGGCGCAGGGGCTACCGCCTGATTGCCTTTGAGGAGAGCAGCCTGATGTCCTTCAAGCCCGAGAGGCTGGTGGGCCACAAGGAGGCCTCGGAGGCCGGCACGCCCTTCTACCTGGCGGCCGAGCTGGGGCCCGACCACGGGGGCCGGGAGTTTGTACTGGGGGCTGGCAGCTCCCACGGTGGCTTCTTCAACGCCCCCCTGCTGCCCGGGGAAAAGTACCTCCCCATCCAGGGTGTCGCCAGCACCCTCAACGGGGTAAGCACGTGCCCGCGTCTGCCCGCGCTCCGGTACGCGGACGTCGGATGAAAATCGAGGGTCCATTAATGAGTAGGCGCGAAATGCACTGCTTGGCAATGCCAGACTTAGCCTTCTGCTGCCCTTGACAGGCTTCGAAAGCACCCCCTTTTGGGTTGTTGAAAACCTGTGTATGTATCTAATTGTGCAGTCTAATTTCCCGAGATTCTAAAAGGAGTTCCATTTGCACCAAGCCATGTCCACGCGGTTCGTTTTGAAAGGGTTGACATTGCTGTAGCCAACCTACGAAATTTGACACCCCTCAAAATCTGCCACCCTAGGCAGCTACCTACACTGACCATTGGTAAGTCCACCCCTTCCACTTGGGTATACGTTCCAGGTGCTACAGAGAAAGCATAATTGATTGCCGTATTTTCTTGCGTGCACTCACAGATTTTTACGAAGAGCTGCCCGTCTTGAGGAGCGTCTGGGAGCTTGTCATCGTGATTTAGAGAAGAACACCCGTAACTGTGTGAAGTTTAGCTAATGGTTTCTGTTAAGCCAGCAAGCTGCAGTTGCTGGGCACGACATTTGCTTGCTTCGGATCGAAATGCACTTCTTCTTTACGGGAATTCAGAATTCAGTTGTTGTCCATGCTTTGTCATTCACTGTACTCCTTCAATGAATCTCCGTGATTGGCTCTTATGTGTCATGTGCGAAACACTCACAAAATCTAAATCATAGACACAAAAAGAGGAAGAAGACGCATAAAAAGGACACACACATGCTCACCATCTCTGACACGGAGCTCGGCCAGAGACAATGGGTGTCCTTCTTTGGACGTGCCTTCATCCTCTTTCCGTATCTCAGGTTTAGTCATGTTAAGTACTCGTCAGCTCGCCTGCACACTCACTCATCTTTCAGTTGCCCAAGAACACCCCCTTTCTTGAAGCTGTCGGGCAGAAAATCCAAGTGCTTGGCGATTTTCAGCGGACCTGACTTTAAATCCCTGAAAACAAACGTCACCATTTACTGCGTGTCACTCATGCTGGTGTCGGCGATTGGCGAAGGCGACAATCACCGGGCGCCTGTGTCGCTTGAGAAATAACGCCCTGTGGCAATATCTGTGTCTTTCAGATAACAAAGTATGCCTACTCTGTCGTGGCACCCGACGCCAGCGCAGGTGGCGCAGAGGAGCAGGTCATGACGGGAGAACCGCCTCGGGGTAAGCAGCAAGGACAGTTTTTCTTGAACAGCCAAACGTGTAACGTTTCGAGGGATGTCAGTGATGTGACTGTTGTCACGTGACACCAAGCATGTGACCATGTCGCATGACATCACGTTATGGTGTCATATGAAGTCGTCAGCATGACTACTGTCATGTGACACCGATCACATGATGCAGCATCATGTGATGTTTTTGTGTTCCAGTGTGGACTCGTTACATTAGTTACGGGACACCATGCTATCTGACGTAGCGTGATCCGACATAACTGCGTCAGAATGGGGTCAAAAATGTTCCAGGACTATGCGATATATGACGCCAGTGTGCCAGTATGCCCTATAGATCACGAGTTCTCAAACTACCGTAAAATACCCGGGGAGCACCCCCCTTCCTTTTACTGAAAACCGGGTTAATCTAGACATGGGTGCTTGTCCAGTCAAATCGGGCACTTAACGTATCATTTGCAGAATCCCCAAGTTAGTGAAATGTTAATAGTGGACACTTAAACGGAGGTGCACACTTCCACGGTATTTTACAGTAGGTTCCTAGGAGCCGAGGGGTAGCCTAGAGAACCTTGACGGTTTCCTCGAGCTCCCAAACTTCCTCGACTGCCACTGCCCCTAAGTAAAGTGCTCCTCCAGTTTATGCACTATTTGAGCGGATCTGAGCCACTTGCTCATACATAAGTCTAAACAGAGCACTCCATGGTACGCACATTATTGCTTATGAGGTCTGTAAGCTTCTCCACCGCTTTATTGCATCCATGCCAAGACCGGGAGGGGTTGTTTGGCCATCATTCGAGGCAAACAGACATTCCTCGAGATAAAAAAAATTTTGAGGACATCTGCTCTAGAGAGCCTAGATTTAAACGGGAAAACAACTCAAACCACGGAGTATGTTTGCAATTTAATGGCAAACACCTCTTGGGCAGATAGGTCGCAAGTGTGCGTGCGTTGCGTTGTCGCGTGGCAAGGAAGAAACCAGGTGAGGAGGCGGAAACGCTTGCAGACGATCGACGCCTTCGTCACCTCCCTGCAGCTCATATTGCAAGCGCGACTTACAAGCCGCATGACCCCGATTGAGCGGTTGGAAGTGCTTCGAAATATAGGCGCATTATACTTAGTTTCGGCTAGTCCAGATACAGCCAATGCTACAAGGTAGCGGGACCAATCGAGCGGCTTTGAAAGTGCAAGTCACTGTGCCTTTTTTGTTAACGATTGGTTCGGCGACGATAGAACATATATATAAACATCAACAACGTGATGGTACGCTTTTGACCCTGTCTGTTTGGTGGCGTTGACTGCGTCTTGGCTTAAGGTGAAACAAACTGTAGTGTTCTCTCGTCGTAAGCGGTTACGGGAGAATGCAATGCATTTGAGCGCACTCGGACGCATACGTGTCGACTGACCTTTACGATGTAACTTCGCGTCGTGTCGTCGCAACCGCCGACCCTCTCGCGAAACGGCAACTCCTTTCTAGGGCCGCCCACGAGGGCAGCCCTGGTGTCGCTGCTCTCGGTGGCGGTGGGTGTGTGCACCTTTCTGCTGGCGGCTTTCGTGGTGGCCTACCTGCTGCTGCGGCGCCACTACGGCAAGAAGAAGCGGCGCTCGGAGGAGATGATCCTCCAGTGCCACCCGCCGCCTGACCCCGAGACGGTGAGTCTCCCCGCCCGGAGCCGTCGCCATACTGAGAACAGCGGGGTGCGTCTTTCGAATGCCCGAACTCCAGCACACTTTAACTGCATGTGCGCACACAAAGTACGCAAGACATTGAAGCTTCGTCGAAGTTTGCGCTGCACCGAGTGCCAAAAGGGTGACGCACGGAAGAAAATTGGAATGTGAAACGCTGACACAAAAAACTGTAGCTATTTATTGACTCTATTCTCTCTAGTAGAATCTTACTTATTCCACGATGTGATCATGAGTGCTCTTAAGTTGTAAAGAAAATATACATATAAATCAACAGAGTCCAATAAAACTGCACAAAGGTGTTTTTAGGTTATGCATTTCTCATACTGTAAACGACTTAATTTTCACGAGGACCTAACTTTCGCAAAATTCGCGAATCACCTACAATTTGCAAAAAATAGGTCCCACAAGCAATTCCGGTAAAATGTAAACAGATTGGAATCTATATTGAGATCCCAACATGTCGCGAAAATTAGAACCCATGAATTATTCCAAAACTTCAACTTTGACATAAATTGCGAAATATTGAGCCCGCAAAAAATAAGTTGTTTACAGTACATACTCGAATTTCGTGAGTGTGGGTTTCTGGGAAAGAATGCAAGAAAAAAAAAAAAAAAAAAATTTAAATTCCTAGGCACATAAAAAAAAAAAAAAAATTTTTGTTTAGGAGCACTGTTGCGGCAAAAAGCCATTGTTTTATAATCTATTCTCGGTACATCAATCCTTCCCGCTAGCGACGAGAAGGCTAAAAATTGTTATTCTTGAGAATGGCTCTTGAAACATAAATATGGCTTGCTTTCGTGACTTTCAATGTCAAAATGTCTTATATTTACATTTTAATTAGCAAATTATCAAAATTAGTCTTTTGTCTGTCAGTGGTCCTTGCCCTTTAAAGACCGACGTGTAGAGTCAGCCTTGTGCGAGGGAAAAAATTATTTTGTGTTTCTCCGCTCCCCGTTTTAGAAGGCAGCCGAAGAAGGGAACTATGGAAAAGGGACATAACTTTTTTACGCTATCAACTCGGGGGGGGACTTTAGTCACTTACAAAACGGCAGAAGTTGCTGGTGAGCCACTCTTAAAATGATGCAGCCGAAATTCGGTGCTGATGAGAAGGTAGCAGAAAACACAAAATGACCAGGGCTAAGTCTCAAATTGGCATTTGACTCTGTCACTCTTGTCTCGTGCTCTTTGTCGGCGTTTTCCTCATTCCCGAGTTTTCGTTATGGTGGCAATACTGAGCTCATCATCTCTGCTCAGGTTGGTTCAAGAGCAGACACTGAAGAAACTGGTTCCACAGAAAGTCTTTATAATTTCAGTAAAACAACCTGAATTTTGTTACCTTTCTAAATTAAGTGCAATTTGGCTTTTCTTTTACCGTATATTCATAATAAAGGACTTAATAGATTCTAAATTTAACAGTTCTGGCAGTCCAAAGTGTCAATGACAGAACCTATATGTACAGCCACCCGCCATTTATTCCAACAGTTAAACGTCCATTAATGGTCATTCCTTTTGGAATTTTTCTTTTGAGGAGTACAACACTTACCACAGTTGGAAATGTCTGCATTGGGGAAAGGTCACATGTGTCGTTGCTAGTTTGCTTTGCTGCTGCGCATGGCTTCGGATTGTCCGAGGCTGCACTAACTGCTCGTTCGAATTGCATTGCCGCAGAATGCAGTCTCGATCACTCTTAACGCGAATGCATCTTAGTGCCACTCGTGAGAGTTTGGTCATTTCGTTTTCTTTGGGTGCTTGTGCACCTTGCTGCATGCTTTTTGTTTTGAGGGGACATGCAGGAGAGTATAACAACTGTGACCCCAGGAACGCATCTCCGACTTTTATCGTGTCCTCAATTTCTTCCTGCTGATGTCACGCTTGTGTTCTTGCCTGCTGACATCACGCCGCAATCCTGGCGGTGACACAACAGGGGGGGGGGGGGGGGGGGGGGGGGGGGGGGGGCAGTTTCGTCAGGTGCCCATTCAGATAGAAGTTGCTCTCCAGCTAGGATTGCCACCTTTCCTCGAAGAAAAAACCGGCCATCCCCGAAGGGGGGGGGGGGGGGGGGGGGGGGGGTAGTGTAATTATGCGAGATTGAACTGGTAAAAAGAAAGACGCAGAAATGGTAGTCCTAATTAATACACAGACTCAATTTATTTTGATACAAGCTTCCTAAAATGAAATAAATTAATGCGGATCTGTTAATACATCATAGCACATGTAAGTACACAAATACACAACACTGAACTCAATAACATACATAGATGCATACGATTTAGTCAAAACTAAAGCGCCAAAAATAAATCTCGTACCTCTATTCATCCTGTGCAGCAGGTGGAGAACCGGTTACTGGAGTTTACGTAGAAATGGCTAAGAACTAAATAATGCTTTGAGTAAAAACATCTCGAAGACACTGAGCATGATGCTCAGCACGCAGGTTTCGAGCGTAAATTTATCTTTTTTAAAAATTGATGGTTCCAAAGGTTCTGCTAATGAACACGGGTGCAGACCACGAGCACCGGCATGAGCTTGAAAGCTTTTGATCACTCGTGAATTAATGTAACACGAGCATGTTTTCATACCTCTCGCATCATGAATTACGAAATAACTGTGTCCTCGGATTCAAAGTGATATCTTGCTCGCCATTCTCTCGATCTCCTTTGGTAAATCGAAAGTCTCTATATGTGCTACACTGAACAGTAAACGCACCAGACTTTTACGAAAAGGATGTCTTCTTTGTAGCTAAAAAACAATTCCACGTACCAAGACAGTGTTTACAAAACTAGCTTAAAAATAGAGTACTATGCATATGCCTATACCCAAACTACCCCTTAAAAAAAAAAAGGAATTGGTACTTGGGCAGTTAAAAAAAAAAGAAACGGCAAATCAGGGCCGGTTTTAGATACATACCGGTAATCGGCCTTTTACTCATAAAACTGACAGTGCCAGTGAAACACCGGGCAGGCGGCAACCCTATTTCCAGCATAATAGCTCACTGCAGCTTCAGCAATCCAGAATTTGGGATGCTGGGACGACAGCGGCTCTCGTGTTCGCTTGTCTTTCTTTCCGGAATTTTACGGCCAACCGTCAGGATTGCGACGTCTGACAGCGTGACACGTCGATTCCTGCGACACATTCTGTTGTCCCTTCGGGACCGACCACTGTTAATGCGCGGGCGGTATAAGACGTTAAATACACCAGTCGAAGACGCATTCCAGGAACAGTGTTAAAGGGACCATGAAATGATTTTAAAATCGAATTTCATCCACTGCACGTCGTAAAAGGTGTGAAAAGAAACACAAAAACACAAAACTAGGGAGCCAAAAAAAATTATTTGCTATAGAACTTTTAAAAGAAAACTGGACTCTTTTGCGACTTCTTTCCTTCGAAAGCTCTGCCTTTTCACTACGATGCATCCGCAGAAACGGAGCACGTCAGCCGAATCCACGTCGCCTATTGGGTAAGAGCCTACCTCACCAGCACCGCGATCGTAAACAATAAATAGCCGGCGAATGTTTCCTAAAAGTTTTGTTAAATAATATTCAGATCCACATTTTGTAGCATAATTAGAGATGTGTGGCGAAAATTGCCAAATTTGATAATGCTGAGAGCCAAGCGCCATCTATCGTGTGGTAAACGAAGCAACTACTGCGCGTGCGCAGTGGGGCAGGGCCGACTTCAGAACAGTTATTTCCTTTGGTTTCCTTCCTCTCAAAACTCTGACTGACTGAATGTTTATTTTTCTACGTGTTCAGCTCGCGCGTGCCGACTTCAAGCAGCAAGAAAAAAATGTACTTAAAACAGACCACGACGAACAAGAACGCTGGATCCACAAACACCCGAGAAGAGCGACAACAGCCGCGAATCCCGCTCCGACGAAGCTCTCAGAATATAGGCCTAGCAGGCACTCCGACTCGGCGCAGCGTTGCTTCGTCGCAAGACCGTCTGTCTGCCTACGACCGGCTGGCGTGCTGAATGGAATAGGCAGTGTCTATTCTGCCGGCAGCCGGCAGAATAATTTTTCCGAAATTCTACCGGCAGTCACCTCCGGCGCCTTTATCAGTGGGGAGCTCGTTAACGTAGCACCCCCCCCTCCCCCTCCTTTAGCGGCTCATTAGAAATATATTGACCTATTTGGCCGACCAGTACCACCGCATTGCGGCGGCGTGCCGGCCGGCCCAAGCCCCGCTGTCCTCCATTCACCCCCAAAAAGGAAGTGTTTCGTCAACAACATTCGTGTTTTCTTTTTTTTTTTTGTGTGTTCTTTTTTCAGTGTTAATTCTAAAAGAGAGATGTCGTAAATATCGCCTAATACCTCAACAAAAAACAAAATTCCGAAGAAAAAAAAAAATTTTTTTCTCAGGGGATTGAACTAAGATCTTGCTGTGTATGAGGCGCACATCTTACCCACTGAGCTAATCCACAGCTTAGAATAGGCGTGTTTACAATCCCTTTTATACGAGACCCAATAGGCGACTACTGCCGGCACTTTTTCCCCCCGGTTATTGTGCCGGCTGCCGGCAGAATAGACACTTCCAATGGAATATGCCCGCGCTACCCTTGTGGACCCTTCCCGTATTATAGTTTGATCGCTGACCTCAATTTAGGTTAAGAGGTGAGGTCAATCTCTTCCCCTTGTTTTCCGAGGCAGTGTTGACGAACACTCGTCGAAAAGGGACCCTCGTCGATTCTCTCTTCTTGTTTTGTGTGATATAGAGCTGAAATAAACGCTGTATGGATTACCTTCGTAACACGGTCACTTTGTTATTGGTATGCCATTTTTATTCTGACAGACTGCACGTCACTGCCGAGCTGTAACAGTTCGTGGGAGGTATAAGTGCAATACCGGTCCAACCTTTCTTTGCCGAGTGTCGCTTCAGTATCGAGTTGCAATCGTAAAAGATCGGTCCCGAAGCGCTTACCAACAGCGCGAATACAACACTTCCATCAAACGCGCGCGTCCGCTCCGAGTGTGAACAGGTATTTACGTGGCTCTTGCTGACACTCGTTGTTCAAACGTATCTTTTTTAGCGTTGGCTCGTTCCTGCATCTCCGAGACCGCGAAAAATCGCCGCGGCAATTTGTTTCCATCTACGTCGCTTTGCAAACGACTGACACTGGCCGCCTTTTACCAACAATGACAGTTGGGTTGACTTCTGGAGTCTTCACCGAGCCCCATGCTGTCGCTGTAGCGCAACATATCTCATTGAATTTCGCTCAGCTGCGATGCAGCGATGAGAGGCGCCGAATCAGAAAATACGTTGGTGACATCGGCGCAGTAAAACCTACCGGCGCACCCCAACTCGTCGCCGCTAACGCTCCCATCTCCTACTGCCGAGAGAACTTCCGGTTCCGGAAACAGCGTACGTCACGGCTTGTTTTGCGGTCAAGAAAAAGTCGATATTTCATTAATTTTTTGCGTAGAAGTTAATAAACCGAGACGAAAACGGATGCCTGTTCGGCATTCAGTGAACATTAACGGTTTAATGTAAAAGTTATCTGGAAAAAGTAAAAAAGTCATTTCATGGTCCCTTTAAAATCGAGTCATCGACTAACCGCAGTTTAGAAACCTGCACGTCTAAAACATGTCTTGAAACTGAAAAGATGTGAACAAGTAACCATGGAAAGCTCGGGTTTGGCTCAAACGCAGGAATTAACTTGCACCAACAAAAACCAGTGCCTGTTTCACGCTTCACAATCGTGAAAGTTTATCACGATGGCTAGTCAGCCAAAGTCTGACGCTAGCGTTGTGGCTCCTTGTAGGCCCTTTATGAAATTCAGTCCGACTGTGGCGTCTGTGCCATGCTAATGGTGGCATTTTAATGGCTGAGGAAGGAACAAGTTGAAGACGTGTACCAGAGCGAGTAATAGAGAGCCTGGATGTTCTAGCCATTAGCCCTATATATGACGCAGAAATTGGATATAAGTACCATGCCAGCGTTTATTTCAGACTCGCATCGAGTCAATCAGTTGACTGATGCTCTACTCACAGGCCCCTCGAATGTCATCAACAATTTTGAACATTTACTCGGGTCAGTGCTTCGTAACGAGCAGCAGTTTCTCCGTCACCGTCGAAACTAAAGCGAATCGAGGAAGAACCGTAAGGCGAAGACTATGTTCTTGTCTGCCGTTGACGTACAGTGCATGACACTGTTAGCATGAACGCAACATTGGCAGTTTTCTGAATTCTATTCGCAAAATACTGATAGGCGACAAACATTACTGCTTAAGGGTATTGCTTTTATTAATTAAGGAGTTTCCGCCACAATAGTGGCTCCTAGGGCAGCTGTTCAGTTTGAAGAGAAAAGCATAAAATTCCGGTGATCGCATCTTCGAGCTAACAGCGTCGCGCCGTGTATAAAAGTCGCAGTGCTTAACAAAGTGCAACATTTTCGCCACCATTAGGACTAAAAAGTCAGTCCAACATTTGAGCCACTAAATGGCGCCGGATTTCGGAAAGGGTCTACACAGAGGCCACCCCTCTCAGTTTTGAGACCGACGTTTTGCACATTCTCGTGGCCATGGTGGCACGTTTCTCCCGCTAAGCCTTGCATGCCCGGGCAGTAACGCTCCGTCTCCCGCCGGCGTTCCTTCGGCCACAGACGCCGCTGTTCGCTCCCCGACGCTCGCAGGAGGACGGCCCCTTCTGCGCTGGAGCCCTCCAGTTGGGCGAGGGCGCCGACCTGGGTGCCTTCTACGGCCAGCTGCGCGCCATGTTCTGGCAGGTGCCGCGCCCTCAGCTGCTGGTGCGGGACACCACGCTGGGACAGGGGCGCTTTGGCCCGGTGCGCGCCGGTGTTGTGCACAGGGACGGCAGCGACCTGTCCGTTGGGGTGCAGCGATGCTCGGGTGAGGTTTTAGTTTTGAACGCGTGCATAGCTAAGGCCAGTCTTGGGGTTTTTTGAATCCGTGTATCTAGCCTCAGTGATGTCACACTGTCACATAATTTATACAAGATTTCCCCTAAAAACAATTAATTTTTTTTAAGTTAAAGAATAAATTATACATTGTTAAACGCTCAGTTTCTGACAAAGTGTAGCACTAGCAATCCGATGATGCCGAGGTTTCGAGACATACCGTTGCCTTATTAAATATTTGCGAGATGAGATGCCTCGCAACTTTGAGATGCCGAGGTTTCGAAACATACCGTTGTCTTATTAAAGAGTTGTGAGCGATTTTTGGAAATTTTTTGATGGTAACATGATGGCCGACGACGTCCACGAAAGCGTGGGGCTGAAGGGTGCAAACTACCAAGAGGAAACTACATTTTCCCATTGAGAGTTTAGGGAAATTACATATAACTTTTTAATAGGATACGGTTATTTTTGAAATTTCGGCACCTGGTCCCGACTAGTACGTCACATTTCGGTGGAGACTGAGCATTTGACGATGCTCACAGTGATGTAATTGCTGCACCAAAGTGCTTACCTCGCTACATCCTGCTACATTTTGACGAAATTTTAGGAATTTGCTTTAACATTGCACCAAAAGTCAATGTGACTTAATTGATACTGAAAATATAATAGCTCAAGCCTCACTACACGGCCAGATTGTTATGGTAGACTTGCGGAAATTTTCAGAACTTCTGATTATTGCGTCAAATAATGTACTACTTGATTTCTTCTCTATCAAACACTGGCCGAACTCGGCAGTTTCCCAATATTTCTCGTATGCGTGATCCGTTTTGACAGGTTTGTTAGCTTTGTTGAGTGCGTTTCTCACCATGCACTGGTGTGTTGCAGTGAAGTGACAAGTGCAAAATGGACTTGATAAGGATAGATAACTGGGCAAGTTGGTAAGGATTCATGTTGAAAAACAGCGTAACTGGGACGAGGACAAAAAGACGAAGAGAACAAAGCTTGTCTTGTGTTCTCTTTGTCTTTTTGTCCTCGTCGAGGTCGCACTGTTTTTCGGCAAAATGGACATTACAATTTTTCGTACCTTGTTTTGCCGCAGTGCATCGGTGTACTAAGGGGAAAGCATTTTCCTAGAGCAGAATGTGACACGATTTCTGAATAAAGCTGTATATATAGTGGGCCGCAATATTCTGACCATATTTTTTTTCGAATTTGAGATTTAGCAAGGATACTCCAGTATTGTTAAAATATTTGTATGAACTGCTCTATAGGTTTATTTGTTACGTCAACTCTCCTGTTTAGTTACAGTCAAATGCCTTTATAACGAAGTCCACAGGACTGGCAAAGTTTTTCGTAGTACAGGTTACTTTGTTTCAGTAGCTGAGCATGGAAAATCTATCGAGCGAAGCCAAATTTATGCTATACAGACTGACATATTTGCACGACATTCGAGGCATTTTAGGAAACAGTATAGCTCCAAATGTAGCGTGAGCGATGTCAGAAACAAGGTTCTGTACAGGACGCATAGCAACGGAGGCCACACTGGATTGGCTGATTATACGGGGCGATACCGTGACGGAACATTTGTCATTGATGATGCTGCAGGCGCTGCCATCTTGAACTCGGTTGGTGGAACTCCATTCATTTAAACTGAAGTAAATAGAGAGTTTTAGAATAGCGTAAAGACCCTTACGTCAGCACTGCGTACAACGCACACTAGCTGTCAACTTAACGTTACGGAGCACATTGAACGTGCACTTTTAGTATAGCGGAAGGCAGATGCATACGTAACGATACGTAAAGACTTGCAGCGCCATCTAGATGTGCTCTTACGAACTGCCTCAAACAATCCAAGGCGGGTATTCGGTAAAGCCAATTTAACACTGGGAATCTTTTCGCTTTGCTACGAAGTGCGTGATTCTCTTTCCAGTTGCCTGTTGTGAACGTTTTATGTCTTTTTTGTAGGGCTGTGCGACCAGCAGTTCGATCTATGGTTCGCTTCAGTGTGTTGTGGGATTCCTACTATCTTATGTTGGCCTCGTCATTTGCTTGGAAGTATGCAAGCAATATGTTGCACCGCTCGCGTACCGACTGCAAAAAAACACCTTTTTGGGTTCGACGGCATCGCCAACGTTCTTGGCTACCGACACCAGTCTTTGTGGGCGCTCGAAAGGGTTCGTCGCACTGATTTTTTTTTAGGAGGTTGTGTATCGCCTGCCAATACTGCCCGATCAAGCCGAGTTCCACTCGCTTCGAGGAAGTCACACGGGGAAGCGCTACTATTGGGAAAAGGTTTTATCTGTACTTAAGTTCAGAGTCTGATGAAGAGGAGGGCCAAGGCTGTCTAGTGGTCCGGGTCTTCAGTTGGAGGCCTTGCTCGGCACCGGCTCTTTCGTCTGTCTCCATCTCCGAACTCCGCTTATCCTCACCCGCCACGAGCCTCGCCCTTTTTCTCTTCTTCTTTCTCTTTCTTCCACAAGGTTGAGGTCACCTTCGATGGTGAAGCGAACCCGTACAACGCGCGTAGCACTTCGACTGGTTTGCCTCACCGCCGCTATTTTTCAAACTGGAGAAGTCTCGCGCTTTCCCGTGCGTGGCGAGAGCAACGAGAATGGTACGCAGGGGACCGCTACGTACGCTCGCAAAAAGCGATAGCGAGCGTACGTACGCATAGCTTGCTGCAGTACGTACGTTTGGCTCATGCACAGTATGGAGGACGCAGCGTTAACACTAACGTAGGGGGCTTACGTTTGCTGCTATACGTATTACTAAAACTCTCTAATGATCTCCATTGAGTTCAACCGTCGTCTGCGACTCAACGGCAGTTGACGCCGCTGCATACCGTATTTGCTCGCATAATGAACACACTTTTTTCTAAAAAAATTGACATTACGCTGGGTAAAATTTTTGCATTTGCACTCTTCGTGCAAATGTCACATTAGGTGCCAATATGACACGGCAAGGTACTGTGGCACGTCTCCGCTGGTTGGGGGCACGCCACAGTAACCATGCTTTATAAATTGCAAACCTTTTTAGGGCGCTCTAGGCATGCCTTTTGCCGAAAGGAAAGCGCTCTATGAAGCTCACTCAGCATGGAAAGCAACATGACTGTTCTTAGGTGATATATGTGTCTAGTATTCGGTGGTGCGCTCAGGTATAATTCGCGACTACGCGTATGAGAACTCTTACGAAGTCCAACCGCCGACCCCCAAGGCCCGCTCCCACAGATCAAGTTTCGTTTACGGAGACTGCTCTTACCAGACACACCCAACGCGTGCACCTCGCTGCGCCGTTCTGTTACCGATTAAATGCATGGATTTACTTAAAGTATGTGAATTTACACCTAACCACTTTCACAATTTCGCTGTCCTTAAGCAAACCACAGACGACGGCGTGTTTGTTGACATCAATGCATTCGATAGGCAGAGAATGTCTGGGGCTGGGCAATTCCTCGACCCAAGCTTCGTCAAGTGTGCGCACTGCTCGGGTTTACGGTTGGTCACTTCTGCAACTAAGCATTTGCGGCCATTATGAGAGCGACTTGGCTTGGTTTGGCCTGACCGCTTGGCTGCAAAAGAAAATTGGCTTAGTGGCTAGCTAAATTGGATGCAATGCGAGACTCGCGGAGCCGAAAATTGAAAGTGCGTTGATTGCACGAGGGAAAAAAAAAGTCCAAATATTTGTACCCGTCGTGGGGGGTGCGTTCATTATGCGAGTGCATTCATTATGTGAGGAAATACGGTAGTTACAATCGTTCGCTATCAAGTCATCTGTCATTTTGACTCAATAGCGGTTGTACGGGCCCGTGTAACAGGTGTTACACGAATTTGATGCCATGCGGAGGGCTCTGGATCGGCCAAGACGGGTCACAACATTCGTTCCGGTACATCGTGAGGTGAAACGGAGTTTGGAAGGGGCACACGTTTACACCCTGCCCGACTGTGCAGCCCAGTGGATGTTGCCAGACCGGGAACGCAGGCAGCTGCTGGCCGAGATTGAGGGCATGGTCCGCCTGGGAGTCCATCCCAACGTGGTGCTCTTCATTGGGGCGTGCGAGGACCAGGGTGAGTCGCTCCCCGCAACGCATGCTTATCAACGTGCAATGTCTTCGAGGGCTGGGATTTCCGAGGAACACGCGACGGAACGCCACGAAAAACCGTCACGAAACATGTGGCACGGATTTTAGGGGAATCATATGTACGCAAAGGAACAGATGATAAAGAAGGAGTAACGTTCCCTTATTCTCTAAATTATAAATTGCGCTTTTTCTTTTTCTGCAGTTTCCGTTGGTGCGTAAACTGCTGAAAATAAAGCTTTTAAAAATTTTTTAGCATCTTCAAATTTAGATTGACCCCGATCGTATCATCGAGATTTTACCCTATGATGCATTCTACATTAAATCAAAGGCTGTCGGTTGGTTAATGGTGACGAGCGCCTTCCTGCCCCCGACGTTGCAGAGTTCCTCCAGCTGGTAGTGGAGCACCCCCCGCGCTCTCTGCGGGGCCTCCTGCTCACGAGCCGGCACAGCTCCGAAGGCCGCGTCTGCTCCCTGGAGGAACGCCAGCTCCTCGAGCTGGCCAAGGGCGTCGCCGCCGGAATGTCCCACCTGGCACGCCACGGGGTGAGTGAACCTCCCGGGTAATGAGTCCATAGTTCTAGCGCAGAATGTGTTTTTTTCTGCATTTTTCATGTGGAAATGATCATGAACGAGCATCATAACTTGCGTCAATAACGACTGACACGCCAGAAGCATTACAGGCGTTAAGGTTATATATAAAATAATGTATAAATTTTGAGCCACCAGCATGACTCAAATCTGGGTCGGTGTTGTGGCAGTCGGATACTGTAGCTTCAATGGCCGCTCCAAACTAGTAATTTGCCTGCTACAAACCCTACTATGAAAGTTTATACGTTGCTTCCAACACTGCTCTGAGCTACTTGCTCAGTGTAGTGTTGGAAGCATCAGTGCATCCTGAGCAAACGCCCACTAAAATTTGGAGATAATCATGTAAAACTGGGGGATGGGTGCTTCTCAGGTCAACAATTTGTAAAGACATGTCCTTTGTGTATTTTCCGAACATTACGAAATTGAGGGGTGGGCGCTTATTGCGCATTGGGTGGATGCTAGGTATATATTTTATGATAATAAACTGATAGAAAAAACTAGCCCAAACGACACACGGAGTGTGGTTTGTGCAGAACATTTTCTTTGCTCCCTAGTCTTTGTCAGCGCGATGAAGCCGGTTTTCTACGAACCACATTCAATGAAAGTGAAAATACACAAAATAACTCCATAATGGTATATATAAGACTGGAAACAAATTTAAAAAGAAAGTACAATTATACACATTGTCTCAAAAGACAGCTACCGATTTTATTTTACACTGTCAAATTAATACAACCGTCCACCGGAAGCTTACCAGCGCCTCCTTGCTAGAGGATAACAAAGGAATGAAGAAACAGACTTGCAGCTGCCCCCAGATTACTCCAAACCAGAGGCCTGACCAACAAAAGAAATGGACACTCGCTACGCCGACCTTTTCCTGAACCCCATTAGTCACCCCCAGAAACCTTTTCATTTCTCTATTCAAGAATAAAGTCAGCAGGCTTACGCAATTCCCGCTGCTAACGATAGGCATTGTTAGCTGCGGTGAATCGCTGCATGACGGCAACGAGTGCCGTGACACTTGTACCACTGCTTGATTCGCTTCATTGGATCATAGTGCCGGCTGCGGTCAAACTTAAAAAACACTAAACATAGAAAAAATAACAAGTTTGTCTTTTCCACTTACCGTAAAATACCGGGCAAGCACCCACTCAAAATTTAAAGATGATAGCGAAAAAATGGGGGATAGCTGCTTGTCTGGTAATCAATTTTACATATATGTACTGTACAAATTTTTTCAGATTTCACAAATTTGGGATTGAGTGCTTAATGTGGAATGGGCGGATGCATGGTATCCTATGGTAATTAGGAGAGGCACGCTTCAAATAAAATGTGTTGAAAAAAAGGTTGTTTTTTTTCCCAATATTTAGGATAGAATACAAACTTTTCGATTTGCGGGCAAAACCGAAACTGTACGCCTGTGGGATGTTGATGATAGCATTTGTCCCCATCTAGTTTGCACTCCGAGGTCCAGTGAACTCTAAGCACACACAAGTCGGGTACAAACGCTATCATCATTGTCCCACAAATGTATATAATTTCGGTTTCACCCACAATCTAAACATTTATATTGTAGAATAAATATTGGGCAAAAAGAGTATTTTTTGTGAGGAGCATTTATTTTGAAACATAACCGTCGTAACAGAGTATAAGGAAAATAAATTTTGCAGCGAAGCTGTAAACCTCTACCTTTCAAGGAAATTTTCGTGTCATTGGCATTGTAAGCAAAAGACTCCCGGCAAACAATTGAAGGCAAAACAGCATATCTCCTTTGAAATCAGGCATACAGCATACAGCTCAGTATCCGTTTCAACAAAGAAAACCTCAAAGAAAACAACAAAACAAGCTTCAAAACCACACGATGGATGATAAGGCACGTGTGAGCATAAGAACACCCTCCCACATGTTCCGGTAAAGGTTAGGTCTGTGGCTGCTTCGAAAAGGGTTGACGTCATTCGAAGCCCTCGTGTGAAGTGCAGACCACATAATGGATGATGACGGCGCCTGCGAACAATGCGAAGCACGTTCCTTCTGCCCGCATGTGTTTTCGTGTCGGTGTTTCATGGAAAAGAAGACTTCAGAAGATTGAAGCGAAAAGTACAAACACCACGCATACAACATACAGCACAACATTCGTTTCAATAAATAATAAGAAGAAAACAAGCATCCTAACTATATAATGAATGATAAGGAGCTCCTGAAAAATTGCAAAGCACGCAGCACTCACCACATACGTTCCTGGTGAAGATTACTGTTGCCCAAGCTGCCGTGGCGATGGCAGCTTGCGACGTGGGGAGTAACGCCACTAGTCTTTCATATATAAAAGAAGAACAGGCCTATACCCCACTTCAACTTACGTCCGGACGCAGCGGATGCTTTGAGCTATCTTAGCCAATCCCGTTCTGTAGACGTAGCCCGTGATGCTGTCCGTGCGTCGCTGTGTCCCCTCTCCAAGGTCATGTGACACTCACATGGCCTCCGATTGGCTCTGATGGCTTGTAACATCCGCTGCGCTCAAACGTAAGATGAAACGGAGTATAGCAGCTGATTTCATTGTTGCTGCAGCACCGCGATGAATAGGCCACACATAGTTAGCACTCCCGAGGAGGAGCGTGAATACTAGGAGCGGCAAAAGGAAAAGAAACAGCAATACGACCAGCGGTGGCGTACTGCGACAGGCGGCGGCATTTCGTATAGTGCAGTAGGCAATTGTTGCAGGTGATACCACGGCTCCGCTGACCAACCACCTTCACTAAGTAAATTGGGGCCCCAACTTTTTTTTTCCCAAGTTTAGTGTTTCTTTAAAGTGAAACGGAGGATAGTAGGGGGTCGGCCGCACCACTGGTCATCATCAGCGTCCACATGCTCATCTCTCGGTGCCTTCACCTTCCTTTTTTTCCTTTCGTGGTGTAATCACGTGTTCTTTGTTTTTCCGCTCGTCTGCTGCAGGTTCATCACGGGCAACTCTCAACAAGGAGCATCACTGTTGTGGACGACTTGGTCCCCAAGATATCCAACTTTGGCTTGGCAAGATACACTCCGCTCGGCAAGGTGGGCATCTACTTCGGCTTTAACCAGTGCCTCCTCTATAGGGTAACGCCTGGCAAGAAAGTCCGAAGGGCACGTTCATGCCCTCTCGTAACCTCCTTTCTCGCTCAATGCGCCTTGCCGCCAGGCGCGCTCATATCTTATCGCTCTGTGTCGACGCCGTCAACGCCGTGTAGGCCCAGCTGGCCGTGCTGGCTGTGTGGAGCCTCGGAGCGAGATCGTTGTTTTTTTATACGGGAATGTATAAAAGAGCATGGGCTTTCGTGTTACATGGAGGATATTTCTGTAAGGGTTAATATTAGTTGTGTACTACTAGCGAAGAATTATACTTCGTTCACCCTTAAGCTGAGACTGAAAGCTCCGCCTTTCGCATGAGCTCGCTGCCTTCCCCAGTGCTTTGGTTGCACGTGCCTGCGCGTTCCCACTTATGTTAGCAAGGGCAGAACGCTCACAGTGAAGGCGAAGCTTCTAGTCTCAGCTTAAGGGTGAACACAGTATGGGGGCCTGCGGCCGGGTATGTTGGCCTGCTGGTAGGACATGGGGAGCGAAAGTGCAAGCTGCAGAACCCAGGGATCCCAGGCTTGATCCCTGCCACTGTTTGTGCCGACCCGAATGAGCGTCGCACTGGGGAGTGGTCAAGTAATCACTGCTGCGGGATGCACAATAACTATGCCGCTTAATCATAAGCGAAGAAGCTACGAAAGCGTGAAATGCCTGCTGTGCACCCGCGCTCGTGGCATTATGCTATATACTATTTCGTCACAAGTGTGGGCGACACCGCTGCTACAATCGCGAGCATGACGCATTGGCAACGCTTGCATTTCGCGAATGGATGAGCTCATCACTACCCTTACAGCACTGAAAAGGTGGATCTTATTACAGCACAGAAAAAATGTGTAACCCCTGCAAAGCAGTGTGGAACGCGCTATGAAAGTATAGTGATGGAACTTCTCATTTTGACGTGAAACAAGACGATAGGCAGCACACTGCACGAAGTTTGTCAAGTCCCTGCCCAAGAACTATGCAGTTACGCAGCTGACATCATGGACTAGATACCGATCGTGGCAAAACTGTATGATTCAAAACCCTTATCTAGGAAGTTTGTGAAGCTAAACTAATTTGATTGGAATAATTACTTTTCGGAACTCCGTTTGTACTATTAAACTATTTTTATTTAGGTAACTGCAGCAATGAAATCAAACCACTGCATCAATGTTTTTTTTTTTTTCTTTTTACAGTGTTACAAAGAAAATTTTGATTACAGTTTCTTTAAATTGCTTTTTAACTTATCATTTTTGTTTCCCTCACATACAGTGTAAATTTTATTCCTGATTCACACCTTGCATCTGATGATTTATTTTGAAGACACCCCACGAAAGAGCATAAAAAGCTGCGCGAGCGGTTTCTCGTGCTCCGTTGGCTCGGGTCACTGGGATAGGATGCGTGTGCCGCCTGGTGTCGCAGGCGAAGAGCCGGACAGCCCGGTCCAGCTGGGCAAGAGCGGGATCTGACAGGCATTATCCTAGAGGAGGCGCTGCTCCACTGCGTATCGCGAGTTCCGAAAGTTGGCTTTCGAGGTGCTAGCACACAAACGTGCACATTGGTTTAGGCCTGCAAATTGTCTCGTTCTGGATCTTGAGACATAGACCATACGCCTAAAAAGTGTCACAGCAGCCATTCATTTCCTATTTTACTCATTGGGTTGTTTGCAAAATATTAACGAATGAAAGGCCTCTTTTTAAGCCTATTCTTAGATGAAACCAGTCTGAAGCAAAACTTCCGCGCTTGATGCGAAACAGCATGGCGCCAGTACGAATGTATTTCAGGAGTAGTACATACCATAGTTTGGGACGTGCCGGAAAGTGTGATACTTTTTTTTTTTTTTTTCTCATTTAATAAATAGTACATTTTTTAGCATGTTGAAGCACTTCGGGACAGCACGGACCTTTACCCCTTTGCCTACGGCAAAAAGTTTGAAAAAAACAATTTGAAAATACAGAATTTTTTTATGTGCCCAATATTTATTTTATTTATTTATTTATTTAGGAATACTGCAGGCCAATTGCGGCCCAAGCAGGATTGGGGGTTACAAAAGTTAAGTAAAAAAAGAAAAAACGCAACACCAGGTAATCCGTAAAATGGGAGAGGGGAACAGGGGAAAAGTATGCAAAAATTGTAATAAAGCACATGTAATAGCTCACAACAAAGTTGGGAGGAGTGGCGGTAGTGGGGAACAGGAAAATAAAACACAATGCAAAGAGTTACACATCAAACAAACGCTCAATCGACTCCAAAACATTGTCAGATATGAATATGTGATGAGGTAGGTTGTTCCATTCTGTTATGGTTCTGGGAAAGAAGGAGTATTTAAATGCATTTGTTCGAGCGAATACTGGAGTTATTTTATGCGGATGGTCATGCCTTGTGTGCCTAGTCGAGGATGGGTGAAGAAAGGACGACGATCCAAGCCGGAGTTTTTTAAACCAGAGTTGATAAAGAAATTTTAGTCTAGCTAGCTTCCTTCGTGATTCAAGAGAGATGATGTTGTTACTTTGAATTAAGGCAGCAGGTGAGTCATGCGGGTGGTAGCGATTAAATATAAAACGAGCTGCTTGCTTTTGAACATCTTCCAGTATCTTGATATCTTTTTTTGTGAATGGATCCCAGACTGTACAGGCGTATTCTAACTTTGTTCTTATCAATGTGTTATAGGCTAAAAGTTTCACATGAGAAGGCACGTGCTTAAGCTTGTGCCTTATCATACCTAGTTTTCGACGGGCAGCTGCATAAACGTGTTCAATGTGTGAGGACCAAGATAAGTTGCTAGAAATTGTAATACCAAGATATTTAAAGCTCATCGTCCGAGAGATGTAGTTATCACCAATAAAGTATTCATACTGATGAGAGGACTTTTTGTTAGTGATGCGCATGTACAAGGACTTTTCTTGGTTAAGCTTCATCTCCCAACGATCGCACCAGCTAGAAACTGCATTAAGACTTTCGTTCAGAACAACTTGGTCCCTAGTAGAGTTAATATCCTTGAACAATAGACAGTCGTCCGCAAATAAACGAATACTCACGCTTTTATCTATACAAAAAGTGAGGTCATTAATAAAAATTGAAAAAAGAAGAGGGCCAAGGACACTCCCTTGCGGAACACCCGAAATTACAGGAAGAGGATCAGAATGGTGACCGACTACATCGACGAATTGTTTTCGCATTTGAAGATAAGCTGAAATCCATTGAACAACTGTGCTGGGAAGGCCAATCTCATTTAGTTTGTATATAAGACCGGAATGAGGAACTCTGTCGAAGGCTTTGCTAAAATCAAGGAAGATGACGTCGACTTGACCAGGCCTATCTACTATAGAAGCAAAAGAATGAATAGTTGAAATGAGCTGAGTAGTAGTAGAAAGTCCCTTTCGGAACCCATGCTGAAAAGGCGAGATTATTTCATGTTTATCGAGGAAATCATTGATGTAATTAGAAATTATATGTTCCAGTAGTTTGCACGAAGAGCTGGTAAGTGAAATTGGGCGATAATTCGTTAACATCGTACGGTCTCCTTTTTTAAAAACGGGTACAACCCGAGCAATTCGCCAATCTGAGGGAACAACGCCGCATGAAAATGACATCTGGAAGATAACAACAAGGAATCTAGAAATCCACTCAGCGTAACGACGAAGAAATGCATTTGGTATATCATCAGGACCATTTGACGATTTAGGTTTGAGGTTAAGTAGCATAGAAAAGATACCTTCAAATGTGATGAACTCTGAGCTTATCTCAGCTTCTTCGTTAAAGGAGGAATGTCAGACTTCGAGAACACTGACTGAAAGAAAAGATTAAACTCCGTAGCTATTTGTTGTTTGTCGTGAACCAACATTTCCCCAATTTTGACATAATCGACAGTTTTTTGTTGATTTGAGCTGAGGTGTCGCCAAAACTTCGCTGGATCTGTCTTAAGGAATCGTGTGAGTGTATTGGAATGATAGAACTGCTTACTTGTGCGAATTTTAGCTGCCAGTGCTCGCTTTAGGCAGGGGAGGGAGGAACTGTGAACTGGACTTCTACGGTTTCTTTTTACTTTCCGTACTAGATGAATTATTTCGCGTGTCATCCAGGGGTTTTTGCGGCGCACATATTTACTTTTATTAGGAATAAAGTTTCGAAGACAAAAATGACAGATTGATTTAAATTTATTCCACAAATAATTAACGTCGTTCCTAGAAAATGTATCTAAGGATAACTCAAGGTAATCTAGAACAGATTCGTCATTCGCCCTAGAAAAGTCTTTAATAGTTTTGCGCTTCTGAGCCACAAAATCATCCGAGCTGCCCATGAGGCAGGAGAAAGAAACAAGCTTATGGTCGGACAAACCATCCTCCACTGATACCTGTACCTCAGACAGAGACCTACTATAAAGGACAATATCTAAAATGGACGATGAAATTTAATATGCAGTACAAAGTACAAAATGGACGATGAAATTTAATATGCAGTACAAAGGCCAAAAACAAATGCCAAAATATTTATTATATGAGAAATCTTTGAACATACTGCAAAAGAGACTGAAGTTCCGCTTCACTGCATTACCGCAGACAGTTCACATCACCTTGCACATGGACGTTCAGGCCGGGCGTAGCAGTACTGCAGACAAGTTTACATCACATTGCACGCAAAGTGAACGCAAAACGTGGAGGGGCTGGAGGGGAATTTTCTTCACTGATTCTAGTCCATGCCGGCACGATGTCCTCATGGAAATCGGAGTCGTCTGAGCTCAAATGCAATAACTCAGTTGCATTGCTCTCGTTGTTCGATGAAAGGTTCATCTCCTCGTCTTCTGAATCTAAAGAGACGTCGCAGTATCTTCGTTTTCGCCCCAATTTCAAGGCAAGATCGTCACTATGAATGCAGCGACCAGAAGTTGTCGCCATTTTTAAATCCCCTGTTGCCTGCGTTGGAACAATTTTCTGCCAAATTCAGAAATTTACCAGGTTTTTATTTTCCGTGAAGTGCCATCTATCCACGGCAAAGCTCACTAGAAACACTTGGACTAGCCCTGTTTGTCCATGGTAGCGATTGGAGCCCAAATGAACGTGGACGAGCCCAGCTCGTCTTCGGGGGGAGCGGTACAAACAGTGTGGACGAACTCAGGTCGTCCATGGTAGGGAAAGGGTTAATGTGTACAGATCAGTTGTGTCCATTTGTTTTTATTTTCGGCATCTTTCTAATTACTCTTCCTTTCTGTGGCGATCTAAGCAGTTGTATGCCAAACCGCACCTTTTTTGAGATTTGGGCTTAGGGAGTTTACATTGCATATTCAGTAGGTAAAAACATTGACACTTTTGGAATTTTTTTTTTTTTTTTTATCTTGGACATTTTGCCGCTTGCAAATTCAAACTTACTTTCAAGCTGCAAGTGCAGAGCAACATGTCAGTAACTCGAGTTCTATAAGGGACGTCTAATATGTGCATTCTCACAACCATATCCCACTACTATAATCTTATACTTTTTCCTCTTCGTGTGCCTCGGCTATCCTAAGTATCACGCACCAACTAGATCAACACGAGCCCGTCCCATTTGCAGAAAGCTGCATGTGGTCACTGTGGCATCGCGTCGCTTTTCGCTTTCCGCAGAAACTGGACTTCGCACGATGGCTGGCGCCCGAGTCCGTCAAGACGGGCAGTCACACGGCCAAGAGCGACGTGTGAGTGAAACGCACAATGCGACCGCCTTCGTTATAAGGTACCAAACGCGTCTCCGACTCGTGCGTGTACCCCGTCCTTCTTTGTGGTCCCTCGATTTCCGCTGGATGATGTCACGCATGCGTCATGTTGTTGTCTGCTATGATTTTTTGGTGGCACAGCAGCAGAACTGCATACGACAGAGCCCCATTCCACCGTAAGTCGCTCTGCAGCTTGACAGTCTACAGCGGCTTCGGCAGCCAGGAGTCGGGATGCTGTGACTTCTATGGCCAACTGCAAGGACCGCAACGTCTGACATAGCGACGCACCGGCTCTTGCGACGTAATCTGTTGCCACTTTGGGACAGCTTCTTGTGTATGGGTGGGACGGGACGCTAAACACGCGAGTCGAAGATGCGTTTTGAAGCACTGTACCTTCGTTTGTGACACCTGGGCGTGGTGTGGTAAAAGAAGATTCCATGAATTCCCGTCTGTCGTTCCAGGTGGTCCTATGGAGTGCTTCTGTGGGAGGTCTTTACTTTGGGTAAGCCTGCGTCGTCCCTTCTACTGCAGGGACAGTTTGCACTTTCCTGCATGTTTCTGAGCGTGGTGGCGCTTCGTGCAGCGAGCTATTTGACTTCCTAAAACCCTGTTTCACTTTCAAATATGAAATGCCTCCTTCTTTTGCTTTTTTTTTTATTTTACATGTGATATTATTGTGATTGGTGTTGCAGCCCAATTTTTTTTGGAAATAGTGGACTGTTCATTACTGCTGCGACCCAGGATGTATTGTCCGCTTTTCGACTAGCCGGGATACTGTCGAGACCGGTTATTACAAAGTCAACGGGTATCAAAAATCACTTCACCATGATCTGCTATTTCGCTATAACCGACTTCGTTATAACCGGTCTGGACAGTATTTTCACATTTTTTATTAGCCTTTAGTATTTTTTTCTTACAATTTCAGATATTAGTGCACTACACATAAGGCTTTTAGCTGTTTGTGCATACTTTGGAAAAATAAAGTATTATTTTTAACTATAATTAATTAATATTAACCTAACTATAAATTTAAAAAATGTCATTAGTGACTCTTGCTAGTATCTATACCATATTGAAATTCCCACCCTGAAATTTTGTTATCTGGTAATAAAATAATTAAGAAAATCTAACTGAGATAAATCCAGTGAATTGCACAGGGCACACCGGGAAATTCTTTGAAATCAACTCTGTTTACTCACAATCTCCGTCTTTTCACTTGATTGTTTATATTGTGCTAATTTTTTTGTTAGCTTCGATATTTCTGATGCACAACAAAATTTAATGAAGAACAATTTATAGATCAATATGGGACAATGATTAAGAACAGGCATAAAAAGTGGCAAATGGAATTGAATGCAGGCAAATATGGGCATATGCAATTTTCTAGGAAATTGTCAAGCTTATTTTGTCGACAAGTGTATGCGTTGGACAAATAATCGTTCATTAGAAAGTGTTTCTAGCATTCTCTACTTTGCTGTTATTTTCTCCAAGATTTAGCGGGGGCATGCATGCCGATTACTTTACTAAAAACACCAACATAATGTTCGACTTTCTCAAAAGAAATTTTAGACATTGTAACAAAGAACCGGGAACCACTTTGTACTTTACATTTATTTGATCAACTCTAGAATATGCTTGTATTGTATGGAACCCTCTTACAATCATGCCAATTGACAACATAAAAGAAATACAAAATTAAAGTGCTCTATTCGTTTCAAATAGCTATCATCCGCATCAAAGTGTTTTAAAATTAAAGACAGACTGATTTGGCCGTTACTATCTACCCGACGAAAAAACTTCGGGCTGAAATTTTTCCTGGATTTTTTTCCACAGCCAAAGGATAATTCAAAAGAAAAACTACCTGATGACGTTGAACCATCTATCTCGGAGTCTGAATTTCCCGTTTGAAGTTGAAACTCTATCAGACTGTCACTCGTCATTTTTTGTTCATACTGTGATAGACTGGAACCGCTTGTCTTCTTCACTATTTCCTGTGTCATATATACACCATGCTAATTTTTCATCTACCCCTGTCCCTGCTATAATGCCCTGAAGGGTGCAGCAGGATCAAGTGGAAACAAATGAATAAATATAACTTGCCTGGTTACATACCAGAAAATCTGGTACTCTTTTTCATCAATCGGATCCGTCTGCTATTATGCTGGAAGTGGGACAGCAACCACAAACCATGGGAGCGGATAGGCCTCCCACTAAACTTTTCCTAACCAATTTTTCACAGCTTCGTACCGAGCCCAAAGTTTTGAAACTAGATATGGTCACTTATCTGTGGCCACACCAAACTTTCCTGGCATGTTGTGGCCAAAACATAAAACCGAGGAATGCAAGGTTTTGCTGGGGTTGCTAACACTATAGCCAGATAAGAAACATAGGACAAACTCCTCTCAAAAAGCCCTCCACTGTTTCCACTTTAGTAGAGTGAATGTTAGAGAGGAGGAAAGCATCTGTCATGGCGGGCAGCAAGCTTTGTGAGAGGGGCTTCTGCTATCCTTAACCCGCAGTAGAGTATAACCGCGTCGACGACTTCTCTACAAAAAGCGGCTTTGCCCTCTTTCCAAGCGTAGCGGAAAGCTGCAAACTCTGTCTTGTTCTGAACCTCGGTTTGGCCGATGTGACCGTGCCCTCTTGGTCTTGCAGGCGGCACTCCCTACGTGAACCTCAAGACGGCCGAAGTGGCCGAACGGGTGACGAGGGGTCTGCGGTTGTCCCAGCCAAAAGGGGTCCGCGAAAACATGTGAGCGCTCCCCGTCTGCTCTTACCGCCCAGCCAAACACTAAGTTTTACCACTGGTTTACGCTTTGAGGCTAATCCAGACATTTGCATTCGAGTGTGAGTGACGCGTCGTCGCTTCGCTGCGATGCATTGCATGAACCTCGATTGCCATAATAACCGTCCCGTCACGTGCATTTGTAAATAGTCGTGGCGCAGCCGGCCACACCGAAATGCAAACGTCCTAATCAGCCTTTAGGTTTCTGTATCAGTGGTTTGGTTTCAAAAGGGCGACATAATCAAGCTATCTAACCGAGTTTGCGAATAAATTCGGAAAAAAAAGCATCGCTTTCTTACCTTTTCAACAAAGTCATCTTCGAACGGAAGTTGGTAATTTAGCTTCGATTTCAAAAGCTAATGTTTAATTAAGCAAACCAAAAATTATGCGTTTGTAATTAACGCCTTGTGATTCTGTGATTATTTAACGGCAGTTGTTTCATGTGCCGGTTGTAAGCCAGAAACCTGCGATAAATGGCAAAAGCAGTATGTGACAGCTCGGTCGTTGAAAGCATCCAATCCGACTGCCTGTTTCTAGAGTGTGTGGTTGTTGAAAACAGTTAACCCGAAGAAGCAGTATCCGTTTCTTCGAGGGCACAGCAAATAATCACTTATGGTTTTCTTCTCTGGTGAGCAAGCAGTACTGCTATTTACTCAGTCGCAACTCAATATATAGAGCACAGAAAAAAGGAAGAAAGAAGATGTTACGAATCGAAAAAGAATGTGTCCATGGCACGAGACCACGTCCCCTTTTGGTTTGTATCATCTTCTATCTTCCTTTCCTCTGTGTTTATATATTGAGTTGCGAGTCAATGCTTGTCCTGTCTATTTTCTTCTGCTGCGTCTTTGTCTCCTGTGCACCTCTTATCACCATGTTCCATGCATACCAGCTCACCCAACTCGCCACCTCGCTATATTTACTTCGTGATTGTATTTTGGACACCAAACTATATCTCACTAGTTGCGCACAGTGCTACCAAAGGTACAGGGTCGGGAGTTGAACCCAAGCAGCTGGAGAGGAGGAGAAGGAGGAACTTCCCTCTTACCCGAACCCTCTTTTGTGTGTCTGGGACATCAGTTTGGCCCTCTTGGAGATTAGCCAGTCGGTCAGAATTCCTACGAAAGGGGTTTTCCTCTCTCTCCTGCCTGTGGCTTTCCCAGCCCTGCACTCAACAGGTGAGATAGAGTATAGGAAAGCTTTATTTTCTGGCAATTTATCTGCATTTTTGGATAGATGCAGGTTAATAATGATTGTCACAGTGCGTACTCAAATAACTCCACATCTGGGATCTTCGTGAGTTTTGCACCGTGCTAGACTGACGAATTAATGGAAGGGTTACACACAGTAGCGGGAGCAAATGTCTCATATTGGTGGTTATTGTTTATCTTTGCTTTCTAGGTACCAGTTGATGCTTCAATGTTGGGAGCTTGACAGGGATGAAAGACCCACTTTTGAGCAGATGCTCGGCTCTCTTCAAGAGATGCTGTGTGGAGAGGTGAGCAGTTCTTTGCGTCGTGCTGCACCATGTGGATTTCAAGTGCTGCCTTTAGTGCGTGGTGCGAGTTGTCCCCGTATGTTTATTGCATGGTAAAACGCAAATCTGATGCATCCGCGATCTGCGGTATTGGTTCCCACGACATCCGTGTTTGTGATGGGTTCCCACGTGCCCTTCGTGCCGTGCAAGGCGAATCCGCTGGGTCCACAATCCGCGATACTTTTTACCATGACACAGGAGTTTGTAGTGAATTCTCGCGTGTTTATCGTATCATGAAGTGCAAATTTGCCGTAAGGACACCCACCCAAAATGAAGAGATAAATGGTGAAAAACATGGGGTGGGCTATCATTCGAGATGCGACAGCAAAACTTATGAAAAAAAGCTCAAATACACCCAAGCACCTCTTATGAGCTCTGAATGCGAAAGCCAAAGATGCACATCATTCCTCCGCTTCCTTATTTCATCTGCAGCGTATTCGCGTCGACGGCAGAGCGCGCCCTCTCCTCGCTGCTCTGACCTTGGACGTTTCGTGTTAGCAGTGCACCGACGGACACGGAGCGCTATGAGATGGCAGTCGTGGAAACTAACGCGCAGCGGCCAATGGGAGCCTTGTCGGCGCACGCCAGCCAATGGGACCGAAGCCGAAAATCTATCAGTTTTACTTTGCTCCTTTGGGATCAGGGAATTTAGGTGCCGTCGTATACGCTTTTCATGTGGTTTCATAGCTGGGAGCAGGCTTCATTTTGGAGAAGGAATTTAAGGTGGCGTTTGGCATGCATCAAAGTTGATGACGTCGGCTCGCTCCATGGGACAGTTAAGCTCCATGGGACAGCTTTTGATTAAAAAAAGTGATAAAACACTGGGACATCTGCTACAAACCATGTGAAATGGGGACTGATACGATTGGCGGTGTCCACCCCCATTTCACATAGTTTGTAGCGGATGGATGGCCCTGTGTTTTATCACATCTTTTTATAAAGCTTTGCTGTTGCATCCCGAAAGATAGCCCACCCCATGTTTTTCACCATTTATCTTTTAGGGGCGAAGCTCCTTAGGGTCTAGCCTTGTCCGTCCAGCGTCCGTGCTCACATCAATTGCCATCCCATCTGTCTTCTCAAAAAAAAAAAAAAAAAAAAAAAAGAAATGTTTGTGCAGTCAACAGGATTCAAACCTGTGCGGGGAGACCCCAATGGATTTCTAGTCCATCGCCTTAACCACTCAGCCACGCCTGCAGCACGAGTGGGGGCTCTGAGATATGGTAGTAACTCAAGAGTTGGGGATGTCATGGATGAAATATTGCATGTAGCCGCTCAACGTCTATACAGGAGAGGGCGCTGCGGTCAAATGCGTATATAATCGCGTTAAGCTTTGCATGCATTGGCTCAACGTTTATAGATGAAAGGGCGCTGCAGTCAAATGCTCAAATGCGTTTATAACCACGATCCATACCACACATTCTCTTTCTGACATGGACCGTTGACTTAAGCGGTGGAGATTCGTTCCCACAGCTTCTAGCGGATCCAAGCTGATCCGCTAGAAGAACCACTGGCTCTGCATTTCACTGACCATAAAGCAGTAATAATGAAGTCGAAACGCAACCCAGAACTCGGCACTACCTATGAGCAATAAAAAAATCAGCACCATCAGCACTACCTATGAACAAAATCAATATCATCAGCGCCACCAGAGCTTTGCCCCAATCAACATTATTCACCACGTGGAAATGCGGTCATTTTTTTATTTTGGGTGGGCGTCCTTACAAGATTTTATGGTATATGAATTTTTTCAGCAGAGAGGATTTACACACTGAAGAGCTTCTTATTAATGCATCAGGTGATTTCAACTAACGCCTGTTTCCTGAAATTCCACAGCTTCTTTTAGGCCCATTCATTATTAGTATGGTTGATTCCAAGTAATTCAGTTACTTCATTCCAATTTTTGCTTAGTTTGCAGCACGGGTATGGTACCAGCATCATATGTACGAGTTTTTTTTTTTTTTTTTTTTACAGTTAAGGAAAAATTACATAATAGACACTTTCCGAAATTCAGTCTGGCCACTGATCGCTATCGTCATCTGAAAAATGGCATATGTGCCGTACTAATGGCGGCCTTCTGTTTTCTGATGAAGGAAGACGTGGAAGATGCTCCTAAGCTGATGGTTCGAGGCCTACATACATTTGAGACGTTAGCACGATACATAGCTGGAATTGCATGCAAGAGCCGCGTAAGCGTACATTTCTAACTAGGCTTCAGAGAGTCTGTTATTAGCACGCAATCGATTTCAAAGCCCCTTGATGTATAGAACTTAATCAAGGCGTCTATGTGGGTTGGCGCTTCATTCTGACTGGTTGCATCTTTTTTGTGGCCATCTACACTGAAAAAGACGATCGAGGAAGAACTGTACAGTGGAGAGCACATTCTCGTCTGCCGTTCACTTGCGAAAGTGACGGTGCCCGATACAACACTGCAAACCAGAAGTTCATTGCCACCATTAGTACGGTAAAAATTAAACTGCCATCTGAGCCACCAGATGGCACTGAATTTCGGGAAGGGTCTATTAGTGGTGTAACTGTTTCATAATTAAACAGTTGAGCTTTAGGAGGCGAGCAGCCTGCTGCTGCCGATGCAAGTACTTTTTTCTTCTACTGTATGTTTGCTTATAATAAAATATGCAGATCAAAAGGACAAGCACTCCTAGAAAAAGCAGGACAAGCACTGTCCTGTCTTCTCCTTGTGCTAGTCCAATTGTCCTCTTGCACTGTATGTATTTCATTATATCTGGCCAACTAACCCACCACTTGATTTTCATGCTGTTATTCCTTTGAGGTAATGCTCACGAGAGTTTTGTGCACAACGATTTTCCTGCTGCACCAGCTGAAATGTAGAACATGTTCTTTGATGTGCCTAACCTCTTGCCTCTCATTGCGGTTCCTCCCACAGATACCCGTGAAGTTCTCTCACACTCCGGGCTACACGTACGAGCGGTTTGACCCCCTGGCCGACGAGACGTGATCAGTCCGGCTACCAAGCCACTTGCCAGTCAACCAAGCAGCCTCCAGAACCCCGGTCACTGCGTCAAACGCACTGTAGCGCGAATCTGCTCAGCGGACGTACGGAAAGGTGGCAAATCTTTCCTGTAAAGTTGGTGCTAGAGCCGCCGGATGTTCTCAGAGAACCGCAATTTGTGTCTGCTACTGCCGTAGGCGGCTCTCCAATTGGTTACCGGCGCACATAGCTAGAGTCACTGAATGTTTCCAGAGTACCGAAACTATGAAGCTTTTTGTGGTAACCATGTTACAGCACGGAGATCGATGGCCACAGTATGGTGGCCCCTGTGTGATCAAATCAAACCATGTTTCACTTTGTGTTCTGCATTCTCTTTTTCTGCGGGCCTGCTAGTACCACTTTGTTTTTATTGATCTTTTTTCTTTTGCTCTGAGCAGTTGTGTCTTACCTCTGGCTCCTCGAGGCCCAAGGGTCACCCAAGTCAAGGCCTAGCATTTTAAGCCCTAGCATTTTAAGCCATGCGCTTTAGGCATATAGCATTCTAGACCTAGCGTTCTAGGCTTAGCGTGTTAAGCACCAGGTGCAACCAAAGTTGGCAAACATGCCGAAATTCTTTTTTTGAAGACAATATTACAGGCTACTTGACATAGAAAACCTTAGCAAGCATTAATGTGCCTTTTATTTTCTGTCCAGTTGTAATTCATAGACTGTTTGTGGCACTCCTGTGTACAAAGTGCCCCCCCCCCCCCCCCCCCCCCCCAAAAAAAAATATATATATTTACGGGGTTTTTGTTACTGCAAAAATAAACTATGCATTGCCGAGCACTCGTTCTCTACTCAAATGTAGCGCTAGAAGTCCAGACCAGAGGCACTAACCGTTATCTTATTCAAAAGTTATAAGTGATTTCCTGAAATTTTGATGGAAAAATGGCTCTATGGCGTCAGTTACCGAAAACGGAAAAAAATGGGCCCTATTTTTTCATTGAAAATTTCAGGAAGTCACATATAACTTTTGAATAATATAATGGTTTGTGCTGAAACTTTATTATCTGGTTTGGACCTCTACCACTACTTTTGGGTGGAGAATGAGTGTTCGGCAGTGCTTAGTTCATTTTTGCGGTTAAAAAAACCTTGGTAAATTTTAAGGGGGGGAGGGGGGGGGGAACACTGTATATCTTTTACATATGTTTTCTTTATTTTGATTTTCTGGCACCTATATGACCTACATCTGCCACCGAAATCTGCCATTCAGAAAGCTTGGTTGGCTGACACTTCTGGAACACTCAGTGACTCTACCCACACATATGCTGGCTAAGTTGATCAGTCTTGCCATATATTGACTCTAACGGTTGGCTCTAAATATGACTCCTGGCAAACTGCCTCTAACTTTATGACAGTAAATGAGCTTGCAGTCTGTTCATCTTCAGACATGATTATGGGCGCCTAACTCTAAATCTTGTTTCAACAGTAACCATCCGCACTCAAAGTTACTGATGTTCAGCCTATTTACTAACCATCCGCAAATCTGTGGTGTGTTCAATCATATCAGTAAGTCAGTATTACTGACTGACTGACTGGCATTTTTCTAACTTTTTACAATGTACAATGACTGAAGTATACAGAATGTTTTAAATTGCGTGTGAGCTTGTGCCAAGGAACTGCGTAGAGCTGTTTCATTACAGCTCCGGTTCTGTCAAGTGTTCGTCAGCGGAGCCCGAGACGTTTTGGTACTCTCTGGACATCCTGTGACTCTAGCTGCTCTTACACTGCCTCTCTCTTTTATTTCTTTTTTATTTTTGCTTGACACTCATTGAAACTCAAGACTCTCTTGCTGGATCTAATATGAGCGGTTGTACACAAAGAAGAATCTCATGTTTTTCATTCAAACTAACTTCATAATTGTGTCGGGGGTGGCAAGACACCGTTTTTGTAACCCCTCTTGAATGCTACGACGGTAAATGGTGGGCGCATAATTGCTTAGTTTACATCAGCATAGTCATTTGTGTAGACTTAGTTTTTATATTCTGAGAAAGTGTCCGGTGAAAAGCAAGTTTGACAGAGTTGCCGATTACCCTGGGTCATTTCGTCTGCACCAGACCAGAAATGGATGTTCCACACGACTGGCCCATGACACAAAAAGAAGGAAACCAGGACAAGAAACTGCAGCAGCAGCTATTTTTCCTGGTTCGCTCCTTTTTGTATAAACTAAGAAGGGAAATAAGAGCCTTATCACTACAGTCTTATTATTATAGTTAGCAGACAACTGCTAAGGTAGCAACGGGGCAACGGGTGTACTGGCAGATTCCTGAGCCTTTGCTGATTTTTAAAGGTGGCAAAGGGACCGAAATTAAAAATGATTAGACTGAACTGGGTCATCTTATTTATATCAATCTAAAAAGGAGTGTTCCACATAACTTTCTGTTAGCAAATAACTGCCCCGGCAGCATCAATAGAACCGGCCTGTTCCCAAAACCTGACTAGTAACTTTTGATGGTGGCATATCACAATAGTTTTCCTCTTATGCGTCAGGTAGTCACCAGGAGACAGCTCTATTTTTAAGTTTTCCGAAAAGGAAACTAGTGCTATTGGCATAGCACAGTGTTGCTTCCAGGTCTTGTCCAACCGATATGTTAATCTAGAGCAGCTCAGACAATGTTGACAAAGTGCTTCTAACGAAGTAGCTCAGAGCAGCTAAAGTCACTAAATCCTGGGAAAATAGTTACAAGGTAACCATTTCGTTTTTCGAAGTAGCACTTTATCCGGTCAGAGCGAACCAGTCAAAGATTGCAGGCATGGGCTGTTTCACAAAAACATTTCTCGTACTCTGACATTTCGTTAGCTCTACAGTCGATTGTGTTATCCAGCACAGGCAATTCTTTATTGATCTCCAACTACGGGGCTTAAATCATAGGCATTCTATGTCCGATTTGACGAAAGAAATGGTTTCGTGAAGAAAAAAAGAATCGTACAAACAAACACAATGCGGCCCTATGCTGTGCTGGTGCTTGGCAGGGGATGTGGTGGTATTTCTAAATAAATTATGCGCAAAGAAAAATGCACAAAGGATTACATAATTTTAAGAGATTGAGAATTTGATTGCATGTACGTTGCCAAGATTAACAAAGGACGCTTTCTACACAATGATGCCTCGCCACAATCTGCGCGCAGCTGGTTAAGAAGGATCCCCTTTGTGGTTGCCATGGCAACACGTGCCTCTCAACCAATGGCAAGCAGGGAAGGCAGCTGCACTACTTTCCTGAGATCGAGTGACTTTAATAGCTTTGAGGAATGGCATCTGCACCTAAAATTTTTACCGGGCTAAGATGCGCGCGACATTTACGGAAACTTCCTGTCACGGGGCTTATCCCGAAATAATAAGCTCCTTAGCTTTGTGTTTCGGCGCAGGGGAAGTAATTCGGTGGCTCGTCGATTTCGAATGTTATTTGAAGAACTATGGAAAACTCTTTTAAAAGCTTGCTTTTGTTGTGTGTGTAGATGTCGGCAAAAAACAGCAAAATGGTTGCATGTGGCGAACGGTATCTGCCATCCTCTCGTTTTGTCGTGCTACCTTTTGTTGCTTTCCCGGTGTATAGTATGGTAGTACTGAAGTGGCATGCTTCATTCACGGTGTAATACTTTCTTGCTCAATGTGATGCATCATTTCTGTGGAAGCTTTTTTTATGTAGATTGCAATATAATACTTACCATATATTGCTGTGTAAAGGTCGACTACAAATATAGGCCTAAACCCCCCCCCCCCCATTATGACCAATTCAATTGTTTTCTTTTTGTTAAGTTTTTCTTTTCACTTATTTTTGGGATACCCTAATTTGAGATACCCGTTTCTGAAATGATTGACTTATACGCAGCAATATATGGTACTTACTGACATGAACGGGCATAGAGAATGAAACTCTACTCGAGAAATCCCCGTGACTGAGCATTAACTGATAGAAAAGATTTAATATTTAAAGAATCAGCTGTCAATGGTGTTTTATACTCAGAAATTAAATAAACTACATGGCTGTGCTAGAGAAACCTTTTTTTAGCTCCTTGTTTCCATAATTATAATTTTGGAGATTGTACAGCTATTTCTGGAGTGTATGAGGCACTGGACAAAGGTTCATGCTAGTTAAAAAATGTTTCTCATCCGTTTAGTTCACATACAAAACATGGCAGTATTGCTTCTTATTTAAATCACGCTTCCTTATTGGAACACAAAAAAAGCTATGGTTGTTAAAAGATTTGAGTTAGATAATTGACTGTGTGAAAGGCATTGAGTTGTTTTTATTACTGACACGAACGATGCATTGTAATTTTAGTTGATGTTTGGAAATATGTCCGGTTATATATATGGTGCCACCATTCCTGGCATGCATCTGATTGAAGTGACTCCTCAATCACAACCGAGATTTCGATGCATCATTTCTATTGTTGCATTCCCATTTTCTCTTCTCCTTTACTGAAGAGCAGCTGCCTTTTTTTTATTGTTTCATGTGCATGCCATGACCAGGTGCAAAATCAAAATGTTTGCTTGTCTTATTGTGTCCATTGGTCGCGCGCCCCGTCCAATGCGTTCATTGACGTGTTTTCTCCGCAGTTATTGTCTCGGCATTTTTGTACCGTCGACACACGTCAGACATTCCATCTTGCTATTGCAAATAAAAAGTTATATCAAGACGTGAGGCTAGTGTATTTCCTCTCTAGTGTATGTACTGTAGAATCTCGTTGATACATTCTCAGTTGACACATTTTCCCGGCTGTTACATTAAAAAATGCCGGTCCCGTTTTACTTCCATAGAGTATTAGTTTCCTGCCTGTTACGTTTCCTTTCCCGGCTGTTACGTCCAAAAGTGTCGATATCGTGGAGCGCCAGGCTGCCACGCTGGCTTCGAAGCGAAACTAGCGGAGCAAAACCGAACCATGCAATGCGGGTCGCATGGCACGCGTGGGCAAGCAGACGCCTGTCTTCCCTTTACTCCTTTCACCTTCTTTTCCGTCTCTGTCTCCTCGAGCTCTGCCACAGCTTCCCATCTTGCCCGGGTGTGACCTTGGAGCACTGCTCGAACGGGGAGCGAGGCTGGCGAGGCGACAGACGCTCGTCCTCTCGCTTTTCCGCCGCGCGGCCGGTACCGAAGGTAGGCAGCGAGAACCCCAGAGAAAACGAAACCGAAACCACGCCGCGTACGTTGGTACGCATTGAAGTCGGAGTGGTGCGGTTGCGCTGGGTTCACAGCATGAAGTGCTGCCTGTGCTGCGTCATTAAGTGCTTCAATAGTTATGCGTCATATCTCGTGGAGACAAAGTGTCACAGTTTTTCACCTCGCCGATGTTTTGTGGGACAGCGACAACGATGGAGCCGTGCCGTACGACGTGAGAAATTTAGTCTCCTGATCATGTCTGCCACTGTGTCGGCACGGCTGACATATTCTACACTGCCGCTTTGCGCTCTGCGTTTGTTTTCGTACCAGTAACGCCTACATGTGTCAGCGCCGATGGGACGAACCTACACTCGCAGGTATCCAGTGCCAATTTCGTTGGAGGAATGCCCTCCAAAGAAGTTTCGTCCGGACAAGTATGGCACGCAACCTGTACTTCATAAAGAAAGATTAGAAAGGTTAAAAAAGTGGCAAATATAAATCTAAAGAAAACAACAATGAAACTCGGAATCACTGGAGAATCGACGTTTGAGTATGGAAGTTTATGTGGTGTGCTTTCTTTCTTGACCAGCCTCCTTTTGGATGTGGAAACGCTGACACGTACCCAGAGTTCTGTAGACAACATTTTTTTTTTTCTCGGCTATAGAGCCACCTATCGCAAAGTGGTTCAAACTGGAAGTACCGTCCACTGGTCCCTTCCTACCTGTAAAGTGTGCACCTCCCACGATGAGTGGTATTATCTGACAGCCTTTGACGGTCAAAGCCAGTTCCCATTTAGTTACGCCGCCCAAACTAAATTTCCACCTGGTCTCGCTATGCCAACTCTTTTTGTTATAATAAGTGTTGTGCCAAGTGACGGTCATGTCAAAGTACCTGTGCGCCGAAAATCAGCACCTCGCACAAGAGGTTATTACACAACAGCTGACCGCAAAAGCCCTTGGCGGCCAAACCGTGTGTTGGCCGACAACTTTGTTTTCTGGGGTTAGGAACCACCTTTCGTAAAGTTGTTTCAATTGGAAGTACAGTCCACTAGTTCCTTCCTACCTGTGAAGTTTCCACCTCCCCCGACCAGTGGTATTCTCTTGACAGCCCTTTCATGGTCAAAACCGGTTCCCATTGAGTTACGCCGCCCAAACCAAATTTTCACCTGGTTTCCCTATGCCACCTTTTTTTTTTTTGTATAATAAGTGCTGTGTCATGTTACTTTCAAGTCCAAGCACCTGTGTGCCCAAATCTGCTATTTGCACAGCCCACTATAACGCAACATTTTGGGTCCAATATTGGATATCCCGTACAGCTTTATTTCTTTATTCGTTAGAAACATAACTTTCACACCTGCTGTCTTAAAGAAACTTGGCACTCTTCGTGCACAAACTTAGTGAACATCTCGCTCGCCTCCAAATATCATTGTTCCAGCAGTCCTAGGTTTACAGCGACGAGCGAAATACATTTCCCACTCAGAGCAATTATGGTGGCGCCCGTCTTGTTTTTCGGAAAATTGCTCCAACTCCTTTTTCGGCCGCAACTAGAGAAATTACCCCTAATAACGACTCAAACTCAATATATAAGAAGTGGAGAACAGCTAAATGCCCTTCTGCCCTAGCACTCATGCAACGTCACCCTCAACGTATCGGCTCAAAAAGCAAAAGTTTCGTCCGTGCGCGCTTCCGCCGCCACAGCTTGGCATGCGAAAAGGCCCCACAGGCTGCTGAACGCGCCTCACAGTCGAACGCCAGCTCCTCCGCTAGCGGCGCTGCGCGCGTTTTTCAAAACGCCCCCTATAGTTCCCGCACGGAGTGTATACAGTGAAACCTGTTTAGAACAAACCCACGTACAGCGAATTATTGTCGATATCTAACTCACTGAAAATTTAAATAAAAAAGCACGTAAAAAGTACTCCTTTATAACAAACAACCATATTGGCTATATCAAACTTCTCCCCCGGGAAGGCTTCCAGAAACGCGCAAACAATCGTCTTCTAGCCTGTCCCTCCCCCCTTCCCCCCCCCCCCCCCCAAAAAAAAAAGTGGTAAAGAGAATTTTAAAAGCTCAAGTTGCAAAAAAATTTAGCGAAGAGAAATGATTCAGAAGGGAGAAAACTAAAAACTACTCCGCACGCACGCACAAAAAAAAAAAACAAAAAACTTTTAATCTTAACGGCTACCCACGAAAACAAGCAATTCAGAAGGGGGGATAATCTAAAAAAAACACCTCTGCACACATGCAAAAAAAAACGAAAACTTTTTAGCACGTCTTTACAAGGTGCAAGCAAAGAGATGAGAAAGAAAGAGAAGCTCTCGCGTTACAGCGAACGCATCGTGAAAGTTCGTTGTAAAGGGTTTTTGCTATATTGAATTACTTGCTATATCGAACTGATCGTAGCATTTCCTCCCGTTCGTTATAAACGAGTTTGACTGTAGTTAGCAATTCCCTCCACGAGTGATATGGTTCTTTTCACGAGTGATATGGATGACCGTATCCAAGGGCGTCGACATACTCTGAAGGGCAGAGTACTGAAAAGGGGTATAAAAAATTGCGGCGGCTTAGCTTGGCCATGCCAGGATATACGTAGCGCGAGCTTGTGCGCACAAAATGAGAGACGCTACCAAGTGGCTCCGGTGCAGCGTCAGACTTGGCTACTGCGCAACGGATGCGCACAGCTGGGCACGCAATGGTGCCAGTGCATCTGCCGCAGTTATGACGTCACTCCTCTGGAATGCGCAGACCGGTGAGGCGGGCGCGGCAGCGGCAGAGCGCACGGCGGCTCTGGCGCGCTAGTTGTGCGCCGTGTGACGTCACTGCTCCTCGCGCATGCGCGACACGGAGCACAGCTCATTATGCGAGCCACGCGAAACTGCTCAACCTCGGCCAGTGTAGCTCATGCTACAAAAATTAATGCAAGATCCATTGGTGGGTTTTTAGGGAATGAATTAGCATGTCCCTTTGGAAACGCCAAACACGTCACCCCTTGGAAAACGCTAAAGGCTCGTTCACACAGTTGCACTCGAGTACGACTAAGAGACCAGACCGGTTTTTAAGTCTCTTGAGACGTCTTAGAACCAGCTCTGCAGCGGCGCATCCGGTCCTAAGACATCCCAAGAGGCTTAAAAACCGGTCTGGTCTCTCTCGGTTGTAAATGTGTGAACGGCGCTTAACACTGGCCCCGAAACGAGGCCAGAAAGAGGCAGTAAAAAATAGAGAAAGCCAAAGCAGAAAAGTGAAGGGGTCAGCATCAGCGTTTCTCAAAGGGGGACGTGTAGCATTTCCCAACGTCGGTCATACTAATGCATTCGTTAAGAATCTACCAATGGATCTTCCTGTAATTTTTCTTTTCATCCTGGGAATCCTTGATCCTTTTTTCCACCAGGTGGTGCCAGCTATTTCTAATATCACGGATTCTAATTAGATTACCACAAAGGATGCCATGGAAAGAAACCAGAAAAAAGAAAATGTGTCTTACCATCTTCCCGTTGTTGCATCAGTGTTGCAATCTCGCTCAAGGTCGAATGACAACTACAGACAACAGTTCCAGCTGAAGTGAACTTTTACTTCATTTCAATATATAAAAATAATTAGGGAAGGTATTTATTTGTCAGTGGTCCCACGCAAAGAAGCGTGCAGTCTCTGGTAACGAAGATGGGACAGCGAAAATGAGATGCTCGCAATGTAGAAAATAAATAAGGTGCCTCTGCATTGTTTCCGCAAGCACAGAGGCAGATACGTTCTGAGCGTGGCCGGTCGATTTTCCTCGCGACACAGAATGGGAGGTGTATGTATAGAAACACAATAAATATACATACATATTATACATGCAGACATCTCCTTGGTTTGGTTAAATCTGAAGAACTGAACAATCATTTGGACACCGCCACAAAGTTCATTCGTCGTTTCCAGATCAAAATCTGCTCGTCCAAGATGACATCTCCATCGAATCAGTTCCAAACCAATTTGCATTAAAAAAAGAATGGCCATATGTCTCGCTGGAAAGCTTGGAGCTTTTTCTGACTAACTTGCGGCGCATGAGAACTTTAGAAGAGTTGGATGAGGTTGCCGTCTTTGGTAGGAAAAAAATCTGCTGCAATTTTCTCACCGTAATTCTAAAGTGCTCGCAGCCCCATTCACGAAAAAAAACTGACATCGCCTGTCAAAACGAAATGTGTGCGTGGTCTGCAACGGCATGAGGAAAAACTCTCTGCAAAACACAACTTATAGACTTTTACCCGTAATAAGCCCTGCTTTGCCTCTGTCAAAGCAATGGCCAACATGTTACTTACTCGCTTCACTTCAAACTTTAAAAAAAAGGCAAAAATTGCGCGTAAGTTGTTGAAGGTTTTGCACTAATCAACGACAAAGTCGCGACAGTGAAGGCAGAGTAGCTACCTGCAGGCCTCCAACTGAGTATAATTTAGTTTACAACTGGTGGCCCATTCCTAGTCTCCTCGCAGAAGTTGTACCATAAAAGAGGCTTGCAAAAGACTCGTAGCACGACACCACAAACGATTCCTGCATTCCCCGGCAAGCTGCAAGAGGCGCGACACTGGGTTTGGATCACTCTACAGACACACTCTTTGCTCCCTGAGGTAGTTGAGTTAGTCGAGCAGTAGATGCGGAACGTTTCTTGTCCATGGAACTTTGAAGGCCACTCCCACGGCACACACCCACACGCGCCGTTCCGTCTGAGACAGAGTCCCTTGCGCGCTATGTACAACGTCGGCAAATAAATACTGCGGCCGTCTTGACTCGTAAACCCTGCACTGATTGGACGATCGCCGTCCTCCAAGGAACGTCGATCCGACGTACGCCACTGCGACTTCGGTCACACTCTCGCACGTGTGGAAAATGGTCCCTCGACAGAATCGCGAGTCTGTCATGCGAGTCCGCACTGGAGCGTTCCGAGGTCGTTGTCGTCCAGAAGCGTATTGGTGTACGACTTGAAGACAGGGTGGCGGCGGCGTTGCGAAAACATGACAGTTCGCTGTCGGTAGGGTAGGCACTAAGACTTGGGGTCGTGGTCGTAGCTCCGGGAGTAGCCGCCATCTCGCCGCCTCCGGTGTTTGTGACTCCGGTCTGAACCTGATGGAGCAAAACAAGGAATGGTCAGTTTAGTCTGACCCCCTCACCAACATTATTGGATCAATGATGTTGGTGACACCGTACTGGTAACACCATAATGGCACGATTCTAAACGTGTACTGTGCAAATTCAACGCTGAAAACAACATTTTTTTTTAATTGGCACAAAAAATGTTTTAACTGCAAATTGAGCCACAAACAATTTTAGCTTTTAACACCAAATTTGTTTTACCAGCCAATCTTCATGGAGTTCTGCGATTTTCGGCTGTAACGGCCGGCCGTAAATAAGGTCCCTATATACTGAAAGGTAGAGCAAACCTTTGTCCGAGACGGGGTCGAGAAATTCCTCCTCTCCCGCACCCTCTTTTTCTCAAATGCGATTGTTTTCTTATCGTGACCCAAACCCTCCCATGAGCCCGCGCGAATTCGTCTCCAGCTGGTTGTCTGCTTCGAAACAATGCCATTAGGGAGTGTCGATGGCTGCTGCTCTGCTGTTGACAACACGGCCGTAGGTTTTTTGTTTTTTTCTTATAAAGCAATCTAGATGGCAACACAATGCTGAGCTGTTGTGCTGTGGGTTGTGCAAATAGTGTAGCGAAAGGACACAAGCCTTTTCTCATTCCGTAAAAAAAAAGACACAAACTTTTTTTCTCTATAAAAAAAGAATAGCCATATCTATGTGAAGGGATATTGACATAAACGTTAATGTCTGTTTATCAGATTAGTTCTGTGACCTGTATTGCAGCTGCCTGTCACTTAAGCTGTCAGTGGCCCTCATCACATAATCTGACCAATATTACTTTGATATTCTTTGGAAATGATGCACAACCAGATTTACCAGAAATTTCAGCAAAAATTGGCTTAGTTTCGGTTTCTGGATCTAACTGATTTTGGGGAAAAAAAGGAACTTAATTTTTAACATTGAACAACTGCTTAACCAGCAGTCTTGTTTACTCACTAAATGTACCTGCATTTAACGCAAACGAGGGGCATATACAATCAACGAATTTGCAAGCCGTATAAACTATTATAAACCTGCACTTGCGTGCGCATGGTTGCAGGTAGCGTTTCATGTTCTTGGAAATGCGTCCGGTAAATAGAACCCCTGGTTCAGCGGAACAATCGGTAGCACTAAAGATCACCTAAAATACACCGTTTACATGTGTCGTGGTATCTTCTACCTTCAGAACCCGAGTAATTTTGATTCTACAAACAAACTTCATTCTTTTGTTTCCTGCACTCAGGAAATGATGCTCTTTATGATCTGCCAGCCCTCAGTATGCGTTAAATAAACGGGTAAACACAATGTATTCCTGCAGTGTGTGTCGATGTCCCAAAAGTATTGGTACAGCATTGCGATTTCTTTAAATTGCCTGCATTTGAGTGAAATTGGAAAATATGTTGGCTTTAAACTCAAGCGACTCCAATTCTGCTCGCGATAACATTAAGCATTCGAGACATCCTCCCGCGTGTATGGACTTGAATATAGGTGCAGAAACACTAGGCTTTTTAGGTTGCATAGCAGAACTGTCCTCAAAATTCAAGAACCAACTTCTCCAGGCTGCTGCACACGATTCCACACGATTAAGGCTGGTTCACACAGCCCCATTTTCTTACATTACGTTACGGAAACTTGCGTCTGCTTGCGCACAAGTCACTGGGACATACGTGCTTCATATTAGGCGTTCAAGGAGATAGCCTTTCACGCGACATTTGGGACACAAATGTTTCGGTGACTTAAACGTAACAAAACGGAGCTGGGTGAACCAGCCTAGGTGCGCGTTGCAGATCACAATCTCTAATGGCGGGGATATGGCTGCTAGGAGTAAAGGGCGAGGAGGATTTCCCTCGATGGAAAGGAGGAGATGGCACAGGAGGGAAGGTTTGCACTACCTTTCAGTATATAGGAACTTTCGCCGGTGGCGGCCGGTTGTAACGAGGATCTGAACTTGCCACCTTCAGATTGTTAGCCAGTGCTTTGCCGACAGACCAAGAAAAAGCGAGCTCATTCACACTGCGCGTGACTGAGCTTGTGCTCTTAGCAGGCTTTCCTCTTGTGCACAGCCATCTCGTGGCGGCACGTGTCAGAAACAAAACTAATCTTCGGTAGGCGGTGCCGTTCCAGACGCCCTTCTCTTCTTTCCTGGAAGGGCTGTCACACATCTGTGCCTACCAGTCTTTGTTCGCAGGATCAAGCTCGTAATGTTTTAGAAGTAACTTTTTAATGAAGCAAGTTTGCTTTTTAGATAATTGCTAAAACAGAAACATCCGAGCTGCACCTTTGTGCTAAATTACAGCATCAGAGCGAGCGAAACTGATTTTTGAGTTCTATTTATAGTGGGTTCAATGCACCTTTGCCCCCTAAACCTCGTCACTAGTAAATCCAACCAGCGCCACCTAGCTCGCATGAGCGTCGCTTTCAGCGCGTCTTGCACTGTCTCGCTTTGCGGCCACTCGTCGAACTCGAGCGTGTTTGCCGCTCGAAGCGGGTCGGCGATCCACCAACGATGACGCTGTACAGAGACCTTGTGTTTTATAGGTGGTATTGGTCGGGCCCTCGCCGCGGCGATTCTGGCGTGGTGCGACTCACCGTGAACAGGTGCGTGCACCTCGACCTTGACCTTTGCGGTGACCTTGGTGGTGACGTTGGTGGTGGCGGAGCCCGGCTGGGAGCTGCAGTCGGTGCTCGTCTGCACCACGGTGGGCGCCGACGTGGCGCCGCCATTGGGGGTGGGCGAGCGACTGGAGCTGCTGCTGGTGCTCGTGCTGCTCTGCACCGAGGCTGCCCTCTCCCCTCCATCCGCGTTTCCCTGCGAGGAGGAAGGGGCGGTGTCAACATCTTTGTGACACCTCCCTCTCTGTCGCCAGACAAGTTCTATAGATACTTTTCGCGTTCACAAGCACAAGCCGTGCCTTGCCTCCCAAGAGACTTCCGGTCGCTCTGCTTCTGCAGGCCTTTCGAACCTGTTGATGTTACAATTCTTAGGACGACAAAAGTTTTATAGAAATCACGATGTTGGGGATTTAGTGAGGTCCTTATGCTGCACATGCTATTCAACGGGTAAGAGATGATCAGTTAACAAATATCTCGCTAACCGGTCCTTTAGCTAACCACCTGGAGAGCTGGTCATACAATATTTCCTGGACATGGCAACGAGCGGTGCTATAGTGGTACTCCGGGGTCTCAGAAGTCGCGCCATTGCTTGTTTACGTTTACCTAGAAATGCAGTCGATTCTCCTTAAATCAAAGTCCAGGAAGTCGCAGACTTTAGTTTGAAATAACAAAAGTCTGAATTATAAGAAATTCATCTCAGTATGATGTGAGGCAAAGTAGCTATTTGCAATACGGTGTTTTCACATGACGTTTATCTGTCATTTTGTTGTTAGTTTGTTTTTCAAACAAATTTACTAATTTGAAGAGTTACGTGCAACCTGTTGAGGAGATGTCAGCATGGTAAGACATAAGCTTCTGAGCTCTACGCATTTGAGGGGTCATGTAAATCCTTGAAATGCTCGCCTTCGGCACATGCGAAACAGCTGGCAACAACAAAAAGGTGGACGAAATTATGCCAGCGAAAACACTCTATAGGAATAGCTAGACATATTAAGCAGAGTTTTGATACTTTCCCCGACAGAGGATTATTTATAACCAGGCACACGCATAAAAGATTGGTGAGGTTTGAAGCAAATAGTGGTTTGTGCCAAATATTTTCTAATTGAATATCAAATAGCTTCTCCGCCATTTTTACTACCTTTGTACTAGAGCACTGCACAGGCCCGGGCCAGCCCGAAAGCCCGAGCCCGGCCCGGCCCGCGGGCCGGGCTCGGGCCGGGTAGCACGTATTTTCTCGGGCCCGGGCCGGGCTCGGGCTTGAACAAAAAGGTTCTCGGGCCGCGCCGGCCCGGGCCGGCCCGGGCCGTGCCTGGGCAATCTTGTGCCGTAAATCATAAATTGTTGTTGATAGCAAGAAGTTTGCTCATTAATCTTTTAGGCTCATTGAATACAAAAAAAAAAGCGAAGTGCAAATTCACTACAGCGTCGTTAAAAATAATAACTAAAAGACGTCTTGAAGCTATAAAGCCTTCAAGCTTTTTCCGTGTGAGCGAGGGTTCAGTGTTATAAATTGTAAACAAAATGAAGTCCCTGTCATATGCTTGTCAGCCTGTCTGATTCATCGCTTTCAAAAATATCTAGTTCACTATTAGGAAGATTTAGAAAAACGTACGCAAGCGCTTTGGGTGCCGTAAAAATAGCGTTGCGATGTAAAAGCTATGGCGATGCTAACTTTAGCTTGCCCAAAGTGCTTGAGTACGTTATTCTAAGACTCCCTTATTGCACAGAGCGCGACACTATATTAGCGCAAACAAGTGATCGTCGTGTTTTTATGTTTATCTCATAGAATGAAAACGCTGTTTTCATAATTATTAGTGTCTTTAAAAGTGTTCATCTGGGCCACAGACCTAAGCGGTATACTTTGGTGCCTACTAACACCATTTCGAAGTAAAATTCGAAAAAATAGCCAACGTCGTGTTCGCGGTATCAGTGTCGCGCAGTGTACATAGTCCGTTCCGCGCTTGCACGTTTTGGGAACCATCTTGAAAAAAACGTTTTAAGGGGTTAAGTAGGAATATATTAAACTTAAGCTTGCCTGAAAGGGTTGTATATTTTAAGAACACGTTGACATGTAAAGCTACTTCAGAACATATTCTTGAACAGAAAAGGTGCGCAGACCAGGCTTAGAACGATGGAGACTTTTTGCGAAGAGGTTGCGATGGTGCAGGGCCTTATAAAAGTAGGTTGAAACGGGACGCGTTCAAACGCAAAGGGTGTTTCGGAAACTGGTTCAAATAAGAAGGGCGTTTAGGGAATGGGTCGAAACAGGACAAAATCAAGCGAGAAGGGCGTTTAGGGAACTGGTCGAAACGGGACGGGTTCATATGGGAAGGGCGTTTAAAGAATGGGTCGAAACAGGACGGGTTCAAATGGGGAGCTCGTTTCGGTAACTGGTCGAAACGGGACGGGTTCAAACGGGAATGGGTTGTTTCGGGCTACAGCCATCGGGCCAAGTCGGGCGGGGCCTAGAAATTAAAAATTTTGTTGGGCTCGGGCCGGGCCCGGGCCGTGTCTCTTCCGGGCCGGGTCGGGCCGGGCCAAGAAATTAAAAATTCTGTCGGGCTCGGGCCGGGCCCGGGCCGTGTCTCTACCGGGCCGGGTCGGGTCGGGCCGAGCCTAGAAATTCCGGCCCGTGCAGTGCTCTACTTTGTACTACCATGCTTAAATGAAAATTCAGCTGAACTCATGTGCCTTACCTTCCACTTGTCCACTCCTAAGCTCATTTAATTTTAATATAACCATACCAATGAACTGTGGCCTCAGAAAGTCCAATGCCTACATTCGATCGGCATGTAAATAACAGATTTTGCGTAAAATTAAACCTAAAGAGACGCCCAGCTATCCTAATCGAGGGAATTTATAAATTTGCCCGCTATATGCAAATATTTCTTTCTTAATCTCGAATTCAACTCCTGAGAAATACAAAGAAACAAGCCTGAATAATGAAAGCAGATTGTCAGGACAGGGCTGCTTGCATAATTGTGGTAGGATAGTCCCATCAAGCGCGCATCTCACCGAGCACCCACGTCCTGCAAAAAAGCAATGCCCGCTGGCTTGGTGAGAAGTGCACTCAACGGGGTAACCCGTTGCAATGAACGAGTACAGTCTAAGCTTATTACAACAGACCTGGTTACAAGAGACATTTGGATCTAGCATACCGATTTGTGAAGTTCAGTTCAACATACTCCTCTCACAACAGACCGAAATCTTGGTCTAAATCAGGGTCAGTTATAATGAGCTTAGACTGTAGTATGAATTAAGCGAAAACACTGCTTCAATCAAGCAGCTTATAGATGCATTAAAAACATAGCGGGACAACCAAAATTTTTAAATTCGTTTGAATTAACTGGAAGTATGAAATATCCGAGTTTTAATTATCGCGAGTCCACTGTACCAGGTATAAGGCCTTTTTCATTCATCACGCACCGAAAACCCTTCACACTCATCTACGCTTACTTTGGTTAATCGACCCTTTTCAAAAGTCCATCGAACAAGATTGGGTGCCGCCTTTTCTCAAGCACTAGGCATGGGATTGGATCCAAGTCCTCGCCAAACACCGACATACCATTTGTTTTCCGTACGAGCTGAGCACAGCTCACGCTGAACACTGGTGCAGCTCTCGTGCCTAATAAACGCTCAGGGTCTGTGCCCAAACAATAGTCGAGTCAGATAACTGGCGTAGTAGCTACTATGGTCGGTCACAGGCTAAGAGTTCGGGGGAAGCTCCTCCCACCTCTTTTTATTTCAGCGGAGCGAACGCTGGGGAGAAGGTTGCCTCCTCACCAGCGTTCACTCTGCTGGGGTGGAAAGGGGTGGGACGAGCTTCCCCTCCACTCTTCACCTTTCACCAACTACAGATGGTGCAAACTTTTGAAAAGGGTCTATTCTGGCGCCGATTTTCCACGCGAGAACGACGCGGTCAGACCTTGACCGGACGGCGGGTCGGGCACTCACCCTGGCGCTGTGGGCATCTCCTCCGCTCACCGCGGTGGTGGTTGTGTTGGTCACAGTGGTGGTCTCGACCACCACCTCTGGGTGGAGCACGATCTCGCGAGAGGAGCACGAGTGGTACGAGGGCGGCTCCTCCGAGATGGTGCTCAGGGAGTCCGCCCACGGGTGGGGCTGCTCGCTGCGGCGCATGCCGGCGCCCAGGGTACAGCCGCCCCTGGCGCCACCCTGGCCAGCCCCAGAGGGCCTCGAATGGCGCGGCCGCATCCGCGGCTCGGGCGACGGCTGCGGCGACGGAGTCGAGATGCGGTTCGAGTCTCCCTTGGGCACCACCTGCGGAGGGACGACGACGGAGCGTCACGTCAGTGTGTGGCCCGACGTCGGGGTGCTGTGTCCCCGAGGCGGCGAACGGAAGGCACCCCGGTCAGCTGCCGTTAACGCCGAGATGGTTCAGTGGCGCCCTCTCGGGACCGGTTCACACATGTGTAACTGCTTACGATCGAGTGCTTTACAACCTCTCGTGATCTCTTCCAACGAGAGAGCGCAGTGGCGTCATCTGTCGGGCAGTCATGGAACATTCAACATTTCCGGATATTTCTTATTTTTTTAGCACATCCCCGTTTCTTCATTGTCTGGAAAATCTCCCGACAATGTAAAAATAACATTTCTCGTAGACAGCACATACATTTGATCTTGCAAATATGGCAAAACCTTTGCTCTAGTGCATTGTACCTAAGGTTTACGCCGAATAACGGGGACAAAAAGCGAGGGGTAACACGGGACAAGGTGTTGCTTCTCGCTTTTTGTCCCCGTTTGTTGGCATAAAATCTCCATATGAAGCGAAACCAACTAGCCCAACTTCTAGTCTCGAAGGAGCACTAAGGCGGATATTGTGATTGTCGGTTTAGGGCACAAACTCAAACTACACACCCCGAGCATCCTATAAAACCCAAAATTACTACCGTGCGTGTCCTTTTTCACCCTTAAAAACGCGACTGAACACCACAACACGGCCCTTTTCCTGTGCTCAAAAAAGGAAGCACGTCGCAATGTTTTGTCGTGTTTTTAAAAGCGAAAAATGCCACGCGTGATTGTCATTTTGGGTTTTATAGGATGCTTAAGGTGTTTAAGGTATGTAGAGTGAGTTTGTGCCATAAAAAGGCAATTTTAAGATCCACCTTAGAGTCCCTTTAATTCGCTCTAGTGAAATGTAGTTATAGGGACCCCTCGTAGATGACACCGGCATGTAATTATGTTCTATCATAATAAGAGAAGCAAGACCCCGCCCATAGAACCAGCCTTTATCGTTTTCGTTTGCAACGTCATGACCAGGATTTGCCTCACTGTGACGTCACAAGTTGTGCTTTTGGCTACTTATCATCAGCGTGAACTACAAGTTCAATGGTGCATGTAAATAGCGCAACAGAAGCTGGGAGTCACCAGATTCTTAAACCAACACCGGCAAAGTTTGCAGTCGGGTGTTACTCTTTTATCTGTCCAATGAAAAAGCAAAATTATTACAACTAAGACTTGAATGCCGACCATAGATGCTTTTATTTGCGAACGCCAACAAGATTCTGTTCACCCCTAAGCTGTTGGTGCGATGGAAGCTAGCGTCTGTCTGTCAGCACCTGTTTATGCGCGTAAAACAAAAGAAAATCAACTAAAATGTACAGTCCATGGCCTTAGCATCCAATCAAAATGGCAAGAATGCATTCCTTTCAGCTGGTTTGTTTGTGTTTTCTTTCATGGCGCCTTTTAGTAACATGAGGAAGCGTAAGAACAAGAAATCGAGACGTGACCTAAAAACATTAGATTTTTCTAGCGAGGGGCGCTGGTCAAAACTGGAAAGCTACAGGCCTATAGCCAGCGAGGCTGGTGGCCAAAAAGGGTAACTTTGGGCAGGCCTAACCATTAAACAAATCAGCACGAGCGCTGCGTCGGAGTTTGGCAGGGCACTCGGAGATTCAAGCTTCAGGTCGGGTCCAATGAATGTGGCCCCAAGCTGTCTCAGAGTTGTCAGACCTAACTTTACTGCCCACTCGATAGAAAGGTTAAAGAGCACTGAGCTCCCCAAAAAAACATCCTTTTTAATTGCGCCTGGATGGAACATGTAGGTCGGAAATTGTACCCTTTACTGCAAATTAAAAAAAAGTTGCCCATCATTATTGTTGTTAGAATCACCTTTGACATGGTTGTTCCAGTTCTCGCCATTCGGCTTCTCTCTTCGACAAACCTAGTAGCACCTAGAGTTCCTGTATAGGCTCCCTACAGAAGCCAGAGTTGCGTGTTCATCCCCATAGCGCCAGCCTTCCTACACGGCCCGGGATTCTGTTCGTGACGTAACTGAATTTGGCGAACAATGGCGCCAGGCATAGGCGGCACGCAGTGCGCTCCTTCTTTTCCTTTCCTGGGAAACAGGAAAAGAGGAGGGGGCAAAAGCAAGAAAACATACACCGGAGTGCTTGCAACGTCGGCGAAGCGGTCACATCAGTGGCCTTCCTGCACGGCACTTGGATTTTGCTCCTCATCTCGGCGAATAGCGAAGCGGTGGCCCGTGGAAAGCAAATGTGCAACTAAGCTGCCGTAGGCAGCATATACAGGAACTTTACTAGCGCCTATAGCACAAACTGTAATTTTTTAACACTGCAATGCTTCGCACAAGTCTTTAAAAAAATTTACTAATCCACCTTTTTCCAAATATGTGCTGCCACCTAGACACACGACTGGGTTTGAGGTTAAGTGGCTATACACAAGTGCAAGGCCTCTCCCATCCATTCGACACCCAAAACGTTAGCTGCATCATGTCTGCCCATTGAGCCGCTGTGACCTAGATACGGCTCCCATAAACTTTGCCTTTGTCCCCAATGTGGGTTATCTGCGGCCCCGAAGTTGATACAAAGAAACCAAATCTGACCGAGCAGAGAAAAATCTTCCCTCTCTGCTTGGCCAGAAGAAAGAGAGAAAGGGCAACAAAATTTATTTACTCAAACCGATATTTTTGCAAAAAATTCATTTAGTGGTTTTCAATGCCATACAAAAGATCCTAGTGGGAGCAATATGGTTAGTTTTATCAACTGAAAAGTTGATTTTAGTAAACTAATTAAGAACTTGAATATCCGAAACACTATGTACCTCACTAAATTGACATTTGGCAGTGACCGATACAGTGCCAATATATATATTTTTTTTTGTGCAATGCAGTTTTTGTTGGAAAATTTTGACCAATGTTTGATGAAAACAACTAATATTTTCACCTGTTACGAATTGAAAGTGTTCAATTTCTACAAATGCTAAAAAAATTCAAATTTGTGAAAGCTCGACTGAGGTTCCATAGGGCACAGCATCATATCGATGATGACGATGACCTGTCTCACCTCGCCAGGGGGCCCAACCAGGGAGAGGATGATCGGCAAGAAGAGTAGGCCATTGAGCAGGCCAATCACGATCAGCGCTGACAGCACATAGAAGAAGTGCCTGCAGAGTTCACACATACAAAATCGAATTACATTCAGTTGATTGGTTTTAATACATCAAAAACAAAGATGTTGAAAACTACTATTGCAGATAGATGCCGCCAGCCGTGGTGCTGTATTTTGGGTTTTTATCGAAGCTAGACACTGATCTCAGGGTATTGAAAACGGTACTGAAAAATAGTTTATCATGTTTTTTTACAGTGATCACAATACAAATCTCGGCTCTGTTTTGCATAAAAGCCTCAGGACTTAGTACAGTCACATGTCTAGTGGTCAAAAATGTACAACATGGTGGCAGCCAGGGAAGGTTCAACTTACACAGTCGGCGGACGCCTTCGCCGCGTGATCGGGGGTCGATGTTGGTGGTTTAGTGATCGTTGCGATTTATTTTTGATAAGTGAGTCAACTTTGTTGCGTGGAAGTTTGGACAGTGGGAAGTTAGTCTTCAGCAAGGAGTGCCTGGTGTAGATGACAAACTTTGCCAGTGTTACGGCACAACCGCTAGCCCGGTGGCTTTAAGTTGCATCACGCAATGGTAAGTACATAAACATGTATCAATACAATTTTCATTTATATAAAAAAAAAATAATAGGTAGTAATCGAGCTTACGATGCCTGGATTCTGCAGTGCGAGTTTCCAGCTCATCTGCTAGTAGACACGGTCATCAATCCTCCTTCTGATAAGTCGGTTGTCAATGTACAAAACCTTGTTTCTGATGTCGCTCGCACTATATTTGGCGCTATACTTTGTCCTAAAACACCTCGAACGTCGTGCAGAAACGTCAACATGCGATAACATAAATTCAGTTTCATGCAGTCGATTTTTTGCGCTCAACCATTACAACTAAGTTAACTGTACTACTTCGAAATATTTAGCCCGTCCCGCAAATTTCGTTATAAGGGCTTTTGACTACCGTAATGCTGCTTTTTGCATTGCATCCACGATAAATGGGACAAATAAATTCGCTTCTTAAACTCTCTTCGCATAAACCTCGAAATTAAAGACGGCTCACCTGACGATGAAATCGAATTCCGAGAAGGCAAGCATGAGGACTCCCAGAAGTGTAGAGACTGCACCGTGGACGACAGGCGCAAACATGGAGTCCAGGCTGAGTGCCACTCGCCGATTTCGGCTGCCGATGCTCGTCAGAAAGCCCTGCATCAAAAGCACCGAGGCTTAGAGCGCGCGAGAGGCACACGAAACATGCATGCCTATGCATAACATACGAGATCTTCCGAAGTGAGGCAGTTAATAAATAGGAAACACGTAACTCGGCCCAGAGCTGCCTTTATGTGACAAACTTATTGACACAAAATCATTTGCGGGTTTCCTTTCGCATATATGCACGCGCTTTGCACAGGGCGTGTGCACATCCGGTCGAGCGGAGATTTATCCACACAATCACATCCGGAACTCTTAGTATGCTCAAAGACTAGCACAGATCACATTTTCGAAGACGGGCATTTCCTCGTGCCAAATCATTGATATAAAAAATTTATTTTATGCCTCCATTGCTTCCACAACGACACCCCATACGTTTACATTGCAGTTCACTGCCATCGTAATCGAGGTTGCCTGTTTTTTATATTTACCAAAAACATTCAACAAAAGTACAGTAAAACCTCGTTATAACAAAACGGGATATAACAAACTAATGGATATAACAAAGCAATCATAATTCCCCTTGCTTGCTAATAGTGGGAAGAAATGGACATCGGCTATAACAAACTAATGGTTATAACGAAATAATTACGACCGCTCCTTCAACTTTGTTATAACGAGGTTTTACTGTATCCTAAAATATTATTTTCATGTGCAAGAAAACAAAAAAACTCACTACTAATTTAACTGACTGTTTAGCGTTTATTCTTATGAACATTCCCGGTACCTTTCACATAGGTATTGCAGCTTTGCTACTGTAGAGTAGTATATCAGCGACATGAATGTTGATTTATTCGATCATATTTTCTAATACGTTCAGTTTCCAACAGTATGAAACACCCGATCGCCCGAACAGTTTATGTAGCAGTGCTGGGTGCTCGTTGTCCCTAGGTACTTTATACCTGAAGCGAGAATGGAACGAAGGTTTCATTTCTTTCTTCACCTGGAGCAGTGCAAGCCCGGTCAAAGTGAATCCTGCACAGCTGCCTGAAACTGCGTTGTCGAACGGGTCTTTCCCATCGTTGGAGACTGTACATGAACGCCGAAGACAACAACTACATATGCTTACGATACAGCCGGTAGGCTACCACAAGGTGCCGGTATAAAAGCAATGCTTTCAAGATGGTTGGACGGTAAAGTCTAGCGGTACCCCGCTACTTACCACAGTGATGTGAGCGGTAAAGTGGACTCCGATGCCGACAGCAATGACCAGCACGACCGCCGGGACAGCACTCAGTCCCACGCCCAGGAACCCCATGGCTCCGAAGAGCTCCAGAACCATGCTTGCCAACACCAGAACCTAAAAAGGACAAGAGACAAAAGCTTTGAGAAAACAAACACATCGATCCTACACATAGGGTGGTTATACAGTGAATCTTGCACCATAAAACAAGTCGGAAAAATCGGCGCATGCAGGTGGAAAGTTCAAACTTTCACCGATTGCAAATTTAAGTGATGGGGTTTAGCGTGCAAAATTTCAAGGCGCACATGTTTTCCCATAAAAAACGAGACCAACAGTATTGCCAAAGTCATCGAAGAAGCGATGAACGGTACTTGTGGCGCCACCTCCCAGCTGGCACCACAAGCAGACAATGGAATGCGTCTGCTCGCTGCACTTTTCGGGAGACGGCGCTACGAGTTGCACTTGCGCCTAACTCGGTCGTCCTTGAATGTGTCCACTGCCAACTTTGCCAAGTTTGTTGGTCTCGCTCTCACGGGAAGAGAAAGGTAAACCCCGCCACGTCGAAGTCGAGCGTCGACTGTCGAGCTGGAGATCGACCCATGGCAGAATGGACGTTTGCCATGTCCACCTCCGCTGCTGTGGCACTGCCAGGATCGCGGCAGTCAGAAGCGCGACACTCCTACAACGTCATTGGGTGGAAATCGAGGTGGCACAAAGGAGAATCGTGTGCGACCACTCACCAGGAGGCAGGCGGCCCAGAGGTTGAGGAGGGAGAGGGCGACCACGAGGAAGACCGCCGCGAGGGCCAGGGCGAGCGCAGCGAGGAGGTGCGAGCGCAGCCGCAAGTGGTGCTCCCAGAAGGCAAAGGGCGCCCCACTGGGGAAGTTGGGCAGGCCGCGGGCCTCGAAGCGGCCACACAGCGCCCACACGCTCTCCAGGGCACGAGACACTTCTCCGCTGCTCCTCAAGCCCCTGGGACCGGTGCGAGACAATCTTCGTCACGCTTGCACGAAGCCGCGAGTTGTACTCGTGTTTCGGTGAGATCGAGCCCATTCACACCCCTATCTGCCTTGAATGGCAGCGGAGGAACTCCTCCTGGTCCCAACATTAGGGCAGTGAAGCAGTATGAAAGACGGTCACCCTTGTAAATGATAAGGCTCATACTGGGGGGGTGTTTGGCTTAGAGTTAAATGTCAATAACTGGCTCAGATCTTCTAAGATAGTACTTAAGCTGAAAAAACAATTGGGGAAGGAAGAGGAAATTCGAGACCTTGGGGAACCTATGAGGGCGTTTTGGGAAGCCCTGGGGTTCCTATGAGAACCCAGCTTAAGAATCTGCGGCTTAAAGGGGGGGTGCAACGATTTCCGGATTTCAATCAAAAATTTGTGGAAGTTGCCCTCTGACACTTCTGTAATAAAGACCAGAAAACCGATTTCGCCCGCTTGTCCTAATTGTTGTGCAAAAAAAAAAGATAAATATTGGTGTTTCTGGCACTCCTCAACTCACTCTGTCTTCAGGATCACACCTGGTCGCACTCCTAGTGACGTAATTCGGAGCGCCGTGTAACTTCCCGTGTGCTCTCTCGGAAGACGCTTCTTCTCCCTCTCTTTGCCGACATTAGCGGGCATTATGCTGCAGCTTAGAGCCGAGCGAGGTCACATAATCTTCTTGCCGTAGCAGTTCCTTCGGCTGCCACTTGCGGCTGCAGGTGGGGGAAAAAGCTAGACTTTTGCTTTGCGATTATGCAACGGAATCGCAACATTTTTTAATGAAGGAGATGTTTTCTCTATTCTCCTCGACATCATAAACAACGTAAAAATGACAAGATGCTAATTCTTTTAATCTTATGATCGTTGCACCCCCCTTAAGAAACTAATAAAAAGCTTGGAGCAAAGGTTTTGGCAATTCAAGCTTTACCTATCGAATCAGAATCAAGCAAACAGGCAAACGACTCACTGGCTGTGTTCGGCGCGGTCAGATCACCAAGCACCGCCAGTCGCGTTTGTTACGTTAAGACACTGAACTGTAAAGGGTCTGCATGGTTTCAGCCAACGTGACGTCGCCGTGCCGCATGTGCATTATGTAGGGGTATAAACAAGCCTTAAAGATAGACCAAAGAGGTTTTTGAAGAAGCTTGCTTTTGTAGTTATACTGTTCAGTACATGTCGGTTAGTAAATACAATTTGTTTTAGATAGCAAAGCTGCCTATTAAACATCTGGCAATAGAAATAGATGCAGACAATATCTGCTTTGAAGTCAACTGCCTGGCCCTGCCTTCTTGGGAAAATTGGACCAATGAAAAAACAACGTATACGGATTGTGAGCGTTATCTTCGTAGCACTTTTGGGATATGTTGTGGGTTATATTTTGACAAACACGCAAAATATTTGTGATATAAGAAAAGTAACACAGCAACTATTGTTTCGAGAACAGCAAACTATATGTTTTCGCCTTGCCTGCCTCCGCACCGCGGAGTGACGTGTCCCCTTGTCTCCTTCGTGGAGAGTGTGTCGCCTTTTTCAAAAGTTCACCGAGATCCCACTGCTTTGTCTGCATCCTGTTCAGCACGGATCCTACCCCCCACTGTGCTACGGAGTCCCAACATGATCGGCAGAGTCCCGACTGTACCGACAGTACCAACTCGAAAATCACAAAAGTCGCCCCGCCGCAGGCAAGGACAAATCGGCGTTAGGCTCTCTCGGAGAGGCGGCTCGCAATAGGTTGACAAGCGCCCATCGTCGCCGCACCGACAACGCTGCTAGAGTATGCCTCGCCTTTCCTGCTTTTCCGTTTTACAACAAAGCTGTTAAGGGCTAGCTTCCCCAGTTTTGTGTCCATGGACAAATAAATCTCGACACAACCCTCTGGACAGCTACCGCCATCCATGATACAGCTCCGCTGCTCTTCCTTCTTCACCAGAGCGGAAAGGCTAAAAGTTTTTTAATAAAGAAATCGTCGTCGTGCGATCATAAATTTTAGGTTTTTAGGACGCTTAGGACGCCCGTAGGATCTGTTATGACCAAGAACAAATGATTGCAGAATCCTCTTTAGTGACCCTTTAAGGGTAGTCTGGTCAAGACTGCCGGCTACCATTTCCTCACCCACCTGAGGTAGAAGGGCATCTGGGCGTAGGCGAGCGGTGCAGACTTGGGGACGCGCAGCTCGACGTCTTCCCGCGAGTGCACCCACTGCCGTGGCTCAGGCCGCAGGTTGGCCTGGGACGCTGCGTAGGCCAGGGCGTCGTTGGACGCCCACGCTGACAGGTAGTTGTAGAAGCCCTTGGGGTTCACCAGGCCCTCCGCGTCCACCAGGCGGCCCTTCAGCACCTGTACAAGCGAGCAGAAAAGGACCAATCGAGTGGCTGCCAAACATCGATGGGCATTTAGGCTCGGCACAATGGTAACAGGTTCACCCAAACCTAGGCCAACTGTTTCATAAAATGGCTCGTTGGCTTACTTTCTCACAAAGTGCGTAAAAAGCCCATCAGTTTATAGTTAAAAGCGCCGAAAAAGACAAGGACAAAGAAGTGGAACGACACAAGGTGCTTGTGTCGTTCCACGAGCACCTTGTGTCGTTCCACTTCTTTGTCCTTGTCTTTTTCGGCGCTTTTAATTATTTAAAGAACCATGAACCAACTGGCTCAACTTTCCACTTTGCCCCATCAGTTTACTTTTCACAACACTTGCAAGAGGCTAATCAGTTTACTTTCCTTGAAATCACACAAAAGAGCCAATCGGTTTACTTTGCTGCAAGGTATCCAAAGAGCTAACTCGTTTACTGCCTTGGAAAGAGGGAATCTGTTTACTTTCTTGCAAAGCACCTAAAGGACCAATCTATTTTACTTTCTGTAAAGCTTGCAAAGAACCAATCATGGCAATTTAAGAAGGAGAAAGAACAGAGACTGATGAGGCACCAATAAGGTTGGGGCTCGACTCTAAAATGGGGCCTGTGTAGGAATTCTAAACATGAGAATGTCATGACTGGCATGTCAGCGGAGGTCCTTCATTGGGTGCCTCGTCATTTGCTGAGCATCTTTGACTGCCATTTATGGAAGCAAATTAAAGAAGGTCACTATTGTTTCCTTCTGTATACGACAGTGATTGACTGCCATTCAATTCTCCAAGCAGCAGTGAGATTTACTTTCATAAATACCAATGGCTGACTAAAATCTACTTCCGTAAATAACACAATACGCTGTTCCCATTTATAAAAAATAATTGGCAGCCAATCCCTGCCATTTACAAGAGCAAAGAGCAGTCAATAGCAGCATGGCATTAGTTGGCATAGGTTTCGTCTATAAAACGGTCAACCTAGATTAGAGAACATATGGTATTGTAGGATCAAATTTATCTTCAAGTTTCCTTCCCAGTCTCGTGATTATCGAAAGACTGTTGCCAACAAAGAGGCGATAGGATGCTGCACTCTGTACTGTGCCCCACATCCCGGCACCGCCTCCCCTGAGGAACGCACCAGGGTCTTGTCGATGGGGTTGTCCACCCTGCCCGTCTGCACGAGCAGCTTGTAGGCAAGCACCCCTTCGTCCGAGGCGTTGGGGAACCACTGCTCCCGCGTGATGCAGCCGCCTTCCCAGTCCTGGTCAAAGGCAGCCTGAAGCTCTGCAACAGGAGAGACGAAGCAAAATGATACAAACAGCTTTAGCCACAGCGTGCTAAGAACTGACAGCAACAGCCGTTGCACATAGTAACACACACTTTTATTCATATCCACCCATATTTACTCAATGACTCACAACACAACCTTGTGGTCACTGGAGTATGCAGGAAAAGGAACACACACTTACCTAAGACTAAATTGAGATGGGTTTAATTCAGCTATTACTGCAAGTATCATATGTAAGGGCAGAATGTTTTGCTCCAACCCGATTCAGGCACAAGCCCTGTGGCATTGCCAGGCACAAGGGTGCACTCGACATTTCGCAGCCAAGATGTGAACTACTCTGAATGCATGTGGTCGTGTGATTTGATGACGTGGGGAAGGACAAAGTCCAACCTCACTAAATCGAGCAAAGAAAGCCAAGAACGAACGTCCAGTTGCTGTCGGGGTTCCGAGCATGATTTCCTGCGCATTCTTCTCATGCACTTTCCGAGGCTCACGCCTCGTGTTTCGGCCATTTTCTTAATTTTTTTACACTGGGTGTGTCGCTACTACGTCACAAAGATTTCTGCCTAGCACAATGCCACAGTGCAAAGTCTTTACAACAGCTATTATGTTGTAAAACAGATGAAGGATGGGAGAGCAAGTTTTAAGACGCCCTACACATAGACTTCTTTGTGCCACATTGTCGAGGCTAAACTAGGGGGCAAGTTTCTGTGGCCTTTCTGAGGAGACGAGGCAAGCGCACTCGTAACTTTAGTTGGCGTTCAGTCGGAGAGCGGACACGCGTGCCTGTGCCTTTACTGAATTGCCACAGAAAGTTGCGCACAAGTACAGTGTAAAGTGCGACCAGTCCGAGCTGGCACCCATCAAGCCACATTCGCAGTTGGACGAGCCGTCATATGAATCAAAGAAGAAAACGTGCCATTACAATGCCCGAAACGCGTCTCCGATTGTACAACCGAGTGTGGCTCTCGTTGTGGCGTCCAAACTACCGACTGCCGACGCTTCCGCGCAATGTCGAGCTGAAGAGTGACCTGCAACAGAACAGGCGTCTGCCCAAATCCACCACCATTGCTGCGACACTGCCAGCGACAGCATGACACTTCTACAACATCGTCAGGCAGAAGTCGAGAGACTGCTTTTTTTGACGCGTTAAGCACACCGGTCAGAGACTTGTTACAGGTACCGTAGCACCATGTCTGTGTATTCCCTCTTCTCAGCGCCGTGCCTCGCCCGTGTTATCCTATTTTCCTCACCGAGCAGCCAGTCTCGAAAGAGGGTGAGCCAGAAGTCCGGCAGGCCTCCGTCGTCGTTCTTGATGACGTGCTCGACGGAGGTGAAGGCCTCGTGGTACTCGAGCAGCAGGCGCTGCTTGGTCGGGTACTCGAAGTTGCCCCGAGTCACGGCGAACATGTGGAAGAAGCCGAAGTAGCGACCCTGGGCCCGCAGGAAGGCCTGCTCCTGGCTGCCCCCTGGGACCACCTCCGACAGCGCCAGCCCCTCGTCTGCCCGCAGGGCGCCCCAGGCAGACGCCGACAGCAGCGATGCCAGCCCCAGCACCGTCAGCACCTGCGGAAGACGCACTGTCGGCACCCTTCGCCTCGCAGGGCCGGAACAAGTGGCCGTCTCAAGTAGCAGCCAACGTTACGGTAGTCGCCGACGAAGTGAGAATGCTGGGACGTGGCTTTCGAATGCCGGCCTCCGGCATGTGCTCCGTGCCTTTTGAAATACTTTGGCCGGCCTTTCATCAGCCACAGAAAATGTAACAGTCTGTGTACAGTTACAGCACTGACCTTGATTGGTGTCTGCTGCAGGAATGGAGCGTAGTAGTACGACACGAAGTAGCTGAGAGACCACCGGCGCCACTGCTGCAGCGGGTTGTTTGGTTTGGGCAGCAGGTCCTCGCTGACGGCGGCCATCTTGTCCCTTGGGCCGTCTGCAAAAGGGTAACACATACAACATGTCATCTCTTGGATCTTCGTGATCTTTGAGGTAGCTGATAAAATCATATCAGTTGTATGAACGACCATATAACAACACATCAGTCTGCCTTGATGTGACGACTTGTAAGTTGTGTCTTCACTTTCGAAATAAAACACTAGCTAGGCAAGGCACCACCCAATTCAAAGAGTCTATATTCACTTTGTCTATCCATGCAAAGCAGCAGTTCGGTCAGTGCAGTGTAATGCTAGTGGCTTTTGCATCATGCAGTATGAATTATACCGAGGCACGCTGGTAAGATGAGAATAACAAAACTGGCAGGGAAAAGAATCAAACTTGTAGTTTGCAGCATGGGCTTTTACTTTAACTGCTGCCAGCTGCAATGCGTTAACACGTGGCTTCCAGTGAGGGTTTTTGATTAGCGGCCGAGCAGTTCTGGCACTGCAACATCAGCAGGGAAATATTCTTTCGAGCAACTATGGTCATGTCTCATGAATGTGGGCACCTGTGTTCCCTAAAAAAATTGTTTACAATGCGAGTGATACATAATAATGAGACAAAAATGTATCTATTTATCTGTTTACCCAGTTTGTCCACACTAATTTTCTCTACATATAGCGGAGTGTTCATATTACTGTCGAGACCGGTTCTAACGAAGTCAACGGGAGTCGGAAATCACTTCGCTATATCCGCTATTTCGTTATAACCGACTTTGGTTATAACGAAGTGCAAAAGAGAATGGGAAATCGTGATTGCTTTGCTGTAGCCGCTATTTCGTTATAACCGACTTCATTATAACCGGTCTCTACAGTAACAGGCCCTAGATTAAAGATACGACTGTAATCAACCCTAGGATCGCTCCCTCATTTTTATACCTCGCATCTCTCTGAAGCTGTTGGATGCTTAGTCACACATTTCTTGCGCAGTAGCTCTAGCTCCATCCGTGCTGTTTTGTCATCTTGGAATATCTCACGATCCTCCAGCACTGTTGCATGCTCCCACAGCTGAATTCTTGTACGCACAGCCAAAGCCAAGTGGAAGGCAACAAGCACATACTGGAGGCAGAGCTTCTGCTGCATTCATAGCCTGTCACCGAGTACATCTATAAGTGAACTAGTACACAGACATATGCCAAAGCCTAATCCAGAATTTGATGCTTCCGCCGCCCAACTGCTAAAGAGACGGAGGAGTGACAAACGGTGCCGGCAACTCACCCATGCCCACCCAAGGCTCCAAGGGACCCGCGGGAGCGAGCACCGTGACCACGTGACTTTGGTCCGGGGGCAACGCCCTGGCCAGGGCTTGGCGCTTGGATGGTGCCTGGACTTGAGTCTCCACCGGGACTTCTTCGTCGTTCCTGTTGATAGTGCTGTCGAAGAGGGACACTTCTAGTGAGCCCCTGCTCACTGGGACCCACCTTCTTTCATGCGGGCCTACCCAGAGACTGCCGCGTCATGAAGCGGAGTCATTACCATGACACCATTGGTTAACCCACGCGGTGGTGATGAACTAAATAAACATTGTGAGACAAGTACGGACAAGACAAAGAAGTCGACCCACACACCACCGTGTGTGTCTGCCTCTTTGCCCTGTCCGTGTATGTTTTGCACCATCTTTTTTTCGTTGTGTGCACCAATCAGTCAAGCTACACACATTTGCAGCGGGGGTAAGTATGTGGCTGCCGCTTTATTACAAAACAAAACTGCCATACTGCTTGTTTGAGGCTATTGCCACTAGGGCAAATGCTCGTCGAAAAAATTGGGGTCTCCTGAGCCACTTCAAAGAGCACACTGATTCCATAGGTCACGCCATTCTAACCACCGCGCAACTATGCAATGCTCGATAAAATATCTCTCAAAGGGATATCAGACCCACAAATGATGGCTCAAAAAGCCATAATGACACACTCTCTTAATTCCCTCACAATTCTCTTATTTCTTTGCAGCCTTGTCCTTGGAGCAGAAATGCGAGAGTATTTATAGACTTATTAGTTTGCATGATCCCACACAAGCTTTCAGAATGATTATTTTGATTTTATACAGATGCGTGTGTAACTTAATAGCAGGGTGGTGGTAAAACCTTCACCGCTTACGTGGGCAGTTGAAACTAAAGAACCGTAAATGACCTAACGGCTCTTGAACATCACTTCCCAAGCATTGACTAGGAGCAATAGTGATGGTGTAATCCATTTTAAGATACTGTTTTATTTATCTTGCACTCTTTTCTCCTCTCCCCAAAGAAGCAGATCTCTGAGCTAGTCCTTGCAGAAAGGAGGAGAATGTCCTTCCTCAAACAGAAAGACGGAATCGAGGAAAAATGTTTCTTTTTTAACTGTGGGTAGGGCATCTAATCAAATAATGAAGCAAAAAGTTAAATTTCAGCCTTCCTTCGTGAGAGAATGGCATCTTGCCACCTTCACTCCACCCCAAAGATTTGTAGCGTAGTGGTTTCCAATTTTAACGGTGGCATCACAGCAAAGACAGCCAGACCAGCCAGACGTAAGGACCAGCCCACGGTACTATGGTAACAATGCTGTAAAGTGGTAAAAAGGCTAGGTCGGGTGTATAAGGCCAGTGCTAGTCACAAAACTTCCAGGAAATGGTCGATTTGAACCACAAAACGTTATCTGAGCGACAGAAGAGGACAGAACAGAGTTTGCAAGCAAAAGAATTCTATAAACAGACCACTGCAATGAAAGCTTAAAGCATAAACCTGAAGTGTAAATCCGGACAGCAAGCCCACACCGTATGGCGCATGCAAGAGTCGCCTTAACCTAACCTTTATATTTAAAGATTTAATCGAGCTTTTGCTAAATTACCCAAGCACCAAGGAGCACGCTGGGAAATTAGGTGCACATGCTGAAAGCACTCGCCTTATCTGCATAAAGGTTCAAAGTAAATGGTAAAATAAGGCCAATGCATGTTTGAAGTGCAATTCGTTTTTATGTTTTTACTTAAGAACAGTTAGTGCTGCAGATGCCAGCTTGAGCATCTGTAAGTGTAACTACACTTGCAAGAGGCTCCTTAGAGCTTGGGTAATTCAGCAAAAGGTCTATCATGTTTTATGTACCTAGCCTGCTATTACCATATTTTGCAGACTATATAGTCCGCAGACTACACATGTCAAAAAGTACACATTTTACTGTCCACCAGGTGTGGTCTGGGCATTGTGTGCGGACTACCGTAAAATACCGAGCAAGCGCCCACCGATATTTTGAAGATAATCGCAAAAAAAAGGGGATGGACGCATGTGGGGTCATCAATTTTACATATATATGTACTGTGCTTATTTTTTCAGATGTTTCAAATATTGGGGGTGGATCCATAGTGGAGAATAGGCAGATGCACAATATTCTATGGTATGTACAGGCTGCAAACTATTCAAGAAAAAACATTTTTTTTTCATTCGAATTTGGGTTTTGCGGATCATACATCAGGTGTAAACTACATAGTACCAATGCACAGCTCTGACGTCGCGCCACCGCAGTGGCGCTGCTGTCAGCACGGGGCATGCACAGACGCTTCACCTCGCGTGATTTTGGTTTCTGCACTTGCGCAGTGCCTCCACTTGGTGTGGGCAAACTCCTGCTTCTTTGTAAACAGTGCACTGGACTATAGCCCCGAAAATACGGTACCTCGTGAAGGGTCACGGTATTTCTAAATGAATCGCTAAATAAATGAAAACGGAGGCAGCGCACCCTTGGCCATCGGGGAGGCAGGGGGAGCCACCGCACCAGCAGCACAGCCGATGACTGCGCCGTCTGCGCCGAAGGTCGACGCTCACGGCGGCCGGGAAGAGGAGCAGCATGGCTGCCACGGCAAAGGTGTGCAGCAGGGCCGCTTGGAAGACAAAGGCCCTCAGGGCGGGCACCGGGATCAGGGCTGCTGCCACAAAGCCGCCCACCGTGCTCGCCCAGACCAGCAGCACGCTCGTGCCCACGCACTTGAGCACCTGCCCTGTGCGCTCCTGCAAGAAGAGGGCGCAGGCGTCACGCCGTCGTTTAGCCAGACTGGTTCGCATTGTTTCGTCGACACTGCACTGTTTTGTGGACACATGCAAATGCAACGTTTCGTTGACAACGTATTTCTTCTTACCATGTGCGTAATCAGATCTGACGGCCAATAAATGGTAGCACGTGATTTACTGAAGTGTGTTTATCTAAGTTCGGACCAACCAACCGACATCCCCCCCCCCCAACCCCCCTCCTCTCTTGCCTTGTAAACCAGGTAAGACAGAAAAAGTTACCGTAGTTAGAAAAACAGCAGGGTTGAGTTCGACAAAATGTTGCAAGGTGTGTCGATAAACAGAGCGTGGGAAGCCTTTTTATTAAACAAACAGTAGACAAAAAAATCTGTCAACGAAACATAGTCCGACAAACGCATTACCTATGTTGCCAGGGCTCTAGGGGTTAAAGGGGCGATGCAAGAACTTTCGGACTTTGGCCAATTAACTGCGAGAATTAATCTGCGTCAACTATAGAACGAAGAACAGAAAACTATAACATTTTGGACTAAACCCCGAGACTGGGGGGGAAAAAGGACAACACAACACAAAGTCTCAAACACAGCTGAAGTTTATTGGACAGAAGTTTGCGCCCTAACTTTTTGTTCGTAGAAAACTATGTTTTTTCTGCACGTGCTAGTTTTTATTTTAAAATATTTAAAAAAATTGAAGGCAAAGCGCCCCTCAACTCTTTCACCGTCTTTTGAGTGACGTCTCTGAGGGATCACCTAGTTTCCTGTTGGGTTCTCTCTTCAAAGGCTCTAGCAGCTCCCTCCACAATTGTCAACTTTTGAAGGATTAGCGTCACCGAAGGTCGCGGTGAGCAATCGACACGGAAGACGGTTCGCCACGGAGCTAACGGCAAGTTTAGCAGGAGAGGGGGACAGGTTTTGTTGACTTCTGCGTGCCTCTCAGTGACGTTCCACTGTAGTTCTCGTAACTGCCACAGGCGGCTGCAGATTGGTCAATAATTTGGTCTTTTTTTTCGTGATTACGCGGCGGAATAGTAGTTTTTTGGGGGAAGGTGGCGCGTTTTTTGCACTTGCGCCTAGATAAACAAGATAAAGAATACAAACTGCAAATTCTTTTAATTGTTAAAATCGTTGCACTTCCCCTTTAAGGCCCAATAACGCTGAACTGTCTACTTACATTTTCTTAGTTTACGCTATGATACGACCACAAGTCAATGGGACATCCGTGCTTTGCATTCCGCGAGCCAAGCTACTCCTCGAATCCACCATTTTTAAAACAAGTGGTGCCACCTGGCAGAAAACAGGCTTCGAGAATTCCCAGGACGAAACAATGCATACATTAGGAAGGAGACGGGTTGATTGAACTTGGGGGCAAAACAATACACAAAGAGACAAAAAAAAGCACACATTAGGAAAGAAAAGGGGTTGATTGAACTTAGATTGAACTTGGGAGCAAAAAGATAAGCCACAATAGGCACGAAAGAAAATTTGGGGGTGTCCAATCTAGGTCACTGCAGATCACTGAAGCCAGCAAAATTTAGCTCCCTTGGCCGACGGAGTGCCTGCGCTGACCTGAACACATACTTCCACTTGAGAAGCTCCAGAGCTGGCGATTTCCAAAAAAGATACATTGGTTGTCACACTTTATAAAAAGCACAGAGGTCCCGGCGACCCACGGTCATAACTTGACACAAGCAGACGTAAGCTCCCGTAACATAATGCAATGTAGCCCTTTAACATAACGCAATGCAAGTAGACGGTGCAAATTGAAAGGGTGGGCTTTTAATCCTATACAAATGCTGCAGTGGTATGGGCCAACATGTGTACCACGAGACACTTTGCAAAACTGTTTGTGCCTTGCATCTCAAATATTGTGTACAAGATTGCCCTGACCTGTGGAAAATTCTACATAGGCCAGACAAGGAGATGCGCCTCAACGATAGGCTATGGGAATGCGTCTATTCTCTGAAGGCCACGGTGCAAGGACTTCTGCATTTGCACTGTAGAAAGTGCTTGAGTCAGCCGGGTTTTGACAAGGTCACGGTCAAAGAAAGACGCAAAGAAAAGACCACCCGCAAAATTATCGAGGCCTTCTTTATTTCGTGCCCATGGACTACTAGACATGTCAGCGAGCCGTCGGTGGCTCATATTTTATAAGGAAATATCTTTTTTTTACGCCTAACCGTAAGTAGCACAAGCAATGTCCAGTAAGCCCCCTTTGAACATAACAGCCATGTGTAGAGCGTTCTGTTGCCTGGCCATCACATTATCTGATAATGATGCACTAGTATGCATCTTTTTAAGTAATACAGTTCAGTTGCAAGCACAGCTGTTGTCCTGTCATAGGTGTTCCTTTAGTGGTCCTGGTTTTTTTACGTTGTTGTTCCCATTATGTTAAACTATTATCAATTTGCCCAGTTCAACACTCTGACTGAAACACAGGAGTAGATATGTCGCAAACTCTCGTCCAACCTCGAGGTTCGACTACTTTGGCAAATCTTCAACCATTTGTCAAAATTACACTATTTTTCCAAAAATTTAAAGAATTTGTGGCAAACTGCTAGGCAACTGTTTTGCATATGTGAAACATTCTAGCATCATGTCTAGCCTGTTCAGCCAGACGCCTACGTTCACTGTGCTCTTCATCAGACAATTTAACGCGTGGCATTTGTACACATGAAATGGTAAGCTTGGTGATCGTCCAGAACCTTTCAACCCACCCCTCCTTTCGCACTTTGCCTCATTGCCTGCCTGTCAACCAATCAACGTCGAGCACCTCACTCCTCCTCTCTCATCTGTCAACCAATCAGTGTCGAGCCCCATGGCCACGCTTTTATACAGGCTTCACTTTTGGGCCTCACGAAATGCCGAACATATAGCCGGAGAATGTTTCACATTAAAATATAAAAATAGTGCACAAAAGGCGCAGACAGATGAAAGAATGCACACAGGACCAGTGCCCGTCCTGTGCACTTCTTACGTCAGCCCATGTCTTTTGTGCGCCGTTATATTTATTCCAGAACTAGAAATAATGTTTTATTTCCCACTTCCAATTTTATTTTCCCCCCAAGCTAAGGCAAGACAAAAAATAAAAATTAGAAAAAAAAGCGGAATCACGGATTTGCGTGAGACACCGAAACGCCGAGTCAAAACAATTCGACATCGCGGCTTTTACGGTGCATTACCTCATATCAGGCGCACGCCCCCCCCCCCCCTCCCCCCCTCCTTTCTTCCTCTCTAGGGCGGGGGGGGGGGGGGGGGGGGGGGGGAGGCAAGCACTTTTGCTGTTTTCTTCTGCGTGTAGCCGGAGAGCGTTATCGTTCCGATCCTCTCCTAGTATTGACTTTTGCTTCTATTTCTGAGCACCCTTCGAGCGCAAGCACCACGGCTGTCTCGTCATTTGGGGAGAAGGGAAAAAGGGGGGGGGAGCAGAGCGCCAAAGTGTAGTCTCATGCGGAACGGCAGCGCGCAGCTGCGTGCTCGCGGCTACGCTCGTCGCCGCACGTAATCGCAACCGCCGTCGCCGCCAAACACCGCCACAAACTACCACAAACAAACCAATGGGAAAAAAAAAAAAAAAAAAGAGAAACGGCCACCAACAATGGCGCACCAACGACGCACCTGGGGGCCGACCATTATAATGTAGCTCTGACCGTCGACCCGACTCGAGGGAGAAAGAAAAAGCCACCGGACGCCGGAGAAGACAATCGCGCCCACGGGGTCGGCGGCAGGTCGCCCGGTGATGAAGACATTATCTCCGGGGAGAAAAAAAATATCAGGCGGAGAAAGAGGGACGGTAGAGGCGAGGGCCCATCGGCTGGGGTGCTCTGCTGGGAGCCGTAAGTGCCCCCCCTTCGCCCCAAAGCCCGTCCGTCGGGGGAAATGATGGTCATTGAAGAGAAGAAGAACAACGAGAGAGAGAAAAAATAATAATAAACGCGACGGACCGTTTATGCGGGCACGTGTTGCGTTACGGTGCGGTTTCGGATCGCGTTTTGGCGCGCCGGCCCGACGTTTAAAGTAAAGGGGCATTAACTTGTCGCCAAAAAAGCTATAGTTCTTTTGGGAAGTCGGTTGGCCACGTAGGGCACAAAATATAGCCCCCCTTCAAAAACAAAAATAAATTATCTAAAAATTTACGGCGCGAGGCACATACCGAGTTGGAAGCGAAACCAAAACTACGTCGTGTTTCTTTCAACTGGAAATATCTTCCGTTTCACGGTCCCTTTAATAATCCTCCCCCCCCCCCCCCCCCAAACCAAAAAAATTAAGTAAATGAAATAAAATAAAAATCTAACATTTTTTTAGATATCACTTTGAGTTACGAGCGATTCTGAAACTTTTATTTGAAGACGTCGATCGTCAAATAAAAGTTGGTTTCGGAATGGCTTGTAACTCAAATGATCTCTGCCAACGTAAATATTCCACACAAATTTTTTTTTTTCATGCACGTTTTACCCAAAATTTAAACCCCTTTTTATTTATTTATTTTTAATATATATATATATATATATATATATATATATATATATATATATATATATATATATATATATATATATCTTTTTTTTCTTTTTTGCGCGACGACGCAACCACCGAAGCAGAACGTCCCACGACTAGGGCCTCGCGTGCGCTCGGAAAACACACGAGGCAAAAACAAATAAGAGGCCGCCAATTTACTCGAAAACGGCAACCGGCACTGCGAAACGCACACCGCAACGCGAGAAAAAAAGTACTTTCAGCAAAAAAAAATATCGATCAACTTTGCCAAAAAAAAAAAAAAGATAAATATATATATATATATATATCGATCAACTTTGCTGTTCCTCGGTCGAAGGTACGCGGGGGGACTTCCCGTCGGTCGACGGGACCCCGGTCATTACCTCACCCATTGGTGCAGAGGCGACCGCGAGTGCACGTCGGATTGTCGGGCAAGCGACAGGCCCCGCGCAGTGCAGGGTGCCTCGAAAATCAAACTGCTGCTGGGACAACGGGCCATGGGCCACGCCCACGATTCCCCTAAACGCCGAAATAACTTAGTCAGAAAGAAAAAAAAACAAAACAAAAAAACTTATATGCATTTTTTTTATATCATCATTCAATCAAATCAATCAAAGAGAGCTTTATTGTGTTTCCCAAACAGCTTTAGGCACCTCTTTTAGGGTTACACTTGACATAATAAAACAGCACTGAGCTAGACAAACTGCAAATTCTGTTTATATTTACAGCGAATTATATTTACAGCGAAAAGAACAATGAGTGGAAGAAGGTTCCTCCGTGAAAATGGCAGGAGTTTTCGAGTGTGCTCTTATTTCCACGTATAATAAATGTGCTTTCAATGAAACCTCTCGGCATATTTTGAAGTCTCTTCAAAAACACACGGTGCTTTCTTGTTTTTTCTTCTTTCTGTTTCGATTTTCACAGATTTATTTATTCGGTACCAACAGCACATTTCGGCATTACACTAAAAAACCTATATAAAAAAAATAACAGCATATAACAGTGATAAAACAGAGTAGAAATACTCGCATTGAAATATTTTCCAGAAAATAACTTTTTACAATAAAATGTCAAAAAGCGCCGATGTCATGTTTGCAATAACAGTGTTGCGCAGTGTCTGCGCGACACATCATCGCAAACGCAACATCAATGTGTTTTTTTTTTTTTTTTTACATGGTTGCTTTAGTTTAATTTTAAGACTATATTAGAGCATCCAATGTCAGCACGTCCAGGAGAGAGCGCGCGCTCTCCGGCGACGAAAAGTATGCAGCAGACGAAATAAGCGAGCGGACGAGCGGCTTTGCACGCTTTCGCATTCACAACTCATAAGAAGTGCTTAGGTGTACCACGAGCCTTTTTTTGTTTTTGTTTTTCCATTTGAATTTAGAGGTAGAAAGTGCTCATTTAGAGCACTAATCTAACCAGTAAAGTTTGGTGCAAGTAACATATGAAAAAGCATCAATGTTGTGTTAGTGCTTTCAGTGTACTGCTGCAGAAAAAGTAAATAAGTAACAAAAATTGAGGGCGCAATTAAGCAAGCTGGTGAAGTTTAAACATGCTGACTGAAGTTTTCTAAAGTAAAACACGTTTTTTAAAGGACGACATATTTGCAACTGTATTTCAATCCACCCATCAAATTGACACACATAGAATTGAGTTTTATGAGCAACGCAGTGGACGCCGACATCCAGTCTCGAATTTCCTGGCACGCAAAGTCGTGTCTTTTAGCATCGCCACGTCTTCCTTTTGAACTGTTGCTTTTCATTTATTTTCAAAACACCTTAGCATCTTTGATGCGCGCGACAATGTGCGCTGCAAAATATGAGTTTACTTTTGTAGAAGTGCAATTCTGCATTAATAAAAGAATTATAGTTGTATTTCGGTCTATCTATAAAACTGGTCATCTCATACAGAACTGTCGCGTTTTTACATCGCATCTCCTTTCCCGTCTCTTCTATATCGCAACCACACGAAGGATGCGCAGACTGAGGTCGGAGAGTGACTCTAATGTGTTGACACCTGACACGCGCTAAGACGTCCAATTAGTTGAAGGCGCAGGAGGTTTGCAGGCAGCCTACTCTGCTGTCTTCCACGCCCATTCCAACGCACATTTTCACGCAACAGAAAATCTGGGTTAGCTCCCGTTAGAATGCCACCGCGCATTAATGAAGGGCTGAGGCGACTCACCTGCGGCGGAATGCGTGCCTTGGCTGCGTCCTCGTAAGCATGAGCAAGCAGGAAGAGGTTGTCCAGCCCCAGGCCCAGGGCGAGGAAGGGCAGCACTCGGGTGGTGGCCGCGTTGAAGGGCAGCCCTAGCAGGGCACACAGGCCCAGGCCGGCCCCCACGGCCCCCACGGCCAGGAGGACCCCCAGGGCACCCAGGAGACCACGCGACCCTGGGGGGTCCAGGGGGCGCCACAGGACAACCCACGCATACCCCATCTGGAAGGGGCCGCAGAAAAACATAAACATCAAACGTTCAAGTTTAGACAGCGTAAGGTCGGTCTGCCTTTGAGAATGGCAAAGCTAGTTTTCGCTGTAGGCGAGGATTTTAGCCAACGTGTTACCACTGCTATACTCCATTTCACCGTAACTTGGCAAACGGCGAAGGCAAGGTCCCAGTAAGCCAATAAGTCACGAGTGAGAGGGAGAAGAGTCGCTTCTGTACAAATTTTAGAGATGGGCTAATCATCCAGGGTGAGAAAAGTGACGTTTGGAACAAGTAAATGAGAGCCTGGGTAAGAGGGAAGTTTGCCCTTCCCCTCTTCTCCAGCTGGTTGGGTTACACTCTCACCCTCTGTGCCTTTTGTAAGGGCTGTCACGCGCTTCATCTTTGTCGTTCTGGTTCATTTAAAGGGGCCGTAGCATTCGCTCTCTGCCAAGTTACTTTGTAACGAAGTATAGCCTGGGGTCTTTAATGTGCATCATGTGATAGTGACACATGACCACACGCCGGTGCGAGGCTCATCCAGATCAAAATGGGCAAGGGTGGGGATTGAACCCAGGATGCCTGGGGTTTGCAGCAAAGCGAGCTTTTGCTCCACGGGCTTCAGGCTATGACGTGCAAACACACTCAACCACCAATCCCCCAAAATGTGCCAAAATAGAAGCACATTTTGGGAATGCTCCTCGCTCAAAGTGAATCTCACAATGTAAATACTGTGCTAAAATATATATGCTTTTTTTTCTGTGAAAGTTCACTTTGTGAGTGTAGGTATCAGTAAAGAGTTAGTTTAAATGTTGCTGCCATAGGTTTGCAATGCTGGCAAAGGAACTTAAGGCAAGGATTTATTGAAAACATCAACGAAGCGAGGAGTTAGAAACGAAGGAGCTCACCATGAGCAGGCACCCTAGGGCCACCCTGGTGGGATTCACCTCCGAGAAGTCCTTTATGACGTCGGTGAGTGAGGTGCCGGTGAAGACGTGCATGTCGCCTGCAACCTTGCGGCTCACGTTGGGCGGCGATTCCGAATCGCCCTCTTTAAGCACCTCCTGCGGGACAAACAGAGAGTCACCGCGGTGCGTGCGGTTTTTCCCACCGAGGAAGGACACTGCGACACGGATGAACAGACAAAAGCGGATGTTCCAGTCGGTGAATATTCATTGAGAGATGGGCACCCAGCTCATTTTACGGCTGGTTTACACACTTGCATTGGACCACGACTGAGTGAGCACCCAAACTTTTAGGTCTCTTATGACTGCTGAAGATTGCCTGTTTAGCAGCACAGTCAGTCAAAAGCAGTCACAAGAGGCTCCAAGCCGGTGTTTAAGCCTCTCCAGTCATAAGCAGACGCAAGTGTGTGAACTAGCATGTAGAGGCAGTTCAGTGTGCCTGTCGTACAAAAACAGAATGCAGAAAAGAGAGAGACGAGAATGAGAGAACGTAAAACAAGACAGAGAATGAGTAGATGAAGAATGAGCGAACATGTGCGCTGTGCAACATGACTAGCATGAACAAGTGGTCTCTGATATTTCCTGTTTTTGTCAAAGATGTCATCATGACTAGCAGTGTGAAGAAAAATGCTCATTTGATGTACCAACCTAAGTGGTAAAATTGGATGCTCATCAATAACTTGTCGTAATAAAATTTTAAAAAGCGCCAAAGCCATGCTCATGCTAACTGTGACGTGTAGTGTGCAGGTAAAGGAAAGTTAAAACAAAAAACATATCTTTGCCAAAATCATCACTCCCCAAACACAGCAGTGGATATGCCTCAAGAACAAGCCGACCATTCCTGCTTACGTTCCCTCTACCGGATGGTTTGTAGACCTATGAGCCAGGCAACTGAGACTTTATTTGCTACTTTGATTTCTTTCATTGCTGCGAAAAGGCTCGTTTGACAGTATTTTCAGCGTGTTAATAAAAAGGCCGAGCATAGCTGGTAGCCATGAAAGAAGATTTTGCAAGGTGTGCTGTGAGAGCACTAACCACTTCTCTTAAAGGACTTTAAAAGAACACTAAATTCCCCCAAAATGGTATTTCTTTAAGCGCCAAGATATGATCCATATGTTACAAAATAAAGTTATTAGGAAAAAGAAAAATTGCATAGTATTTACATGGCAAGACTCATTTTCAGTTCAGAGCAATTTAGAAACATGCCTCTATGTCGATATGTTTTTAGTTATTTTGTGATGTAAGTGGATTAGGTCACAAAGAAGCTCAGAGTTCCTCAAAAAGACTTGTAGTGAAACAGACTCTAGGGTAGCGTTGATGCAGAGCAGTCTCCCGGAAATAATACAGTCGAGACCTGTTATTACGAAGTCAACGGGAATCGGAAATCACTTCGCTATATCCGATATTTCATTATAACCGACTCCCGTTATAACGAAGTGCAAAAGGGAATGGGATATTGTGATCGCTTCGCTGTAGTCGCTATTTCGTTATAACCGATTTCGTTATAACCGGTCTCGACAGTATGGCACCATCTTCTATGAAGTCTCCCTGAACACTTACAAAGCAGCGACATGCCTGGGAACGAGATGTTAAAGGAAGCGGTGTACTGTAGGACACTGTGGAGCGGTAACCGTGTCAAGAAGGACGGAACGAGCGGGCACAGGACCAGCGAGGGCACAGTGTGAAATTATTGGAGGCACCGGTACCTGAACATGCAACGTTTCCGGAAGTCCTGCAGGCGTGCATTGGATGGAGAAAAGGAAAAAGAGGTTAGTCGGTGCTAGGTTAGTTGGCACCATGTCATTACTAGAATAAGTACATACATCGCTATATTCTTGGAAAGAAGTGACCAAGAACAACGAGGAAAAGCAAGCATCCGCAAGTTCTTTAGAAGCAACTCACAAAAATGAGTGAAAAGATAAATGTTAATACTAGGCTATAATGACTAAACCTTACTCATTAGTCGCTGAAAACAAAGCATGATATGATATGTTTGCCGAGAGTTATCTGTTAGTAATTAGAGATAAAATCTGTAATCAAACAACTGCTGACACTATTCACGGAACACTTGTCACGGAACATTTGTTAACCGTCATTCATTAGCGACTAAAGAGTGCCTGTAATGAAACAGTTGTTAGGATTACATCATTAGTGATTAGACAGAAAGGTTAATAGGAAAACATTGCTAAGCATTATATAGTCATAGACCTTTCAGGAAAATCTCGCAAGGCCTCTCCAGTGGTGTATCCAGAAATTTTTTTTTGGGAAAGAGGGGGGGGGGGGGGGGTAACTGAGGTGGCTAGATGTTCATGACTTGGTGTGTGGATGGATGGGGGGGGGAGAGAGGGGAGGGGATCAAAATGCATGTGCATATTATAGAGTCGGCTGGATGTCAGGAGGGGCTGAGGGCCCATAAGCCTCCCCCCTGGCTACGCCACTGGGCCTCTCACCAATCTAACATTGCACCGCGCGGCATGGGAAAATGTGGGGCCGTTCGGATGTACGCTCAGGAAGAGTTAAACACTCCATACGTCATGGAAGCGGTTTAATTCCTTCTCTCTTACCCATGGGGCCACTAGGGTCAGCGGCCCCCAAGGCGATTGCCTGCCGTGACCCCATCTATTAAACGTCTATTAAACTAATGGTCTACTAAACGTCTGTTAAACTTCTTTCATTAGTGACTAAAAAAGGTTTTTTTATCAAGTGTTTGCTAAAGATTATTCATTAGTGAGTGACAATGTCAAGTGCAGGATGTTCTCTCAATAGCGCAAGCACATGGTGAATATTACTGCACCAGTTTAAAAGCATAAAAAAATGTGGAGGACATAAAAAGATAACCACAAAGTACACTCTTTCATTTAGAAACCAATGATTCCTGATATGGCGTTTCTCAACGAAAGAGTGTGGTTGCCTTTCTCTGTCTTTTGTGTTCTTAATTCTACCGAAATAGTTGAGAACATTTGTTAAGTGCAGCTCATTAGTGATAAGAGTCAATATTCAGTATAAAACATTGCTGGATGACATCCATTAGGGACTGGACAAGAGGTTTACTAAGCATAGTTCAATTAAAAGAAAAGGCAAAGTTTGTCACGATACATTTGCCAAGCATCGTTTATGAGTTACTGTGAAACGATTCATAACTGATTAAAGATTAAGCGTGTTCCAAACAAATAAAGAAGTGAGATCATGAGAGTAAAGTGAGTAAAGCCCTGGCAGAGTTGGTGACCTCTGCCAGGATCCTGAGATTCCATTTTTGGACCCAGGCGTAACCTGGGCCTCGTCATTTGCCGGTTTCCTTCCATAAACCGCAATGATTAGATCTCAATGCACTATGCGAGGGGAAAATGGGCCTTCTTGAAACAAAGCTTGCTTCACACCGAAGTGAGCGGTACATTCCTTTCTAAAGGAGAGGAGGGTTAGTCGGGGGAGGAGAGGGTACCTGGGCAAACTTGCGCTGCCAGGCCTCGAGCACAGCCCGGGCCTTGTCTATGCTCCAGTCCAGCTGGACCATCCGGTAGTGCCCCTTCCAGTACTGGTACATGTCCCGCTCTGCCATCAGCTGCACCACCGACTGGAGGGCCTCCGCACTGCACACACAATGGGGAGAAACACTACCCTCACCGGGCTGCCAACGACGACCATCAAAATGAATTAGTTACACTGGCTCATTTATTGATTTCTGCATTTCTACATTTGGCTTTACTTTCAGAATGATGTTGCCTTCGAAGCTATGCTAAAATTATTGCTTAAGACGAGACGTCGTGGATTTTGAGATTGACAATCCAGGGTGTTTTCGGAAACGCGGGCCAAATTGCTCTTGCAAGAACTATGCATCACGCAGAAAGAGGGTCAATGCCATAATGGTCTGTGCCAGAGGGCTCATTAAGGAAAATTATTAGTGGTCAGTATAATGGGCAATTAATTAATTTTAGTGATTACATCTTTAATTATTAACTTTAGAGGTATAGTTTCACTTACAAGCTTGTTGCGAATCGTTTGAAACTATTAAATCCACCAATATTACGATGACATAGCCATGGGCAGCATTTTATGGCGTTCAGAAAAATTAGACTATTTGGATGCGTTTCTATACACCGCATCACTAGCTCTGTGCAGTGCAGGCGAAGGCCACGCCAGGCAAAGAGAGAAAGGGCGAGCACTAGAAAGGCAAGACAGGAGGGGAGGGCAAGGGGAGAAAGGGAGAGCACTAGGAATGTTAGAGGAGAGGAGGTTTCTCTCCTCCTTCCCAGCCTTCCTAGTGCTTACCCATTCTCCCCTCGCTGGCATTGCCTTCGCCTTTTCTGCACGCAACTAGCAAAAGAGAGTTTAAGTTTCGGTTTTTTGTCGGAGCCGACCTCTGCACAAGATATCTCGCCCTTTGTCGTAAAAACGCTCAACGTGCGTGTGCCACCACAGGTCGCACATGGAGGTGCATCTTTGGACCGACACCAAAGGGCAAACTTCGTGGGGCCGTCCAGAGGCTTTCTTAGCTAGCCTCTTCTACATCAATATGTGGCGGCGCACATACGTTGCGAGATTGGCCACGGGCAAAGAGATTGTTGGAACAGAGACGCACTCCAAAAAGAAACTCAAACCTAGGAGGCGTACAAATTAAGCATTTTTTTCTAAACGCCGTAAAATGCTGCGCGTGCCTTACATCATTGTAATCTGGATGGATTAAGTAGTTTTCTATGATTTGCATCAAGTTTCTGATGGAAACTATACATTTAAAATGATTAAGTAAATACTCAATTACTGAAAACTAATTAATTACTGAATTATACTGAGGGTAATAATTTTCCTTAATGTGCCCTTTGGCACAGACCTCTACGATCATCAAACTTTTTTCTGTGCGATACATAGTTTTCTCAGGAGCGATTTGGCCAATATTTCTAAAGGCACCCGTACGATTTATGAACAGGGCCTTCGTTTTCAAGAAAAACTTGATATTCCCCGATATTTACGTTCCGAATGTGTTTCTTGAACATCAAGTTTTCCCCGAGTTTGGAAATTGAATTCTGTTATTTTCCAAATTGCTCTGCTCAGGAAATATTCTCTAGGTAACAAAGAGTATGTAGGAACATGTGTGCTAGCTCCAGACCTTGGAAACGAACATAGATTCTGTTGGCTTCAGTGAACTTCAGTGCATACACTGAGCCCCCAAATGTCGCTTTTATGCCCATTGTGAAGTATTATTTGCCCTTCTCCCCTTTTGTTTCAACCAGCACAAAAACAAGACAAAAAATGAAAGCCGCTTACAACTCCCTGTAAGGCCGAATTAGAGCGCAGCTCTTGAGGAGGAGGAGGGGAAGGGTACCGAGGGGAAGGTATATCCTTCCTCCCTCCTCCTCACCTCCTCATCCTGTCTGCTACTCCTCCTTCCGAGCGGCGTCGCCTCACCTCACGAGGGTCATGTGACGTAACCGGGGTCACGTGACCCCTACGAGGTCATGTGACGATGACAATGCGGACGATGTCATCAGTGACGTCATTGATGATGTTATCAGTGCTGATGACGATGCCGATGACGTCATCAGTGACAATGACGATGGCAATGCGGATGCCGATGACGCATCAGTGACGTCACTGATGACGTCATCAGGGACGATGACGATGACAATGCGGATGCCGATGACGTCATCAGTGCCGTCACTGATGACGTCGTCAGTGACAATAACGATGATGTCACTGATGACGTCACTGATGACGTCACTGATGACGTTATCAGTGAAGTCACGCGTCCCATAGTGCACCGCGCAACTACGTCGACAGCGACGCCGACACCGCTCAAGCCGGAAACAGGCGCCTAAGTGCTGCGCTCTAAAAAAAAAAAAGTGAGAAAAGAACTAGAATGCGAAACTACTCTAAACATTTATCTTGACAAGAACAGCTAGCTGATATTGTGGCCCTGTCGAACTGAACTGATATTGTTGTGCATTTGTGTACTTTGTGACATGATTGTGAAAAAATACTATATGTATTTAAACCTATCAATGCTCTTTATTGTTAATCACTTATACATATATATATGTCTAAATACAACCTGAAAAACCCAAATTCCTGGTTAATTTATTTAAAACCCGATTTCTCGCCGATTACCAGTGTGGAGCAAAGCGCCCACTGATTTAAAAAAAAAAAAAACGAAGAGCTTTATTTATGAACGATACAAGCTTCTTTTGTGGGCTAATAAAGCGGGCCTTTGTCAAAGTGTGCTGCATACGAGAAGTTTACATGTGCACTAGACAGCTGCAAACTATGCACTTAGTGTGGATTATGAATGAGGTTCAAACAACTTAAGGAAAATCCTTTTTTTTTCCAACCTAGATATACATTGCTTCGGAAAATACGGCGTATGAGCCAATCGGTGAGACACTGACGATACGCTGTCATGTGTCTTGCTTCCACGCTCCGATTGGCTTACTGGGGTCAAAGCTTTCACCATTGGCCAAGTTATGCTTGCGATGTAGTGTATGGGACAACGCTCACCGGACAATGTGGCCCGACCGATTCTTCTGAACGCCTCCGACGATAAGGTCCTCGGGCCAGTGCATGAAATTGGTGGCGAAACCGTAGCAGCCCCCGGTCAGCTCGGCCCCAATGTCGGGAGGCTGGTGGGACGGACAGACGAGGGACAGGTCTTACGACGCAGTCAGCCAAGGTCAGAGGACCTTAAAGGCCTGTTCACACAGTCAGTGCTGAAAATGGCACTGAGCTTACGCCAGTGCAGCAGTGACTTTGGGCTATATCAATGCATAGTGCTGGTAAGGCACCACTGCATCAGCACAATTTCTAGTGTTGATTCAGCCCTGACCTAGTGATGTGCTTTATGCGTGAACCGGCCTTTCAAGTGCACTAAAGATGCCTCTCATCTCTTTTCTTTAGGGCAATATAAAAAAACACAAATTGTTATCATGCACGTCCTGCCTCCCTATCAAAAACATAATCAAAAGTTCACATCCTTGCTTTGACGTAATATTTTTGTTATAACATTGTGTCCCATTAAAGTGATGTGGGACATTTTTTGGGGCTCAGGCCTTGAGCAGAGTTGGCCTTTTAAAGAGAATGTGACAAGCAAAAGGTTAATTATTGTTTATGACTAATGTACACATAGAAAGATTGTTCCCCCCCCCCCCCATACGTGTAGAAAATAAATAAATATTTTTGCTCCAAGAATCAAATGCTACAATTTAATTCCCCCCCCCCCACCGAGAATGATGATTCCTAGGTTTCCTATTGGCTTCAAGAATGATTGATATATGGAATGCTTAACTGCAAACTCTATGTCTAAAAAAATCACTATCACGATTAAACCCATAGTATTATAGTCAACATTCTGTAGGTTCATCATTCTCGCATCCCAAGTAAGCCCACAAATGATCAATCTCAAGAACTGCGCCTATTTTGGAAGAGGGAAAGAGAGAAGATAACCAAAATTTCAATTCAAAATAGAAAATTTACTGTGCCATATATACTTTTTATTTTTTTACTGACATTTTAATGGGCTAATTAAAAAAGATGTGCTTGCTTGTGAGCGGTTATTAATGTATAGATTACTCGTGGCAACAATGTCAAGGAGCCCCATTGTAAGACCGGTCAAGAAAAATAACTCAAACCATCCAGCCGGACTGAGATGCTTGAGCCAAACTGAAGCATCTGGCAGAATTGGAGATTCTAGCCTTGGTGTCTCATGAGGCGATTGTTTTCATCTTTTGCACAAAGGACCTTTTCAACCCAAGGGAACATCAGTCCTACTGCAGCTAAATTACGGAACTGGTCCCAGCTGGAAATGATACAATGCAGCTCAATCCAGCTAAGGCCAGTTCCATAATCCAGCTATGAGTGAACTGATTTTCAACTGGGAAGGTTCCCTCCACTCCTTCTTTGGAAAAAGAAAAGAAACTGAAAACTCAAACTGGGCATTCAGCCGAATCGGAGCATTCTGGCCGAATTGGAGATTCTAGCCAAATTGGTTGGTTCAGCAAAAATAAGTCCTTTCGGCCAAAATAAGCCCTCAGCCAAATGGATACCTCAGCCGGATCAGAATGACACTCAAGAAAGGGCCCTGAGGAGACAATGCTCTCTCAAGAACTAAATCTTAATCTTTATTTGCCTTAATTTTAATCCTGGCCAGCCCCAAAGGCTTGGCGAAGAGCCTCACCCGTCCACTCTGCTTGTTGGGGGCCGTCTTGGGGCAGCGAGGATCCGCAGGGTTCAAGCAGGGCTTTTCCTGGTATGCCGTGGTAATTCCAGCCTGAAACACCAAAAAACCCTTCAGCACCTCTAGATTTACCAGAAGCCGGCCTGCGGCTCTCAAGAAGTGAAAGCTGTTGCAAAAGGGCGGTGATTTATGATATTCCCATGGGTTGTGGTTTCATGTATGTTGGACAAACTGGGCGCTGTGTCAATGACCATATTTTTTAGCAGAACAGAGCAGTGGCGTCAAGTTCGTCCCCTTCTGAAATTGTTAAGCACTTCAGTGAATGTAGCAATTGTGCAGCTGCTTGGATGCAAACAAAGATCCTATAAAGAGGAAGGAATCATTTCAAAAGAGTGGTTAAGGAGACCATCTGGATTCACAATGCTGGGAATTGAATATGTGTACAGCCAATGGTGTTGGACGCGGGGTTGCAACCTTCTTTGGCTAGTTTCAGTTGGTTTTGCGGGGTATGAGACATCCCCTCTGTTGGGATGACAGTTATAATTCAGATGATAATGGAAGAAGAGGGGGGTGAAGGGGGGCTTTCATATAAAAAGGTTTTGTCTGAAAATGAATTTCCAGCTGCATTTGAGATGTTATTGCTCTGCTCTCTCTTTTCTGTGTGTGTCCCGTGCCTCCGGAATTTTCTACCGTGATATCTCAAGAGACGCCCCCCCCCCCCCCCCCCAAGAAAAAAAACAAAAAACCACCCCTACTTTTGGCAGGATTTGCTATTTTTCAGAAATACCGAAAGGTAGCCCATTTCCAGTAATTGCAGGATCCTGGCCAATGGTGACCTCAGCAGAAATGGTGTTACTTAGCCATGATGGGAAATAAGTAAACATTGCTGACTGGGAAAAACAGTCGTCTTTGGTTCATCGCCCCTCCCTGCAATCACAAGTTTTGCAGGTCACACTTTTAAACTTTTTTTGATCGCACATTGAAAGTTAGCCTACTCCATATTTTCCCCCAATTTGCTTTCACTTTTAGGTGGGCTATCTCTTGACATATTACGGTAGTAAAAAAAAAGAACTGTAAAAAGGGGCTATCCCTTTTTTTGCAAGGGCTCCAACTAGTCACTAGAAAGCTATGCTCAGACTACTGCTTTCCCCCATAGTCCCACAACGCCCCCACTCTGACAGTCATTCGTCCGTTTGCATCATGTTACATTTACTTAAGTTACGGTGGCTCGTGGGTGTTCACATTTTGGTGCCTACAGCTGCGACGGTTATGGTTAAAAATACCACTCATAAGCGGCCAAACCACAGCATTGTTTTGCTCTGCTGTGAACGCTTACGAACCTAAACCTAAAGCCTAAACCCTACTAAGCGCGGAGAAACCGCGAAGAAAAACATACAACAACACGACTCTCTAATCACGATGGATCCATCGTGATTAGAGAGTCGTGTTGTCGTATGTTTTTCTTCGTGGTTTCCTGAGAATAAACCTTTCGGTTGTTAGTCAGCGCTCGTCCTGTCCAGTTCCTTCCTCTGTCCTTGCAAAAATTCGCGCTGTTCCATTATGAATCCATACCAACTCGCCCAGTTATCCTGTTTACTAAGGCTCAAGGACGCTCAAGCGCAGATGATATGTGAGCTTCGCTTCTGTTACCCACGTTTGTGCAGTGCCAGACTTGCAGCCATTGCATGAGAAGTAGCTTTAGCGCAACACCAGGCTTTTCAAGCACTCTATTGATCTAAAATTCACTTATTTACTGGTTTTGAATTATGCCCAACAAGTCTCTCATTGGAATTATATGTTTGTTTTCACTGTGCGTGTGATATAAGCGAGTGTGCGCACTGCTCTGTGTGACGTCACTTCCGTGACCAAGTTTTCGTGACATCATCCGAGCTCCCAACTTTGCGCCCCCTTCTAAGCGCGGAGAAAGACGTAGCTCAAAAACGTTGAGCTCAAAGGCAAAAAAACCTGTATATTGCGGTGTGGTGAAATATTTGGTGGCGCCTTCTTCAAGCTCGGTTCTTTTTTTTTTCTTTTTATAACAGTGACCCGCTCTCTGCTGTCTTTTTTTTTTTTTAAATAAATAGATGCATACACCGAGCCAGCACGCGAGCGGAAAAGGAGCGGCGCTGTTTCTTTCGTGCGCATATTTATTGTAACTGCATCTCGAGCTCTCCCTCCTCCTGGGGAGAGGGAGAAGAGAAACAAGTGGCAGGGGAGGCTACACACACACAGCACGCGCGCACAAGGACGCGAAACAGAGACGCCTCGCTGCGAGCGGCCCACACAGGCACCTCGCGGGAACTGACAAACCGAGGGAAAGGGGAGGGGGTACTCTCTGCGCTCCGTGTCCCCCCCCTCCCCCCTCGGCTTTTAATAGGGGAACAAGCTCAACTTGGGTGGTCCATCTCGTGCGCCGAGCCGATGGGGGAGAGGAGGAACGTCGCCTCCTCTCAGCGTCAGCGTACAACGACGACCAAACCCCGTAAAGAAAAAAGAAAAAAAAAAAAAAAAAAAAAAAACGGAACGAAAAAAAAAAAGTTTGAGTGCGATGCTGTGTTATGGTAGCGGCTCCAGCGAAGTGAGGTGCCCTCCGCAACAACATCAGATCAAATCGGATTTTGACCAATCACGCACAACATGTCTGCTTTCTTTCAAATTCAATCGAGCATTGGGGAGTTTTAGGAGACCCTTTAGCTAACTCCGATAACGACACCCGATAGGAAAAAAGATGAACGCGCAAAGGTGTCGCACAGTAGAGAGTTTCAGCAGACCGTTCCGATACCCCCCGATAACGATACCCGAGAACGATACATTGCATGCGCGAAGGCGGCGGCACAGTATCGGGTATCTGAGTCATCAGAACGACCTCCAAAAGCTCTCCTTTATCCTACCGATCTACTAAAGCTGTGTCATGACAACCCTCGATCCCTCGTTGATTTTGAATTTGTTTTCACGAACACTTTAATTAAGATATGACCCTTACAATTACCGTGATTGTGACAGGGCCTTATTAAGGATCACGTGGTGAGCTCTAGGCGATATTGATCTACCCCGTAGTTTGACTTCGATTTATAGATTAAAAAGGAGGGGCAGAACTTACCCTCTTCATGAAGTGCTGGAAGGTGTCGAAAGGAAACGAGGACCTGAAGTTGTCCACCTTCTTCAGGTCGCTCACTAGCTTCTGGGGGTTCAGGTCCGTCCACTGCACGCCCGAACCCAAACCCCTGCGAGGGAAATGGACGCGAGCGTGTTCAAGCTCGCTCACTTCGGCTTTTGAAAATGCCGACAGTCTAGCAACCACGGCAGGGAGTCCGGTAACCGAGAAAAGCTATGCTCCTGTAATCTCGGGATTTACCAGTATGTTTGGTGCGGACCGCTGGAGCGAGACAATCAATCTCAGACACCGCTATTTATGGACAGGATCAAACAAACAGACTTTCTAAACAAACTAAATAACAAGCAAACAAACACAGCTGGAAACAGGCGGGACAGAAGAAAATTGGGACTCCCTCCCGCGTGGCTCCAGCCCAAAGACTCAATCCTGACCCACAGTGGGTTCGGTGTTGGGGTGACGCCGACAAGGTTTGACCGAAGGGAGGAAGCGGGGTGCGCATTTCAAGATTTTTTCCCCCCGATTCCCAAAAGGTCGTTTTGGTAACAGAAATGCATCGGCTTTTAGAAGTGGACTCATATTGTTCTTTTTGTTTGTTTAAAAATTTTAGTCTGGGTGGCTCAAGCTGCCGTCCGTTATTCCATCATATCGGGTTGCTAACGCATAACAGACCATGAGTGAGGTGAGAAAGAGAGGGAGAGAGAGAAAGTTGTAAAGGAAATTGCAAGCTTTGACGGCCATTCAGCGCTTCGCGAGTGTAGCACGACGTCGAGCTTACCCCGAGTGCACTGCACGCGCAAATGTTAACCGTAACCCGCACCGCTCAAAGCTGATGCGCTCTTTCGAACTTTGTTCCAACCTTCGAACTGGCAAAACACAAGCAACGGGGGACAAGCACATTTATAGCGGGCAATAAGAGTTTTTATCAATCTCTGGCCACAACAAACAGACGTTCATTTTCGTCGGCGAATCAGTCGAACAAAAAGCACGAAATAAATGGGTAGAATGCTCGTGGCATGCATATAAATACTGTAAGCGCGCAGGCGAGCTGGTGGTAGCTAATCATTTCGTCGACGTTCCTTTCTGTGTAAGTTGTATTCATTTTCTGCACCACAGCCTCGGGTGTTAGACGACATGATGCACGTTTACTTCCCTCAGCCTTGTCATGCTGCCAACCATTGCCCCCCCCCCCCCCCCCTTCCCCAGAGGACAAGGCTGGCACCACCCCTCCCCAAACGTCATCACTACTGGTTCCCGCAGCATAGCTTCCGTCGGTGCGCGTCATACAGCATCTCACGGCAAGAGCGCGTTCTCCAAGGCGATCTCGTACAGCGTCTCACAGCGAGAGCGCGTCTGCACTCGTCACCCCACTGACAGTGCTGGGACAATAGAGTTTTATTCTTCTTCTGCCACTTTGCGGCGTCTCTCATTGAGCTTGAGAGCGTTTGCCGCTAGGGTACGGGTCGGGGGTCCGCAAGCAATGACGTCACGCACAGGCCTCGTCTGTCAACGCCTCGCTCCACAATGGGGGTGACAGTTCTCCCGAGCGGGCACCGGTGGCTTCCACGTCTCTTCTCTGGGGCGGTGATCGACAGGATTCACGCGCAACCTCGTTCCAGAAACCCGTCGAAGGGAAGAGGGCTCACGCGCGCATCCCTTTCCCGAAAAATGCGCGTCTTCTTTCGGTCTCCTCCGAGAGGATGCGTCAGATTTCGCGAATCAACAGATGGCCTCGCAACGTTTGATAAACAACTCAGGGCCCGCAGTATTGGGACACCGCCGCGGCGCGCCCAATCAAAGCACCTGGAGTGAGGTACCTGGAGCACAGTGGGAAGAAGGAAGAGGTGTCCGAGCTAGTTTGAACAAGGTAAGCCAAGGCGGAAAAGCTCGCTCGCGCTTCGCGCATCTCCAGGCAGGGCCAGTGACTCGGCATTTTTTTTCCCTAGTGATTTAAGCTGGGAAGGTGTATTGGCTATGCGGAGAGCAAGCTCGTCTGCTTCTTGCGCAGGAGTTTCGGTGACGTCAGAACGACGCCAAGCTCTGATTCGCTCTGATTGAAGGGTAGTGGGTAGGGCTCAAAGCAAGCTGCTCCGATGTCTACCCACTATATCCTTCAATCAGAACCAATTAGAGCTCGGCGTTCTGACGTCACCAGAGAAAGAAGCAGACGAACCTGCGCTTTGCATAGGAGACGAGATGTTTCGGTGGTGCCCTCTTTATGGTTCCTATCCCTGACGTCGCGACCCAGATTGTTATAGCGAGGGACAAGTTCGATGGTGGGTAAAAAGTGCGGTCACCCCTAAAGGGGTATTCACACGAGGGAGAAATCCCGGGGATTTCTCCCTGGCACGCGCGCATCACGAGATGAAAACGCGAGGCTTTTGCACATCGCAAAGCCCGGCGTTTTCGTCGTGGGATGCGCGTGCCGGGGAGAAATCCCCGGGATTTCTCCCTCGTGTGAATACCCCTTAAGCTGCGAAGGAAGCTACGTCGTCGTTGAACCAGTCAAACGTCTCTCTTTCGCCATGCCGTCACGATCTTGCCCATATACCGCGCAGACAGCCGGGTCGGGTGACGAAAGGGAGGCGGCAGTTTGGTCCCGAGGGCCTCTCACCGCGGTCTCAGCTTAGGGGTGAACGGAGTCATCCCGTTCCTCAATCAAAACCGTAACTGTTGAGAGTCTTGACTCTCATTTCCATCGATGAGAGCAGAACTCATCCTCCTCAAGACGTCATATTGAGAGCTTGGCCAATCGTGGAAGGCCGATCACGGCGACAATCAAGACCCGAAAAAGGAAGAAAAAAAGAGGAGGCATTTACGCAGAGGACGGTAGCCGGGCGCGGCAAAAGGGGCACGTGCCGGCGGGAAAGCGAACAGGCGATCATGGCGGTGTCCAATCGGTCGTGGCCCACGGCCGATCCCGCGTTCCGAATCGCTTGACTCCGGCACCGGTCGTGATATCGCTACACGAGTTTCCGCTCTCCCCATACTGCTTTCGAAAGGAGCAAAACATCCGATTCGACACGCGGCACGGGCTTCGACGCGAGCCAAGTAAAGCCTAACGCACGAGTAGAATAATAGCACGTGGAGACTGCGGTCTGACGCCCCGGATCGCGCGCTACTCTCGCGGCTGCCTCTGCGCACACTGCATCACCAAAACTGCTCTGTTGGGCTGTCCTGCGACGTCCATGGGACATCGTGCTTCGTAAGGACGTCCCGCGGAGCATCGGTGCAACCAGCTTCTAAACCTTGGCGGTGCTTTCTTTCGTACCGAGTTTCGAGCACAGCGACCTGCTCGAAACGAGTCGGCAGTTTTCTGTCGAAGCGGGCCTTTCGCGGGGAGGACGGGTATTAGTGCTGACCATTGGGTGCTTCGTACGTGTGCGTGCGTGTAAATATAATAATAATGATAATAATAATAATTTATTAAGGTCATAAACATGTTACATATGCAGGCCCGTGAAAGCACTGGTGTGCTTGTATGCGGGACCTGGCGTCCAGCGGGTTGCTTACACTAAAATCCTCATGTGTGCATTACTGGCACACATCAAAAGCGAACAAGATGAAAAGAGACAAACGTACGTACTCGCACATATATGTGCGAGTACGTGTGTGCGTGCGTGCGTATATATGTGCGCGTGTGTGGATCCTTTCTTCTGCACCTACTAACCAGTCCCGGGTTGGTCGCCAGCAGGCGCAGAAGCCCAGAGGCTTTCGCCTTTCTCTTCTAGCCTTGCAAGTGCCCGGAGTAACATTCCTCTTGCAAATAAAGATTTGGTATTATTATTATTAAGCTCGTTAGAGGAGGCAGAAATCACCGGGAACACGTACAGCAGACAACCGCACGCAACCAGAACACGGCTGGAATGCCTCCCTCCGGTGAGACAACCGAAGCACAACAAAGCAGTTAACCTATAGATAAAACACACCGGCTCAGAGCTCCGCGTAACCACCAATTGCGACGACGCTCGCTCACGGCGAACGATCCGCTCGCGTGTGCCCAGAGTTTCCCGGAATTTCAAGCTGGAACGTAAAAGAAACCCCGCGAATGCATCGATACAAACGGAGGGGGCAATAAACCTACAAGAAACGGTCCAGGGAATCCGCAATTACGACTAAACGGAAGTATCCTCTTAACATCTCCTTTAAACCACAAAAAAAAAAAAAAAAAAAAATACAACGGGACGTAACTCGAAATATTTCATCCTACAGTAGAACCTCGGACACACGCACCAAGTACAACATAACAAAAAGGGGGTAGAAAGAAGAGGGGGGGGGGGGGGGGGGGGGAGAGAGAGAGAGAGAGAGAGAGAGAGAGAGAGAGAGAGAGAGAGAGGAGAGACGATACTTTTTTATTTTTTTGTCTACATTACGATAAAAAATTTACCAGCTTGTCTCAGTCTTTAGCGCGCGCGCTCTCTTACGGGATATCTCGTATTTTCCCCGAATTCAAAAAGCCCACCTCGGGTTTGAGGTATGGCTCAAGCTGGCAATGTCCCGCTAAAAAAAAGTAATGAAAAGAAACAAATACGAGAAAAACCTCGAACGATGGAAGGGAGACGAGAGGGAACGAAGGGGGGCCCCATGAAAAGAGCGGACCCCCCTTTCCCCCCTTGGGGAGGAGAGAGGGCGCATTTCAGCGAAACCTGGCTCTTCCTGAGCCGTAGGGGGTGCGAGGAGGTCGTCTCGCCGGTGGTCGTCCCCCCAGCAGCCCCCTTTCCCATGTGCCCAGCTTCCGCGAGGCAGTCGTTCGTTCGCCCCCTCACCCTTTGCGAAGAGCGAAACAAAGCTGTCCCAGGGGGGAGAGGGGGGGAAGGGGGGCCGCCAGGCGAGCGGAGGACCTCCCAGGACGCCGGCCGGCACCGGCGCCTCGGACCTCTCCGCCGCCGACAAGCGAGCCGGCAAGATTCGTACGGGGATCGCCAAGGGGCCCCGCGCAGCTACTACAGGGATGCGGCCAACGTTTCGTCGAATCTCGACTAACCCTCCCCAACTTGCGTAAATGGGCAATTAAAGGAAAAAAAAAAAAAAAAAAAAAGTTCGACTCCACGAACAGTGCTACCCGACATTT